CGGTGATGCAAGAGGGCTAGGCTCGATGCAAAGGAGCCGTAATAAGGTGAGGTTTTAACAGGTTTGGCATGCTTGTAGACACGTAGGCACTTCTAGAATAGAATTTCTATTCTATACTTAGACTTAGACTTATACTTATACTACGTGAGCTCGTACGTGAGGCTACACGAATCGGTGAGGCTACACGAATCGGCGAGGCTGCACGAATCGGAAAGGCTGCACGCCGATTCGTATAGCCTCGCGTATAGCATCACGTGATGTATAGGTGAATGCCCGGAGCTCCGGCGTAGTGCTCCGAGCCAATCAGAAGGTGGTGAAACGACAGGGGGGGAGGGGGTGTACGCGCAGTGAAAAGGGGGTGTACGTGTAGGAATTGGGGGGTGTGGTATTAGCAGCGCCCCTTAATTACCACCCCCCTATTCTCTCCGCATCACCCCTTTTCTCTTTTCCTGCCACCCCCCCTATATTTAGTCTAGCTTCGGCTCGTAACAACTTTGTTCCACCAATTAGGTTATCGCTTAAGCAATAGTAGTGTTAAATAACTGTAAGAGTTGATCCTGTGCTATAACAATAATAAGCCGTGAGGCCGATAGCTACTTAACGACAAGAATCCATTAAGGAAAGAAAAGGTTTCCTAACTAAAAAGGAGAAAGAAGAAGTTCTCCTTGCCAAGCCTTGCTTAACGAGGGCAGGGCCCGAGTTGTGTAGATCGGGGTTTATCTCCTAACAATAACGGTCTTAATTCACTAATACAGCATCGGACCTCTTTTTCTACCGGACAAGCAGGCACCCTAACAGCGGCCCAGGGCTCTATTTTCTTAGTCCCCGACAGTCAACTAGCCCTTGAGGATGGCCCTCTGTCTACTCCTAAGGAGAAGGCTGTTTATAGTGAAGGAGCCGGTGCAGCAGGAGGATCTTCGGGTGTAAGACCTTGGTATAATAGTGTATACAGCGTTCCTTTTAATCAGCAATTGAAAGTAGTTATCTAGGAGCTTTCCGCTTCTAGCTATAGTAAAGAGAGTGAATAGACTATTGCTGCATATGTATACATCCTTTCTGATTCGTGTATACATCCTTTCCAATTTGCATAAACAAGTGAATCTAATTAGTGAAACAAAGTTATTACCGGCCGGAGCTAGGCTAAATGTAGGGGGGGTGATAGGAAGAGAAAAAGGGGGTGATGCGGAGAGAAATAGGGGGTGGTAATTAAGCTCGTTCTAAATAATTAGACGGCAAGCCTGCATTAGGAAACCGATGCACCCCGTTCGGGCAATCCGGGCCTCGCTTACGACTTTCGCGCTACGTTCGAACAGGCAACCGGCCTCGACGACCACCATAAAAGGCCCTCTCGTCGCCGTCATTTTCTACCCCCCTCCTCAACCTTTTCTCTCTACTCTCACCCTTCCGTCCGCGCGCCCCTCGCCTGCACTAACTGCTCTCATTGGGTCTCAGCAAGTCCCTTGTGAGGCATTTTTCGAATCTCCACAGCAACCCAACACTGCACTGCCTTGTCTCGTCTCTGTCATTTCACCCCTATGCGCACTGCGCCGTCCAGCTTTGTGTACCCCAGCGATTGCTGATGCTGCTCGCATCCGCACGCGTATGGCGGCCCGCCCGTTTCTATCTTCTTATTCTCTCGCGCACTCTCGCCTCTCGCCTCTCGCCTCTCGCCTCTCGCCTCTCGCTTTTCTCCATTGCAAGCTCTCCCCCCCTTCACTCCTTCTCTCGCAAGATGCTCGCTCATATCGTGTCAGTGGTAACTGCGGCTGAAGGGCGAAACTTGCTACCTGTTCGCACAGCCATACCAGCTTGTGCAATCGCGTCGTCCTCCCCTGCTCCGGACTCGCCGATGGCAATTTACTACGCACTGCCTCGTTCCTATTTTCAGCAAATGAAGGCGTAGCTCTCACGGCATTGTCTCAGCTCTGATACTCCTGTACTGCGCCCCGCTCCTTCGGTCGAAATAGCTGGGCCAATCCCTCACTCACTTCACCGTGTCCCCGCTCCTGGCTCCCACTCCCGGCGGCCACAGCGTCTTCGCCAGCGCCATGGTACTAGCAGGGTGCTCCGCCTCGCATGAGGCATACGGGGTTGCTGTAACATCGCAACGCAACCGGCAGCGGGCTGATGCCTGGGAGATGGTGTCGCCGTGGGCCGTGAGAGGTGAACAGAGCCCTCCCGCATCCCACCATAGCCGGAATGAGACACTCTCCGGTGAATGGCGCTCATGCCACTGTCTCGGTTCTGGTCATCCGACCTCGCACCTTCCAACTTCGGCCCTTCAGTGGAATACGCTGGCCAATCCGCGCTCTATTAGCCGCGTTTTGCTGGAGCCTGGATCCATCAGAGATGACGCGGCAAAGCATTTGCATAAGGCATTAATTTTGTTTTTATGACCTTAACGCTGCTACCATAGCCCCCGCAGGATGCTCCGCCTTATATGGAGTCTGACGTGGCTGTAACATCTTTATGCAGCTAGTGGGGAGCTGGCGTCTGGAAGTTGGCAGCTGACAGCTAAGCAGGCGGAGATGCGGAGAGCAATCAGGCCTCTGCGGCGCCTATGCGACCGACATGCAATAGCTGGGTTCTTAACAAGGACTGTCTCGGAGACGACGAGGGCGATGAACAATTCGACACCGTTGTCCCCGCCCCCCTTTCAACTGAGCCTCCGCACTAGGATGCGGCATTTATGCAAACACGAGGCCGTCTAGGAAGGCATCGTCGGCAACAGTACGCCAAGTAACAGTTAGCAGCCTGAAGGGATAACCACATATATAAACCTCTAGACACAGCTCTATTCCCTAAGCTAGAGCCCCCCGCAAACCTCCATCACAATGGCTACTGTCAGCACTCTTCCAATAGCCACTTCGCTTCCTATAAAATATGTTCCTTTTGATCCTTCAGCACTTAAACATAAAAAGAACTCTAAGCTAAAGGCCAAGAAATCCAATATAAGAGAGCGCAACCTCTGCGAAGATAACTCTTATAGATATAACGGAGAGTGGGCCAATATTAATGACTTATTACCCGATCTGTTAGACTCTAAATGATGAGCCCTTGGATCATCGTGCCCGTAAAGATGCTGCCCACAGCGAGGGTGGCGATCCACGCAATTGAAGTGAGCCACCCTGCAGACAGTCAGTGCTAGGCTCAAACGTGGCAGGGAAAGCTGGAAATGGGGGGAAACCTGTCAGGTAGCCACAAAAGCGCTTGTATTTTCGAGGCGCCAGAATCGCGACCCAAAGTATTGTCCGCCGGAGATGGGTGCGCTACATATTGGAGATCAATTCGTTACCTGGAAACCTCGAATCGCTCAAGGATCTTACATGGACGCCATCTCAGCCAAGCACAGATAAACGGATAATGAACACATCCAGGCGATAGGAAAACCCCACGCCAAAGCAGCCGGTCCACCACTGTGTGATTCAACAGTCAGTTCGTGAAGATGGTTCTTCGTTCCCCTTCACTTTAACCCATCCGCTTACTTGGCGAATGCCTCTGTAAAGAGTGTAGAGATCTTAATATTAGCGAAATATGATGATCGAACCGTTCATTACTTGCGCCAATGCCGTCTCCCACGTAGCGAGGATACAACAGCTGAATCTAAAAATAGAAAGAAACCCAAATCGACGCTAGAGAAACATATTGATCATCAGCCAGCGTCTGTAGATTTGCCAGTATCCATCAAGCATCCGGCACTGCAACGTGAAAAACGATGATTGAGCCATTCGAAACTTGGAAGGATAGCTTTAGCACCTGTGCCTTTCCAAGGCGTGCCAGACCGTGTGAATCTCTCTCTAGGTAGGTAGTGCCATGGATTTCGGAAAAGGTTCCTTCAAGCGCAGCGCCCATACCGTTGGGCGCTTCAGAAGAGACGTTCATCGGGCTGTCGAGAGCGTATATGCCGTGGAAACTTTTGAAATGCTGTGAAAAGATGCGACGAGGACAAGTACCTTATACTGATACGACACGTGTGGGACCTGGAATTGAAGAAAGACGAAGAAGGCAAAGACATCGAAAGAGCCGCGTGAAAACAAGGTAACTCGTCTCGGGGACCGGGGTTTGATGTTGTGCAACACAAGTGATGGCTGAGAACGAGGCGCACCGGCATTTCCCTTTCGGAAGCTGTGAGCTGACGGAAGGCTGATGAGAGTGTGATGATCTGATGCTGGTGCAGGTGGCACCGAGCGTGGCTTCAGACCTGACGCTTCCCTAATCACAGCCTTGGGGCGACACAAGACAAGCCATTTGTTACGACACAAGCAAACAAACTCCATCGTCGACAACGGCCTACCGACTAGATAACATCATTAGCAGCCAGTTGGATGTTGAGGTTTTAAGATTACTACGTCTAATATCTAACGAGTAATACCAAAGGGACTGATCTGATTCCTCCAACACCATGCCAAGACTTTGTAGCGCTGTCGGGCGGCGTTGGGCGACTAGTCGACCGCGACGAGGCTGAGGAAGACTAATTCGTAATTAGTCGAACTCCGGACCCAGTCGAAAGGATAGCCCTGGACCAGAGTTGACCGTCGGACCAGTCGCGACCCGTCGATAAGGCAGCCTGCTCCCAATTACTGATACACAGATTTCCCACATTTGCTCGTATTCGTACATACACCATGGGTTGATCAGGTCAGCAGACTGCATGATGCAACCCCCACAAGTCAAAGAAGATCGACAACCAATCCCCGCTTCTGAGATCCTCACTAGGTACCGGGGCCCTGCCCTCGAGCTCCCCCACACTCTCTACGTTGAGGCGCTGGTGGCTTACAGCTTGCTATCCCGCATCCGCCGGATTTGGAGAACAGCGGGACGTGAGATCTCACATATATAGATCCGTCCTGCTTGAGATGGCCAGCGACCCTGCACTATCAGGGGTGGCTTGGCCGGGTTGTGTTGGATGAAATATAATCGACTTCATTCCACAGGTCCCCTCCGTATTATTCGAGTTTCACCCATATTTGACAACAAAGGAGGCTGTTAAAGACAAATTTCTAGAATTTTTATCCAACAATAAGCGATTTATCATTGGGGCGGGTAGGAGATGCCAGCCTTGTATCTGTCGGCTGAGCTACGGTAGATGCCCGGAATGAATTCGTGCCCCAAGTATTATGCCCTCCTTCAAACGTGACCATCGTTTTTCCCATGGCAAGTAGCAGGAACTTCCAATTTTGTTCTTGCGTTACCGAATGAGTTGGTACTCATCTTGCCGATTGCGATAGGTTGAAGGGAAATCTCAGTGTCAATGCTGCGCCTGTTCGGCAACTTGAAATGGCCGGTCTGTATCATGCCTGACTCCATGCCCAGAAGCAAATTCCTAATGTAGGGGATGCAGACTGTGATGATGCTGAGTCCCTGCACAAACACCATGGTCAGGAGGTATTTCCAAGCGTGAAAAGTCCAATCAAGAATGTGGGTCTTCAAGCTTTGAGCTTCGTAGAGCTGTGCTACGAAAGCTCCGATGACCCTTTCTCGATGTTAGCTGCCTGGCGAGTCTCTCGAAGATCCCCAGCACGTTCGGAATACGTACGTGAGCCGAGCGGCGAAGCCGCTGATCACTATGACCTTCCGTCTTCTGTTCATCATCAAGGGATGGACCATGAGGGCAGGAAGAAGAATCAAGGTGCCTTCAATCACAAGGTTCACCCCCGCGAATGCTTCCCAAAAGGAGAGTTGGTCGATGCATTGAGCCCCCAGGACTCCCCACACATCGGGTGAATGACAAGGAAAAGCGGCCACGAAGAAAGATGGGATGAAGAACAGGGCGATGAAGCCCGCCACACCATAAATCAACCTTCGGTGGAGACGGTCCGGTGTGATCTCGTGGAGAAAGGAGAGAATTGACGCCTGTACACAGCTTGAGACCAGAATAAGCAGGATATTGGCAGAGTAAACGGCTTTCTGCAACGACTTTAGCTGATGCGATGACAATGCGTCCTGATGTTGCCCGATTCCGTTTGCCACGGCAAGAGACAATGAAATCGAGAAGCCAATACTGAAGCCCTGGATGGATTGTGATTAGCGTCATCCGCTCTATGAAGGATCTTTAGTTCTTACCGTCGCGAGAATTAGAGCAATGTCTTCCGTAATGCGCTTTCTGTGGACGATGGACGACAGGGTGACCTTGATACCAACCGCGATGACAACCGAGGCCACCATGATCTAGGTCAGCAAGCTGACTACCGGCCCAAGGTTAGACGCCGTGATAGCTTCACGCTTGTCCATTTTTTTCCCACTTGGGCAGACACTCTAGCGTTGGAGGGGGAGGGGAAATTGTGGAGCAAAAGGAGAACGAGGGTCAGACGAACCCTCAAGGGAGGATCCGCGGCTTGCTAAATGCATCATGCAAGGCTGTCTCCGCAGAATTGGCGGCATCCCAAAAGGATGAACGATCTGTCAATTACATTGCAAAAGCCTGGTTGGTGACACTACCCGAAGTCTGACGTGAGCCGAGTTCGATTTGCAGAGCTCTTACGGCGCCCGAAGAACGAGGCTTCATCTCGTGTGGATGCCGACGGGGCAGCAAGCTGCATGCCTCGAAGCACGTTCCCTTTCCACCAAGCACAGTGTGACGCGCGCAAAGAACCGTGGCAACTAAGTGGCCCCAATGCTGCGTCCGTTAATTTCCTTGTCCTTCCCAATGATGGAGCCTATCTGTCGATTTTAATTCAGTAATGGGCAAGGATGCCCTCCGGAGGACTCATCAGGGTTCCTGGTAGGACCTGAATAAGCATCTTATTTCTACAATGCCTTCGCGACAGCTGATGGGAGCGACGAGTTGCAGATGGCCAGAGGCCAGATGGCCCATGGGCACTGTCCGGATGGCCTGTGGGCACTGTACGGACTTGTTGGGGGGGGGGGGGGCACAGAACCCTGAAACCAAGGTTGACATCGTCGTCAGGCATCATTGGTGCCTGAGGAGTGCCCCGGAGCACTCTATGGTCCATGGGCGTGGAGTAGTCTATTGGAGCATGGAGGCCTCCACGTCCATGCCCATCACTGTTTTAATTAATACGATCAGTCACTCGGGAATGGCAGGGCGATGCATCGCAAGATAAAGGTTACACCTATTTCTGCTCACTTTATTGCTCTTAGTCAACGATGGTCATGTATGGGGTTCTAAGGGTCTGCGGGTTGGGTCGTCCTCAGATCAGCCTGACGAGAGATCATCGGATTTGGCGTACACTGGCGATGATGGCTTGTAAAGTGGCTGAAGATTGAAGCACGCTTATCTTTGAGTGGCGATTTATGCAGGCAGTCGCAATCGGAGGACACCAGGCAAGCCAAAAGCAATGAATGCAAGAACCTCTCGAGTCTTCGCACAACATGGGTCATTTACCAATCCGTCCGCATCTGTTGCTGTACAATGCGGTAATCTGGCAACAACCGGTGAGCGTCGCGGTTGCCTTGCAGCGAGGCTGAGTTTCAACCGATCCGAGAGGTTGGCCTTCCCAGAGCAACGTCGCACCCTTTGAACGCCCACGGGCAGTGATCGCAATGGACTGGATCATTCTGGAGCCGGATTGGATGGAATCATGGAACAGGATCTTGGCAGATTCCTATTATATTTTGGTCCGGATATCCTGGAGGTCCAATGTAAAATTCTACTGCGGGAGTATTTGCATATGGTAGAACTCGAAAATCGCTCATGTTCTTTTCTTATAGCCGATTAGAGAACCTTGGGAGCGCTCAGCAAAAATCTCAAAGGGCCATCAACCTTGGAACACAAAGCAACACGGATTTCGAAAATCAACATGAATCACAGCTTGAAGCTTTTCAACACAACACGACGTCCTATACTGAATTTTAATAACGATCTACGATAACGATGCGGCTAAAGGATCTTGCGGGGACACGCGATGACGATGGACTGTTCCTTGCAGCACATCCTTGGAAATTTGCTCGTGCAATGACATGCGAACTACGTACTTCAAGCGTACAAAGTACCTGACACCGGCTACGTCAGGCAAGTAAACAAGCGCCGAAATGACTTGGCATTCTATTTTCTTTGCTCCTTCTTCGTTTTCATTCCAATTCATGAACTCTTCACTAAGTTCCAACTTTCTCACTTTCAATTGAACCTTACTTCGAGTCTACTGAACTCATACCTCCTCAACGTCCTCAATTTCTCTCCCCAAACTCCCCCAACCACACCAACCGCCCCCATCATGCTCGCCACAAGAACAGCCGCGCGCTCCGCCCGCCTCCTCTCCCGCCGCACGCCCCAAATCCGCCCAACCACGCAAAAGCAGTTCCAATCCACCGGCATCCCCAACCCCAACCACACTACCCCCACCTCCGCCCCCGCCAGCTCCTCCAGCGGCGCCCTGGTCGGCGGCCTCGCCGGCGGCGGCCTCGTCTTCGCGGGCGGGTACGCCTGGTACCACTTCTCTGGCGCCAAAAACCTCGTCTCGACCTCCAACTCCATCTCCACGTCACTCGCCTCAACGAAAACCAAGCTGCAAGAGGCAGCGCCGGAGCCCAACGAAGCACTCGAGTGGCTGCGCGCGACGACGCAGAGCTACGCGGCGTTCATCCCCGGCGCGAAGGGGTACGTGGACACGGCGTTTGACGATCTGGATAGCGTGCGGGTGAAGCATGGGGACGAGGTGGATGGGATTGTGCGGGAGGCGTATGAGGAGCTGAGGGAGGTTGCGGGGAAGGAGATGACGCTGCAGACGGCGGCGGAGGTGTGTATCCACCTTCTCTTTACCCTTTTTTGTGCTGGGTCGAGCAATCGGCTAATTGCAGATTTTTCTTAGGCATGGGATATTATCCAGAAGCGCATTGCCCAGATTATGGAGCTTGCGGGTGATGCCGCTCAGGATATTTTGAACAACCACCCTGAGATTAAGTCGAAAGTTGGCGGTTCCGTCGACCAGCTGAAGCAGATGGGCGATCAGTACGGACCGGAAACTAAGAAGCAGGTCGATCAGACCTTTGACCAGATCAAGGATATCATGAGCAGCGGTCTCAGCGCCGATACGGCTACGAAGATCAAGAAGGTGGTTGACGAGAAGATCGAGTTGGTGAAGAAGTTGAGAGATGAGGCGTGGAGGAAGGGCATCGAGCAGGCGAAGCCTTACCTCGACAAGAACCCGAAAGTCAAGGAGCTGGTTGAGGAGAATAAAGACTCGTTGATGAAAGGGGACATGGGCGAACTATGGGACAAGGTGAAGAATGCGGTAAACTCAGGCAACACCGAGGATCTGGAGAAGTATGTGAAAGATGCAGCAGGGAAGGCCAAGGACAGTCGATTGGGAGGACTGGATACGTATCTCAACATGGTACCGGGCGCGGAGAAGCTCGTGCCCCAGCTCAAGTCGCTCAGCGAGGTTGCGCAAAAGCATGGGAAGGAGGCGGAGGATCTGCTGAAGGAGACTGTGAATGAGGTTTCGAAGGTCTTGTCGAAGAAGGCAGAAAAGGCGGAGGAGATTGCGAAGAAGGCTGAGAAGGAGGCCAAGTGAGGGACCTAATGGTTCCCTGTATATAGATACCTCCCTGTAGCATTATCACCTTGGTCAAAATCAAAAGTTGCTTCTCGAGTAATCATACACATCAGCTTACCTCTTCTTGACTGTACAATTACACACCAAAAAGCTATAACGCAACACCCCCATCCCTCCTCTCCCTCTCCGCCTTCTCTCTTTTCCTCTTCTCCCTCTCCTTCCGCCTGATCTCCCTCAAATCCGGCGGTTTCTCAATTCCCAACCTCCTCCTCAACACCCCCACATCCGTCCCCAACTCCTCCTCCCAGAACACATTAATCACATCCCCGGCCAGCCACCCATTCCTAACCGCCCACGGCCCATACACGCCCCAAAACCGCTCCCACTCCCTCCGCTTCAGCGTCAGCGCCGCAAACACGCTCAGCCCCGTCATCGGCAGGCCCGTATTCGCAAACTCAAACGCCTTCAGCGCCACCTCGCCCTCGCGGAACACGGGCAGGCCCACGAGCGCGTGGTAGAAGTCGTGGCACTCGCGGTACCGCTGCATCACGTACGCGCACTCGGCATCGTCGATGTAGCGCACCGCCGCGCGCGTGTCGGGCGACACGCCCTCGCGGTCCAGCCAGTCGGCGTACGCGTAGCCGAGCGTGTTGGGCGCCATGGCGCGCAGCGCGGGGATGTCGAGCGTGGTGGAGGTGATGCGCGGGCGCGCGCGCAGGATGCGCCGGCCGGTGGGCGAGCGCAGCATGCGGTTGCGCAGGGCGGAGATGAAGAAGGGTTGTGCGGTGGCTTCGCCGAGGGCGGCGATGAGGTCTGGGGGGGTGTGAGTTGGTGAGGTGAGGGGGAGGTGGGATGGGGTTTGGGAACTTACCACCTCGGCCGGGATCGCGAAATGAGAGGAGGCCGGAGCCAATGGCTAAGGCGGCGCGTTCGATCTTGGTGAGGGGGATGTGGCCGTCGTAGTTTGGGGGTGGGCGGTTGAGGAGGGAGAAGCAGCGGGAGCTGGCTGGGGGGAGGGATCGGGCGGCGATGGATGAGGATGAGAATGAGACAGCTATTCTACTTAATGAAGGCCTTAATGGGACGGCCATTGTGAGGTTGGATTGGATGGATAGGACAAATGCTATGCCTTTGTAGACGAGACGAACTGCACGACTGTCGTTCGATGAAGCTTGGACACAGCGGGTAGAAATCGATAAACTTCATTGTTTCTGCCTCAGGCATTTAGGGCTCAAAAACACCATCCATGGATCCATCGCGGGTATGACTCAATCACATCCAGCCTTTCTCAAAATACGCACCTCCGACCTTGTTCCTCCTTCAACCCCATGAATCAAGCTTCAACGCAATCATGGCCGCCGCTCTACCCCCTGGTGAAATCCACGACACCTTTGTAAAATGGGCCTCCTCGCAAGGCATCCTCATGAACGGTGTCGCGCCCGCGAAATTCGTCGGACGCGGCATGGGTATAGTAGCTGCGCGGGACCTTAAAGTCTGTATCCCACTTCTTTCCCTTACCATCCCTCATAAGCCACGCCCAAACTAAATCTTCAAGAAAGGAGAAAGACTCGTCCTCGTGCCCGCCAAGACTCTAATATCCATCGACTCTGCCGCGGTGCGAAAGCACAAGTTCCCGAGTAACCTCTCGATTCACGCGAGACTAGCTGCGTTCTTGGTAAAAGAGTATGAAGAGAAGGAGTCAGGGCATAGGCTGTGGCAAGAATGTTGGCCGAGCGAGGAAGACTTCAAGAGTATCATGCCCCTGAATTGGGGGGAGAAGTTACAGGAGTTGCTCCCAGGGCCCGCGAAAGGTTTGTGCTTTCTTTCTTCTATACTACTCCATTGTGATCTTTTTCTTCACCTCTCGTCCAAAATCGAGCTTCGCGGTTCTCATCGTTCTAAACCCCCACAGACCTCCTCTCTGCCCAAAAAGCCAAACTAGCCAAAGACTGGCGCGCCGCCCAGCCCCTCCTGCCTTCCACCACGTTCAGCTTCTTCACTTATGCTTGGCTCATCGTCAACACGCGTTGCTTCTACTGGGACTACCCCAACGTGCCCGCAGCTCGATTACCAAGAAAGCGGCAGAGTCTTACGGCAGATGACTGCTATGCTATGTGTCCGTTTCTCGACTACTTCAATCATGCGGACCAGGGAGTAAGCTTGACCTCTCTCAAACTTACTTGTTGATGCTTGCCGTCTGAACGTTTGATGGGGGTTGAATGCTAACAAGAGCAGTGTGAACCCAAATACGACTCGAAAGGGTACACCGTCACTACGAATCGGGACTACAGTAACGTCCCCAATCCCCTAACCGCAGATTTAAACCCTCGCTAACCACCCCCATCTCTCACAACAGAAGCAGGAGAAGAGATTTACGTCTCCTACGGCGCTCACACGAACGACTTCCTGCTCGTCGAATGTTCGTATTTGTCCCCATCCTTCCCATCCCCCCCACCCCCTTCCACCCCCACCCCCCCAAACGCCCCACTAACCCCTCCCAGACGGCTTCATCCTCTCCCCCAACGCCGCCGACACCACCACCCTCGACGCCCTCCTCCTCCCCTCCCTCCCCGCCTCCGCCATCTCAACCCTCAAAGAGGACGGCTTCTACGGCACCTACACCCTCTCCCCCGCCGGCGCCTGCCACCGCACCCAAGCCGCGCTGCGCCTGCTGCACCTGCCGCCGCGGCGCTACGTGGCCTTCGTGAGCGGGGCGGACGACGGCGCGGGCGACCAGGCGCTTATCGATGCGCAGCTGCGGACGCTGCTGGAGGCGTATCAGAGAGTTGTTATGCAGGCGGCGGAGGAGGTGGAGGGGCTGGGGATAGGGGGGTTGGAGCAGAAAGAGATGCTGGTGCAGCGGTGGAGGCAGATTGGGGCGATTGTGAAGGGGGCTGGTGGTGGTGGTGGTGGTGGAGCCTGAGACTCGCTGAGGGAAGTACAATAGCGGGACGCGTGGTGGTGGGTTTAGATAGGGTGGTATCGCTGCGCTGCCTCTTGTCGCGTTCTCGCCACTCGAGCATCTAGGACAGCAACTCAAGCTGTGCGTGCGAGAAGAAACCCCAGATACATCAATGAAAGAGCCCAATATATGCAGACGCCCCAACTAAGACGTTCAAAACACCACCCACCCCTCCAAGAGCTTTTTCAAACATCAACTGCTTAACTCACCGCCCACGCGAACCCCCTCTCCCCAATTCCCAAAGCAGTAATTATCCTCGTCACGCAATCCTCGGCAGCAGATAACCTTGGGACGCCCCTTGCCGCACATCAGCGCCCTCCCCTACCCCACGCGCCACATTTCCATGCAAGATGCCGCCGCCCGCTTGGCACTGCTGGCCTTGCTCGCTCCACAACGTCCAAGATCTGCGGCGGGGAAGTTCTGTCGGCTGGTTGGAACTCTAAAACGGGCTAACTAGTCTGGTTCTCAGAACGTCCCACCTTTTATTGCCGAGTCTCTAGAGTACGTGGGCCACCACTTTTGCTATGCTTCGGGGAAGCATTGGGCTCGGGTTACTAACGAACTAAAATGGCCATTGCGGAGTTTTTTTTAGTTACGCGCGTTGTGAAGATAGTTTTGGAGCAAAGTTGTCATTTCATGGTTTCGGAAACGGTGTGTAATGTCTATCGGGGAGCTCTAATTTTTGATAATCCGAAAAAGGTGGAGGAGAAAGCCCATTCATCCATCCATCTATCCATCTATTCAGTGCTTAAATCGAAGGGAATCAAAGGCATCCTCGGCAATCGACCGCATCCCATACCGTGCCTTTCATCCCCTCACTCCCCTTCCCCCCTTCTCCTAACCCCTCATTTCCAAACCCCCTATATCTGCCCCAACAACCCCTCCGCCTCGAGCAACAGCACAATCTGATGCACAATGGTCCGCACATTCGTCGTCTGCGCATCCACCACCAAATCCGCCCTCTGCGGCTCCTCATACGGATCATCCACGCCCGTAAACCCCTTGATCTCGCCGCGCCTCGCGCGCGCATAAATCCCCCGCCTATCCGTCGCCTCGCAGTACGCCAGCGGCGTCGCCACATGCACGAGGAAGAAGCTGCCATACTTCTCGACGAGCTCGCGCGCCTGGCGCCGCGGCTGCTCGAACGGCGCGATGGGCGCCGCGATGACGGCCGCGCCCGCTTTGGTGAGCTCCGAGGCCACGAAGGCGATGCGGCCGATGTTCTTGTCGCGGTCGGAGCGCGAGAAGCCCAGCTCCGAGGAGAGCTCGTGGCGCACCGTGTCGCCGAGGAGCAGCGACACGGAGCGGCCGCCTTGCTGGTTGAGCGTCACGTTGAGAGCGCGCGCGATGGCGTCTTTGCCGCTGTTTTGGTAGCCGGTGAGAAAGACGGTGAAGCCTTGCGAGGAGCGCGGCGGGTGGGATTCGCGGAGTACGCGCACGACTTCGGGGTAGGAGAACCACTCGGGGATTTCGGCGCCGGTGCGGAGGCGTTTGCGGAGTTCTGTGGAGGAGTGTGAGTGAGTGATGGTTTGGGAGTGAGGGTTTGAGTATGAAAGTTTGGAAGAGGAAGAAAAGGGGTAAGAGAGGAGATGAACATACCCGTCCCGCTGATATCCAGCGTCCTAACCCCCTGCGCCACCTCATCCTTGGGCTTATATTCATCGCTATCCGGCAGATACGTCATCTGCTGGAACGGCACGACCTCGATCCCCAGCTCATCCCGGTACTTCTCCACAATGTGCTGCGCGTCGTACGGCCCGTAGAAATCCACGCCCTTGCTGTTCTTCCCCGGTCCAGCGTGGTCGCGGCCCACAATGAAGTGGGTAGCGCCGTGGTTCTTGCGGATGATGGCGTGCCAGAGCGCTTCTCGCGGTCCGCCCATGCGCATGGCGAGGGGTAGGAGACCCAGCACGGCCATGCCGTTCGGGTAGCGGGGGAGCAGGGCTTGGTAGACGCGCACGCGGGTGAAGTGGTCGATGTCGCCGGGCTTGGTGAGGCCGACGACGGGGTGGATGAGGACGTTTGCCTGGCGGGCGCGGGCGGCGCGGACGGTCAGTTCGCGATGAGCGCGGTGCATGGGGTTGCGGGTCTGGAAAGCGACTACACGCGACCAGCCGAGTTTGTCGAAGTGGAGGCGGAGTTCGGCGGGGGAGTCTGGGTATCATCGTCAGTATATGTGGTTGTGGTTGAGAGAAGGGGGGTATACGCACATCGCAACGCAACATAGTCGTAGTGCATCAGCCGGTCAATCGCATCGATCTTGCCGCCGACATAGAACTCCTTCACCGTCTCATTCAGGTACTTGACAGCTGGGTGCTCCTCATCGCCGCCAAAGACCTCCTTGGCCTCCTTGGCTTTGTCAGGCTTGTAGACGTCCTCGACGGTTATGATGGCGAGGTTGCGGTCGTCACGGAAATCACGGAGGGCGACGCGGGCGCCGGGCTTGACGCCGGTCTCGTTGATGGTTTCTTGGGAGAGGTCGAGGCAGATGGGGATGCTGAAGAGGTTGCCGTCCGCGAGACGGTTTTCTGCGACAACACTGTGAGAAAGTTAGCAATTGCTCGAAAACAGGGACACACAGCCAACTTACCCATCATAGTCTTTCTCGCTCATGAAGCCTGCGGTATTCCGTTAGCATCTTGCCCATTGTCCTCTTGTCACCTCGTTGATGTCCATAGCCTCGTGTCGTGGCACCTCGCCATTGTTGTTTGCTTTTTCACCACCCATGCACAGCTCTCACCCTGGCTCCACCACCTCTGGGAAACTCACCTTCTAGCGGACTGAACCCCCCATTCAGAATCAACTCCAAATCGCACAACTGCCGCTCCGTCAAGACAATCGCCGGCAGCTTTTCCGCCTCCTCATAGAGCTCCTTTCGTCTCGGCGCATCGCGCGCAATCAGGTCCTTGAGAACACCGCCTTCACCCAAAAATCAGTCTGCGTTGCAAAATGGAGGGGTAGCGGGGCACATACCATGGGGTGGGTTGGCCATCGTTCAAGAGATTTCGGGAGTTTGGGTGTAGGAGGAGAGAGAGGTGAGGTTTGGAATGAGGATATGCTGTTTTGGGGCCTCAATGGCTTTGTATGAAGTCTCTCGAGAACTCGCGGGCAATCAATTCGCGTCCTAGTCAGCGGTGGCTAGAGGCGTTCGTCTGCCGCGCACGTCATCCACCGAGGATCCTTGTCCGTTTCGAGAAAACCGCGTATGAAGGCCCGTTTGGACGAGATTCGATTGTCGGGGTGCGCTTTGGGAGGCAGGTAAGCGGTGAATGTTAAGAAAGAGAGGACTCCACGAAATATTTTACCCGCATCGGCGGATGACCGGAGTGGGATGTCAGGCCCAGCTTACCCAAGCCAGCCCCATGGATTTGCCGTCAAGAAGAAAAAAAAAGTCTGGTCTCGTTGGTCCTGCGGCAGGCCCGCAAATTCGCGGCACTGATTGCGTGATCGATGGCGCGGGATCGTGGAGTGTGACACCAGCAGGAAATCAACAGACGTCCCGTATACGTGGGACGTCCCCGGAGCTTCATTTCATTTCACGTCCAGCTTCATGCTTCAGAGTTAGAAATTTTGTTTCATTTACAGGTCTTACTCTAGCTGCCTGCGTCGGCTTTTTCTATCCTTCTTTTCCGGCTTCCCATTTTGGTAGTACTCAGAAAGAGAGATGCCGCTGGTCCCCACCTCCAATGATCATGGAGCCATGCAAAACGCTCAAAAAGACAAAAACGCCAATGCTAAGATGCTTGGACTGACAAAGCAATAGAGAGAACAACCCAATCGAATCACCTCCTCACGCCACAGATATCTGCAGCCCCAGCGCCAACTCCTCTTCTTGGCGCTTGACCTCCTGCTGCCTCAGAAACTGGGCGTACTTCGACTTGGGATTGTGGATCCCGCACTCCGTCTTGGTGCGACCCTTCCAGCGACCCGCTCGCTCGTCCTCGCCCTCCGCAATGGGCTGAGTAGAGTGCCAGTCGCCGATGCTCTTGTAGCCGCGGTCAAGCAGGTCGTTGTACGGCACGTTGTTGGCGTGGATGTACTCCTGCACCTGCTTGAAGGACCAGTTGGCGAGGGGGTTGATCTTGATCAGGCCCGCCTCGTCGACTTCGATGATGTCGAGGTCGCCGCGCTTGCCGCCTTGGCTACGACGACGGCCGGTGAGCACGGCTTTGACTTGGAGTTCGGAGTAGGCGCGTTGAGCGGGCTCGACCTTGGCGACGTAGTCGTAGAGCTCTTCGTTCTTCGTCCAGAGAGTCTGGCCGTGCTTGGAGGCGAACTCATCGGCGGTTTCGACGCCCTCCGGCTTGTAGACGTGGAGGGTGAAGCGGGGGTAGTTCTTTCGGACGCGTTCAACCAGGGAAAGCGTCTCGTCGAAGTGGTGGAGAGTGTCGAGGAAGATGAGATCAACATTGGGCTTGATGGGAGTGGTGATCTTGGACAGCATGTCTAGGGCGACCAGACCAGTAAGACCAAACGCCGTGGTCTGGTATAGACTCGGCAGGGTCATGATGCACCATTGGAGAATAGCTATACCAGGTCAGCATATACCCCGCACATAGTGGGGTGAGGCAATGGCAACATACCTTCAGGCTCAGCCCTCTGCAGCTGCGAGTTGAGGAACTTGAGGTGTTGCTTGCTGAAGGAGACCTCGGGCAATGAATCGTCTTCGGAAGCACCGCTGGCGTATCCCGACTCGACGTTCCTCGTCTTCACATCCTCCTCGTACGGCTCATCGTAGACAGTGGACGTCATGTTGTCGAAGAAGCGAAGACAATAGTAGGGTTTGGCGAGGGCACGTGCTCGACGGTAGCCAGAAGCGTGCAGACTCTGGTTTTTTTCTCGTAAAGCGCTGGATTGGGGCTTTTTCGTGGGATGCAGATGTGGGTGGTGTGAGGAGGAGAGTGTCGTGTAAGAAGAGGACAGGTCGTATATATTGACGGCCGCCATCGGGGCCTTTGAAATCACGGTGGAAGGCACCATAGTTTTTCTCGAGCACGCAATTTTAGCGCCATGAGCCCCAGCGTGCCCGAACAACGAAATGCTCCGCCTGCAGCCAATCAGAGGGCGTGGATACACCTGACTAAGGCGCCGCCCGCCAGGGAATCTGGTGGTGCCTGAGCATCGCTGTGACGTTTCCTCGTGCCTTGCGTGATGAGGCGCTGCCGGGCTTGCGGGGGGCTCGGGCATTTCATGAGCCTCTTCGGCCACTCTGCCACGCTCACCGATGCAGCTCTTCGACGCTTTTCGAAGCCATGACGATATCATTCCCAGCCTTGCCACCTGCTACCGTATCCTCTTGTCGTTAGCCACTCCATCGGCTACGCCTCCGACCTACGCCCGGTGCAGTCTGGCGGGTTCGCTGCGTTCAGCCGCCGTTGGCTGCTGATGGCGTGCTCGCGCCAAGCTTCCAGGCTCTGCGGGACGTTGCGGAGAGTCGGGCTGTCGCCCACTTGCTGTGGCCGGTATGCTCGGATATATGGATTGAATCTGGCCTGATCGTTCGATTAATGATAGCCGTGCAAGTTGGCCGGTACAGAGTGAGCTGGAATTGGTGGAAATATCTTCTGAGGTCGCGGTTATGATGATGGGTGGTGAGGGAGAATCTGGAGAACCTTAAACGCCCCGCAACGGGGGACGACCTAGCCATTCTCACAAACACCTTGATAAGTCGTATGCAATACACCACCATATCTAGCAGTACGCGCAACCGCATGTCAACTCCTTTGTACTGATAGAAGGTCGCTGTAATGAACTTTTCAAAGTCCCTCGTGAAAATCCACTTCCTCAGAATATGTGTGGAATTCTCGATGTTCGGTTGATGTTCGGCCTGCCGTGCACGTGATGTATTGGCACGTGATGTATAGATCTACTGTAAGCGCGCTTGTTACAGTATATCTAGTGTATGTTAGGCCTGCACGGGGCTCTCCTACAAGTATATAGGCTGGCTAGATTCCTACATAGAATCGGCATCTATTGTCCTCCAAATTCTTACCTCACGTGGTCGGAAATATCACATATGGTGACAGTATTACTCGGATACGATCATTCCTCATCACCATGCAGTCACCAGTCTAGCCCACATGGGACCACTCCCGGTAGCAGCATAATTGAAAATCTGGAGCTGTTAAGTTATTGGAATTGGGGTGCATCAACTCACACCCATCACGACGCCGGAATACACATGAGGGCGCTCCCCTCCGGCCCTCCGGCACACAATCAATCTCAGCTCCCCGTTACTCTGCCGCCAACGCTCTCATCTGCGCCTTATCTTCAGCTGTCAAGCTCCCCGCCTTTACCGCATCCTTCCACTTATCCAGCTGCTCGTATTCCTCGCCACTCATCGACTCCTTCAGCAGCTTCATGAGCTTCGGCGCAAACTTACCAGTCACATACACGATGCCTGCCTGTCGATTGGCCAGCAGCACCACCACGAGCGTCAGGAAGAGGCGAGGTCCGTCTGCGTCTTTCTTCATGCCGCGGATCAGCTCTTTCAGCTGGCTTGACTTCTTTTCTGCAAGAACTTCTGGGGTCGGGCCGTCGATGCCTTGTTTCTTCGCGAATTTGTCTAGAGAAGATGAGATGGCGGGTAGGTTTGATGCAGATCTGACTGCTGTAGTGAACTTTGACGTGTTCTTCTTCGTCTTCTTGCTCCGGATTAGGCCCCTGGTTTGAGCTCGAGTGAGTGACTCTGGGATTAGCTCTTTGACAAGGTGGGTCTGTAAGAGTTCCAGTAGTTGGCCTCTAAGCTTGGGGTCTACGATCGCATCCGCGCTGGTTCTGTAGACGTGAAGGCGTGCAAGGACTCTGTCTGACCAGAAAAGTGCGAACTCTGTCTCATTCTCTGATTCTAGAGTCGCAATTTGCTCCGCAAAAACCGCCTTGGCCTGTGCTTCGTTCTTCTCAAACACGGCTTTCAGAACTGTGACGTCGTCCTGGGTCTTCGCACCTTTTGAGAACTCTTCGAAGATACCCGAGTCTACTAGCGAGCACTCTTGCCCGGCATCTTGTTCAAGTCGCGCCCATTGAGTCTTTGCTTGCTCCCGAGATGCGTTGAGGATGCACTCGGTGAGTTCCTGCAGGTAGTCATCTCGAATTAGGTACTGCTTGACCGCAGTTACTTTCGTGGCATTCGGAGGTTCTCCAATCAATGAGATTACTCCCTCTGTCTCGGTCGCTAGAATGCCCGCTTGAAGCTCTTTAGGGAAATTCTCTTTGATGGAGGACTTCACTACCGTTAGCAAATATAGTGCAGTTTCTGAAAGCATATAATAGACATACCGCCACATATGAGTATCCATCGACGACCAGCTTTTGCACTTCATTATTGCGATTTGCTTCCAGCCATGTCTGGGAGATTGCGTATTTGGATTCGAACGATCCGAAATCGCCCAGAACTGTCTGGAAGTATGTCCGAACGCTTGATACGTCATTGTACAACTCAGGTAGCAATTCTACGAACTGCTCCATACTACTATGAGATATGGCGCCCGCGCGAAGTTGCTCGAGAGTATGGTCTTGCATACTGACGAGATACGTTTCTGGCTGGTAGGCCACGGCAGATTCAGTCATCTCAACTCTCCCGCGAAGGTTTATATCTCCCGTGGACATATGTTCTGCTCTCTGAAAGATATACCACAACGGTGGAGTGCCAATGAAGTGCTCGGAGAGTAGTCTAGTAGACCTGCACCATGTTAGTACGAAGACTTCAGCAAGGATGAGTGTTTTTGTATACTTGGCTTCAGTTTGACTAGTTTGGAGCGCGGTGTGGATCTCATTGTCCACCGAGCTCTGATACGTGACGGCTGTCAGGTGTACACTTCCTGATTGAGGGTTTTCTAGTTGCAGCAGACCTCCGCCTGCCCCGGCGACTAACGCATCAATGCCTTCAGGCGATAGGTCTTTATCGTGTGAGAGGGCCGACTTGATTACGAGTCTTCGGCTCGTAGAGTCCAGTAGTTGCTGTCTCATCCTCCGTACTTCGCTATCCGGGAGAATGTGACGCTTATCTCGAGAGAATAGAGCTTGAGAAGGCGATTCTTTCAGGATTCGTAGCACTATCACATCGCTGACGTCCAACTCTTGGGAGATGGTAGAGACATCGATCCGTTTGGTTTCTGTCAAGATCAGTTATTGCTTCGGCTTAATCGACATTTCCTCGTCATGAGTCCATATATAGTCTTCCCCCGACACGCAAGCAGATTCATCAGTCTAAGCCCCTGGTGACTTCGCTAGCCACCTCAACGGCCGTGCTTGCGAGTTTGTTGCTCTTAAGAGTAGGAGCTCGGGCTCAATGGGACGATACCTGACGGGGTCTGAAACTTTTTTGAAGCACCATGGGTACGTGCTAAAAAGTAGGCAAAAACTTATGGCCAGTAGAAGACAAAGGATGCAGTTCTACTAACCTTCCGTGAGCTTTCGTTCCAGCTCTTGTACAACCTTAGTGAAGACTAAGAAGCCCTTACCAGACTGAGAGGGCAATAGTGACATTGGAGGGGTTCGGCCGTCATGTTCACTGCTATTGAGGACTGCTGTCGGCTGGAACAGGCGGACTAGGTCCTGTACGTCAGTGGGAGAGAAAATTGTAGTCATTTTGCTGGACTTCTTGAGACGATGTGTAATATACAGCGGTTGGAATGGTATAAGTTGAGAGGGCCCTGCTCCAGTCTGTACTTTCAGATTACTGTTTCTGGAGATTCTTGTAGAATGATTTATTGCAGGTAAGTCATGATCTGCTAGTGACCCGTAAGCAGTAATGTTGGTTTCCCAGACCGAGGGTTGAGCGCTTGTTCTTTCGGCTTTGGGCAAGAGATTTGGACAGCTTCCTGGCGAGCTTGCAGACTCGAAAAGATAGTGTGTCTCTGTGAGTTGATTTGCGATGTTTTGAACTGATAACGTTGGACGTCGAAATCACGAGTTTCAAAGAAAGTCGGCCTCGGCAAATTCCGCGAAAGCCTTCAACCTCGAAAGAGCCCAGCACTTTCGCATCTCATCCGGTCGACCCCCCGCAAACCTCCATCATGTCTCAATTCCGCGCGAAGAGGCTGGACATTGGCTGCTTCGTTAATGTACGGAATCTCCGAGATCACAACAAGCGCAAGGTGTTTGCGCAATTCGAGCCCGAACGGTAAGCCCCATCTTACGATGCTTCATGCCTTCATCCCCTACAGTGGGCATAGTACTCGATGCGCATTCCTACACCTTGCTCATCGCCTTCTTTGTAATAGACAAGCCCTCCGATACATCATCCACAACACAACTCTCCCTCAACGAGTCCGCGCGCAAGCCCAACTCCAGCTATCACAAATGCACTGCTACACGAGGTTCACTCAGGTTAAGAACCGATGTATAATGGGAGGAAAGGGAAGGGGTATCATGAGCGATTTTAGGATGGGACGGGTACGCTTCTGGCTCTCCTGCCATACACCGGGAACCGGCCTCTCCATTTCGACCATGGCTAACAAAGGAACGTTCAGTTTCAATTCCGTCTCAACGCGCTCTCTGGAAACATACCTGGTGTGAGGAAAGCGAGCTGGTAGATGTAGAAATGCGACACTGAAGGTTATGGCCTAAGTGCTATGAACCTATATGATTCTGGGGATGCACTGCATAGCTAGGCGTTCATTGCTCGAGCTGTAAATATGAACTGTAAGAACACCAGGCAATTGCTACATCTATCGTGACTCCTTGCTTTGCGGGATTGCGATTTATCGCCTCGGCGCCCATAGGTGAACTCCCACCAAGTTTGCCAAGCAGGCTATTACTTTTCCTGCAGCCTTCCGTTTCTGAGGTCCTAGACCGCACTCACTTCGTTAGGTCACCAACGATACTGGACACCCCTGGTGAATTATCAGGCCTGTAGATCCTATCCTTGGATTTCGACCTTATCCTCCTGTTAAACTTCCGACTTCTTGTGTATTCTAAATTTCCAAGGCTCTCACTCGCACATCATTAGTCGGCGAACACTTATGACGCCGTTTATCGCGCTTCGAAAGACTTACAAGAAATTGGACGGGGAGCAATTGCACCATCTTTCCCGACTGCTTCTCTCGCTGGGCCAGCGCAAGCAGCGTCAATCCAGGTGAAGGAGTCGCGCCCTCACCGCCAACTTGGACCTCGACTTCGCGGCTCTCGCTCCTCCTCTCCTCCACAACAAACCATCCCAACACAACACAACACTACCACCACCACCACCAACAACTTCGCTCGATCACAACTCAGAGCCGCGTCTGTGTGCAGCTTCTTCTCGCTGTCAACAGTGCTTCAGCTTCAGACCTGTGTTGTTATCCTGCCCTCTCTTTCCTCTCGATCTGAGAGGCGACGTGCTGACAATGTTTCGCCTTAGGGAAGGAGGCGTTGAGCCAGACCCTGTGTATCCCGCCAATCTCAAGGAATTGGGATACTTCGTCACTGACGAGGGCTTCATCAAGCTAATCGAAGACCCCAGACTGAACTTCAACTTCTATCACACCACCGACCCTCGTCACAACGAGGTACATCGGGAAGCCATGCACAGTAAGCTCTGTACAGCCAATAGCTGTTTTTTGACCACAAGCTAACCAGCACTGCCTGAAGTTGTCACTCGCGCTGAGATCTACTCCCGCCTTGAGGCCCTGGGTATCTACCGCTACTACCTCCCAGGGTTCTCCAAAGAGCCTCCTCCGTCGTCCGAATACCAACCACATCTCCCCATACTGGCTACTGAAGCCGACATCCTCAAGACCCGAAAGCGAGTCATCGTTATTGTCAATGATAGCAGACAGGACTTGGGTATTCTGGCATACCGACTGTTGCATCGCTCGGAAGGCCTCGATGGTGGCTCGGTGGCCAAACTTGTCAAGGAAATGGTGAAGCGTTCCACAGACGGTGTTCCTCTTGACGCCCACCCGTCCAATCTGCCTCCGGACACCGATTTCGGTTCCAATGTTCAGGCTCCAGGTGAAGAGAAGGAAGTTGCTGCCAAGTCATTGAACGAAACCGAAGTTTCGAAGAAACGCCCTGCCGGCGCTCAAGGTTCGGCCGACGTGTTGCCAGAACACACAAACAAGGCTGCTCAACTTTTGGCACAGCCGGGCGATGTGCATGATGGAGGACCACCTGGCATCATTGTCCTGAACACTGGACAGCAGTATTTCTCCTACAAGCGGAACGAGGCCATGACCATAACCTCTTGGCAAGCTTTACAGCAAAAAACGCGTATCCATGGAGATATCTCTATTGCGGACGCGAACAAGGTGCCAGGCAACGAGACCCCACGAGACCATATCATGTATGTCTTCAAGCACATCATCGGCCGCAAAGAATATGTTCATCCTGACGCTGAGCTGTACGTTGTTGGTATTGAATCCGGGGCAAAAGACCTCTTGATGCTCATGAACCGCAATGGTAAGTCCTTTTTCCTATTCATACCCACAAAATTACTGTCGCGTTCTGCAGCGCGGAGCACCTTGAAGCAAGGCTTGCAGGAGAATTCTCACAACAAGCCCTCTCTCCTTTGCATCATCTCGAAGCACACCATAGCACATCCTCTAGCAGCGTCTTGCTCAAATACATGTTAAAGATGCTGATTGTGTTCTAGAGAATGTCGCCACCACGTTGTTCCCAAATAGGACCCACTCAGCCCCCTTCCCATCTCAGATCAAAGCAATGGCGTGCATTCAGCCTGATACTGCAGCCGATGTGATCACGAACCCACACCTCGCATCTTTCCTTCGCCATCGTACTCGTGCTTGGGTCAAGCCTGAGTATGACGAGCCTGCCGGTATGCCAGTGGCGAAGCCAATCCAGGTCGATGGCGCCTGGGTTCAGACAGAGCCGGATTCAAGGCAGAAGAAGCTTAGTGGGGCAGCTATGATCTGGCCACAAAATCATAAGATCTCCTGGCTTGAAGTGATAGCAGAGCCGGAGACGGAGCCAAAGAAGCTGGGGAAGTTGCGAAAGATTGCCTCTTCCGTGCAGGACAAGGTGCAGGACAAGTTGGACATCTTGAAACCGAAGAAGATAGTATCCGCGCTTTCTCCAAAGAAAAAGGATGCTACAGCTTCCTACGGCGAGGAGGCTGATCCAACGAAGCCCGGGTCAACGAACGCATTGCTGAGCTCTCCCACAGGTAAGTCAAGGAATTCGGCTCCAGCCTTCTATGCTCCCAAAGTATTGATCGACCATGCAGAAATCGATCCTCATTCCCTTGGCGTCCTTGATTCGCCTTCGCCTTCCTCCAGTAACACCATAAGAGCCGCCGGTGAGCCATCCAAAGAGCCTTTGTTCTCTCTCATCGGTAAGTCAAGGACTGGAATGCCAGCTTCTCATATTACTACCATACTGATCAAACCTTCAACAGACGATCCTTCTGTGGGTGACGAGAACGCCAGACCCACGACAGGCACCCAGCCTCAGCTTCCCTCTGACGAGCGCAAAGAAGAACTCGTCGAGCGCCCGAAGGCGCCTACGCCCTCATCCAGTAAAAGCAAAGGACCAGCCACCGCGTCCACCGAAGGACCCACCACATCCACCGGCACACCTTTACCCCTGGGCCCCATCACGGAGGACACTGGCAAATATTTGCCCCCCGTGCCCGCGTCCGAGGACAATCCTTTCGCCGCGTCTACCGAAGGAATCCCATTCGTCGACCCTACTCCCAGGTACAACGCCAATACCCCCTTCTCCTCCTACTCTAACCCTATCTGCCCCACATTCTCTGGCGGTCCCGGCGTTGACGACGCTCCCGCCGACCACCCCGAATGTGTGTTCCCGCGCGTGTTCAAATCCGTCCTCGACTTCTTCGAGGAGGTCGCCCGGAACCCTGAGAACTACCGCAATCCGGACATCCCCGAGATCGTGAAATATTTCCCTCCTGCGGAGGCCTCTGGAAGCGGTGCCAAGTATCCCTCGGAGTTGGATAGGCTGGCAGAGCTAGAACACGGGTGTTTGATACGCGATGATGGATCAATCAGGGACCAGGGGGGTGATGAGGGACCTGTAGGTGGTGCTGCCCCCAGCGGTGGTGCCCCTAACAGTGGTTCTAGTATCGCTCCCTGGAAGACGCAGTGTGAGGGGCCTATGACTGAGGTTGCTGGCCAAAAGGTTTCTGAGCAGGCGCTGAAGGATGCAGGATTAGACGTTGTTTGATTGAGGGAGGTGTGGGACTGGCGAGCAGTGAGTAGGTTTTGCGAGGCTGGATGGATATCCGACTATCAGGTACGTGGTCGACAAAAATGGGGTTCGATTGTTGATAGACTTTCTTTTCCGTGGGGCTGGACATGCCTGAGAGAGTCTCTGAGGGGGTGGACTATGAGGTTACTCGGCATGGTTCCAGAAAGGCATGGTCTAGCATTGATAGGGTTGGCAGTGGTAGCTAGATAGGCTGAATGCAAACATCACTTTTTTTGAATCATTTCGAGTTTAGGGAATCGTTGAGATTGTGGAGATGTGAGAATGGTCATGGCGTGGTTCGGGACTCTATGTGCGGCTGCTGGTGCTAATGCTACATAACTTTCTGTAGTACATTCACGAGCAATTAGAACGCCGGACAAGATCTGAGAGCCCCTGTAAGAGAATCACATGACGCACACGTGCAATCCTTCTCTTAGTGCTTTGCGGTATTCTACAAAGGCAACGTGAAGTAGTAGCACAAGTTTTGTGCGTCTCCATTCTAGATGCGAACGCAACCGCGCTGCGCGTTGACCAGGACACGGCGCACATCTTGTAACGTGCAACTCGGGCTATGTGACAATTACCACTGGAGCACAAGTATCGTCGTAGGATTAATGCAAGATAAGAACGCTACAAGACTATTTTGCAGTTCTGATGTCTACTCGCGAACATTCAGAGGTAAACCACCATACAATCCGGTCATTCCGGGTGATCTCGCGCCAGCCTTCCTCTTCTTGCTCTATATTGCCTACTACCCTCACATAAGGGCCGGCTGCGGCCTTGCCAGAAAACAAATATATCGGTCCCGAGAGCACTATGTCCTCTATGTCTCGATCATATCTCCATTGCCCAAGCGATTCTTCGTGGTCGGCGTAAATTAGCAAAACTCCGATACAGGGAACGTGCGGTTTTTGCTTATCCATGCACAAGCGAATCTGACCGACTCCGTCAAGCGATGCAGAAGAGTGGAACCACTGCGGTATTGGGGAGTCGGGAAGATTGTGCATACCCCCGAAAGATGGCTGGGAGGGCAAGCTGTTGTTCGCCCTTTGTAGGTCATAAGTGAGGCCAAGTCTGAACTGTGTCGAGCATGCCATGCCCATATCGTTATAGCAGAAACCTGCGACTGGATGAGCAGATTGATTGCTGAGTGACTGAAACCGATACCAATCCAGCCTTTCTTGAGGAACGTATGGACCAAAGGTACAGGTTCTCTGCAAGGAGGTGCTCAACTATTCTATACATCAATATTACTGCCACAGAGGGGATCGGATTGACTTACGATTAGAGCAGGGCGCCGATCATTTAGAGAAGTGTTAACTTCACGTATCCACCCAGCTACAATAGTCTCTTTCTTAGCAAGAGGAAAATAAACCCACACAACACCTGAGGCCTTCTCTTCTATTCCTTCGTATATTTCAATAGTTTGGTTAGGACTTTGGGCATGAATGCTCACAATGCCTCTGTCCTCACAGGCAATGGTAATCCCCCGAGTATCGTTGTCCAGTTCCACGTATCTCATGAATTTCGGGGGACATGAGCCCTTCTCGATTGTGTACCAGGTAGGTATACTGGGTGGAGTTGAAAGAGGACGGTCCCAAAAAATGTCCCAATCTGTCTCTATATCGTCGTGGGCCAAGCTGATATTTGTGACAACATACTAGCGTCGTTAGCGAGTTAGGCGAACAAAGATGAGGGTTTCTACCTCGGAATGTATGCGGAGATCGATGCATTCAGCTTTAGGTCGTAAAATTCTATACCAGTAGCCACGTCGCAATCTTTCAAAGTCGCCACAGAAATTGATGTCTATGATCCCCACCTCATCCCGTGTGATGGCAATGGGCTGAAGGATGCCTTGACGGCACGGTTGCTGGCCATCAATATCTAGACCGGCGACGTAGGATCTACCGAAGAAGGTGAGACGTTGAATTGCAACATGCTCCCCTGTGTACTTCAAGTAGTCCAGGTTGTTGCTTTTATTCCCTTTCAAGAATCTCTCTACTGGTTTCGTCGCTTCCGCGACAATTACAGACGGCTGCTGCAGTGCACATGGCCACGACAATTTCGCGATGTTCGAGCGAAGTTCTTGCGGAAGTTTGGCTATCGATACAAGCAATCTCATGACTTTGGCCTCTGGATTCAAGACGGTTGACTGTGATGACCCTACAGTATCTATCAAATAGCCGAAATAAGAGACGAACGATTCTTTTTCCCTTGCGCGATCGCGTTTTGATGATAACGAGGATGTATGGGGAGCTCGTGGCCATGACGCTAGGATGTCTCGTAGCTGTATTGCCGTTTCTGAGTGGAAATGGCGGAGATAACAGAAGCAGTCCCGATGGATGAAAACTACGGGCGGACCGGTCATGCAGCGGAAGCATGGATATTTTTGACATAGGAAGTCTTTGCACGCGCGAAATATATGCTGCTGCGTGCGCACGTCACCGCCGAAGGCTAATGCGGTAAGTAATTGGGTAAGACATCTGGAAAGACTCATACCAGCAAGAACAAGCTCATCGGACTGGATACTCAAGTGACATAGTAAGCACTGCCGTTGGCCCTGAGCATGTTCCATCGCGGGACGTCAAAAAAGATGCTGGGGGCTACTAGACTGAGCAGCTTGTTGGAGCCCAGTTTTAGGCCCTGTGTTCGACAGGGCTCGAAGCAAGCGACGAGTACCTCCTAGGAGCGAGGCCTCGAATCCCTTCACGAGGCGAACAAGGGTTGATCATGCAAAGTCTCCATAAATTTCGGAACGGGTCGGGCCTCGTTTAGCTAGCAATTATCTTCCTGCACGCTCCGCCCGCAGCGCTCCGGCGCTCTACATGCGCCACTAGCAGTTGAGATTTTAGGGCCAAGACCACATCTGCCGCCGTTTTGAATCCAAAGTCCTCCTTGTGGTGCCAGCATCTCCAAATTACGTTCCCGCCCATCAACCCAGCCACATCCGGAAATTCTCCTGCCTCGAAACGTTTGTACACATGTTCCTCATAGGAACTCCAGTTAGCAAACGGCTCCCCCTTGAGGCCGGTTCCGAAGGGAAGGTGGCCAGCGAGAATAATAAACAACAGAGTCCCTAGGCTAAAGATATCGGTTGCTTGTGTCGAGACGAAACCCAGTCGTGGGTCAAAGAACGGGTCGTCCGGAAAGTGTCCGCCATTCAATTCCAGCGCGTCGCACGTCGACCCACCAAAGTCGCAGAGCCAGAGACCTAGCTTGGCATTCACTAGGACGTTATCGAGTCTCGTGTCTGAATGTATCACGCCCTTCGAGTATATATACGCAAAGCCTTCGGCTAACTCTATGCACCATGCGTAGCGAAGAGACTCCCCAATTGTTAAATTATGCTCCTCCAAATACGCCTGCAGAGTCCCATTGCTGGCTTCGCTGAGCTTGGTGGAGGAGCTGCCATACGCTCCCAGGTACCTGTTAATGCGATCAGCACGCTTCAACGACAGGGCGATCCAAGGGGAACACAAACGGAACAATTCTGGGATGGGGGCCCAGTCTTTCTAGAATTTGTCGTTCAATACCAATGGCTTCGGCGTTTTTTGCCTCCAGTACTTGACGATTGGCATTCCTTTCCCAAATCTTCATGGGCGACTTTATCACAACACCATCGCCAGCGCCGAAAAAGTGTGAAGTGCTGCCAATGTATGATAGACGCTGCATTCTGCGATATACGAATGCTCGATGTGTGAGAGCGGGGTTGTAGGTCGAAGTCGATAGCGATACGGCAGCCCAAGTTTAGGGGTAGACTAGGCCAGGGGCTTATAGCGTAGTCTCTAGGCACAGCCCATCACGAAAGGGTTCACGCAGCGCACAGCAAGGACACAGGTGTTACAATAGCATACACATGTAGTCAAGCGCAAGTATCAATTTCTGCTAGAGGAGCGTGATTACTACTTAACAATTTGCCCACCTCTTATCTCATGAATGATCCCAAAAGAAGGGTGCCAGTTTCGCACTTCATTCCACCGACCATTGCAGGCATACGTCCTCCTTGGCAGCTCAATCGTCTTTCCAGTCACTGGAATCAAAGCTCTCCCTATGTCTATTAGAGCCAGATTCCTTTTGAAATGACCATTCACGACCTCTAGCTTGGTTCCAGTCCTGAGGCCAATAATTAAAAGACAAAATAATAGCACCATACTGTAACGGGATATCTGTATCACGAAGTTTTTCCGTTCTCGCAGTCCGATTACAGATACACAGTAGTGTTGAAGGACATCGAGAATGCTTGCTTCATTTTCTAGTTTATCACCAATGCGCAAAGAGCCTGATTGTGATAGACACGTAAGAAGGCGGAATGCGTCGATGAGCTCTTCTAGCTTGCAAAGACATACACTTTTTCTTTTAGTAGACCATTCGTCTTCGCTCTTCGGTACCCGACTTAATAACGTAGATAATTCAGGTGATTTGCTGGATGATTTGCTGGACGGTTTGCCGTCCTGGCCTGGAGTTTCAACCTGGAATACCCAGAGTTTGGACGATGGCTGCGTCGGTGATGGCTGGACGAGTGCGGAGCGTTGGTCTGGCTGCGTCGGTGATGGCTGCGTCGGTTGGTATTGGACGGGCGCGGAGCGTTGGTCTAGCTGCCGATGCAAATCTTGTACTTGGGTTTGTAACTGAAGGACATCTGTTTGTAACTGGCGAACAAGTTGCTCCAAGTATCTTGAATATTTTATTAGAGTCCCGCTGTAGCAATCAATACGTCATGGTTGGCTTGCGCTGGCCATCTCTGACGGAGATGAACAGAGGTGAAGTTGGACAAACTGCCACGCCCCTTTTGGGTGCCCCTCGAGAGGGTGTCCCCAAATTCGGCATAGCGCTGGTACTCCACAACCCGGAACGGTACCCGCGCCCTCGTTCACCTGCCAACATCCCGCAAACGCAAAGCCCAGCACCCGGACAACACCATCACCCGCACCCACCACACCATCAACCGCACCCGCATCTGGCTCATCTCCATCACCAACGCTCTGACGGCGGGCCTGCGCCCCGCTCGCCCCGCCGATCTGGCGGCTCGAGATCACGATCTAGCCTGCCGCAGTCACGTCCGCTACCGACGCTGTAGCCAGTATCCGAAAGTGGTCTATCAAGTAATAGTAGCGCCAGGACGGCTATAGAGACGGGGCTGAAGAGGGATCGGGAGAGTGTTGGCTTTGTGGAACCGTATCTTAGAAAGACGAGGAAGATTGAGATGGCTGGGGGTGAGGCTAGTGCTAGTACTAGTGCAGCTGGATCTGGGTCTGCAGATGTGAAGGGGCCAAGAAGCCAGGGGACGACGAGTCCGGAGAGTAGGACGGAGAGCGGAGCGGAGAGTGGAGCGGAGAGTGGACGGAGAGTGATAGAAGAGGAAGAGGTTGTCACGTTGTGTAGATCGCGACATTCTCGCGAGTGTGGTGCGCATTGCGTTAGGTGGCTAAGTGGGGCATAGCACCGCCTCACTTCTCAGAGATTGCCCTATGCAATCAACCTGGTATATTCTCTTGCTTTGCTTTACCTGCCTAGCTGCGCTTGCACATATGCTACCTGAACTTCTTCCTCCATCTGCTGCAGATTGAGCCATACCACGGCTGCGTTCTGTCTGAACCCGCTCGATTCCATTTCACCTTGCAGTCCTCCTAGGAGGTACGACCGCACGCCGCGTCGCTCAACCCTTGACCCGCACCAAGACCGCGTAACTAAGCAGACGCTCAGAAACCCCCAGCGATGGCAGCGTTACTGCATCAAGACCAGCTGAGGCGCCGCCAACGTCCCTAACCGCCCATCATCATCGCCCGCAGACCCACCTACGAAGGAGCTCGTTTTTCTTGAGTCATATGCCCTCGACTAATTTCAGTGGCAGAGTAGGACTCAAGAAAAACGAGCTTCTTCGTAATGTCTCCGACATCCTCTCTAGATCAAGCAGGCTTCAACGTCGGTCATCAGAAAGCCGACCCGATTACACCCAAGCCGGGGCCCTGAGGGAGGGCCAACGCCAACCTCGCCTCAGTAATGCATGGAACTCCAACTGAGGATGGAGGTGAAACAATGCATTGAACGAGGTAAGTGATGTATTGGATGAGCGTCTATCTAGGCTACGTACGCCGTATATATACTCTGTGTGTGTGGGGGCTTACGTAGCCGTACCGTAGAACTGTGTGGGCTAAGTATAGGAACCGTGTTCTATATCAAGGTAGCCGAGCTAACCGTACCATACTCCGTGGGCTAGCTGGCTAAGAATACGTGCTCCGTCACCAACACCCCTACTTTTTATAATGGATACGGGTAACACAAGTACCACACCCAAGATTCCCATCCAAATAAGAAGGGGAGCTGGCCCACAATTCGCATTTAAAATTACTCAACTCTTTACACACCACCAAAGATGTGTGAGTATACCCAGGTTCACTACAAGTGCTCTCATCTCCGATATACAGTGAGAGCATGGTGCACAAAATACTATGAGACACATAAGAGATGCCCAGCAAAAGTAGTTGCCATGTAAGAATAAATTCCCAGCGCATTTTCGCACAGCTAACGCTTTCTCTAGAGAATACCGGCTCGATGAGAACTGCGGTTCGTTATAACTGTCTAAACAGTAACCCAAGTAAACTAACATAAGAATTCCTCCAAGGCGACTGCAAAAACAAGGCCTCAAAGTCAAAAGCAGGCAAAGACGCGGCCTCGAACGCACCAACAGGCAAAGCCAGCGCCTAATAATTAAGTCTCTTTGCGCTAGATATCGGGTCCGTGCTGGGAGTGGGTAAGCTCTAATAAGACGTTGAAATCTGGTGGCTAACAAGGCTGAGGAATGGTGCTAGAGCCACATTATCGCTGTGGCCCAGATAAAGGCTGCTGAGCAAATTTGGTCAGAGAATTAGTCTAGTACGGGGGTGATTTCCGTCTACTCAGAGATTGCCCACCTACAATCAACCTTGTACACTCCTTTAACCGTTTGCTTTACTTTGCCTACTCTGCCGTACCGCGCAGCATATGGTGGAAATTCTTTCTCGCTTCCTCAATGCGCACCAAACCCGAGCAACCAAGCAATCGTTCGGAAACCCCAGCGACGTTCATGCCAGGTTACTGCGCCTCTCAAGGACGCAACATGAATTGAGGCTGCAGGACAAACCCCGAAATCAAGACCCGCTCCCTCGCCTCTTAGCTTGTTGTCCAGCCTTCTACAGCCGCCGCGCGGTCAACAAGCCCGCCTAAATCAAAATTGTCGCCTTTCACTTCGTCTCCGCTCATCTAATAGAAAAGTCGCCCTAGCAGTTCGACCTATCAACCCAGCTAGATACACTCTCTCTTCGTCGCCTCATCAGATTCTGGGAGCGACTCTATCGAATCGCCCCGAAGGCCAGCCTCTCTTTTCTTATACTCCTGAGCACCAACGTCCCTGTCAAGACCGACCTTGTAATGCTAATAAGCTGTAGCCTCCCTACCCTATCGTCACTGTGCTCAGACGTACCAGCCGATTCCTTTCAACTTAATGTCTCACAGGCCTCACCACCGGGTTCGCCCATCCTGATAGACTGTACTCGAACAACAAGTTCCGACATAGATGGATCATCGGTCGGACGAAGGCTTGCTAGACAACGACAGGAACAGCAGATTGCAGGACGAACGGCCGGGAGAAGTCTCGAGCGTGGTAACTTGCACGACCATTCACCTCGTCTGAGACCGCCAAAGCGTGTGTCCGTACCCTGTGAACCGCTCCGAACCGGTGGAAAGCGTTCAGGCGGCCGAAGCCTTCACGCCCTCACTGCTCCGCCGACGAGCATTCTCGCCAACATCACGCAAAGTAACGCGTGAGAGGCGCCCCTCCTGATTCCGATCCTTCAGACGATGATGATGAGTTTCCGTCTCGCCGCCCGGCGCAGCACTCTTTCTACCTCGGCCCCTTTGGTGAACATATAACGTAGGTGATGGGGTCAAGGGCTAAGCGAATTTGTCGTGGCCACGCTAAATAATGACCTACGTTTGGAAATGTTTCATCCAACAACCAGTGCATAGAAGTTCTCTAGCATCAAGTAGTAGACTTTCAGGGCGATTTTCTATCCCATGCTCGAGTTTGGAAAGTATCTAATTACTGGTGGTTGTGTTATTTATCGTTGAAGTTGATGACTTTGGTGAGCTGGGGCCATTTGCAGTGTTTGGCGTGGCCACGACAAATTCGCCTAGCCCTTGGTTTATTGCGGCGGAGGTAGCGTGGGTAGTTATTGAGGCTAGTGCACAGACCTTCCGTGCGTAGTTAGCGCTCTGCTAAGCGAGGAAAATCAACCCCTCGCTCATCACCAACCCCCTGCCCCCAGCTACGCAGCTTACTACAAAGGTATATACGGAAGCTCTATATAAACGTAGAGCTGTAAAAACTGTGAATATTCCTTCTTTTAGTGTTATTCTGCGTGATTGTGTGTGGAAATGCTGGTGTTATACAAATTTTTGGTGTTCGCGGCACTAGGCTACATCGACTTAGCCTCAATAACGATCTTCGCCGCAATAACCCCCTCACCTACGCTAGCCTTCGCACGGCCCTTCTCTCCGTTGCCTTCTACATATCCTTCCATTCCCAACCTCCTCACTATCAGACGGCCGTGGACCTGGCATCGAAGCCCGCCCTCAGGACATCCGACGACGTCAACTGCCCTTGCCATTGCCGCACCCGCGCTACAAGGCTGAGGCTGAAGCTCCAAACTGTTGCAAGTATGATACCTCCCATGCCCGCCCCGCTGGCGCACTCTCCTTGACCGCGCCATGCCTCTTTCTTCTCCCTCTCACGCTTTTCTCGCTGTTGCTGTTGTTTCATTTTGTTTCATGTTTCCTGTTTCATTTATATCACTTGGAGCCTCTAGGCTTGCCCTCGCTGTCCTTCTGCTGAGCGCAATTCTAACGCAGGCCAGATAGTCCATCTAACGCCATCTAACGCTACGCCGAATTCGCATTCATTTCGTCTAGGGCCCTGTGCGACTTTGCGTCATTAGCTTTGGCACTCCATCGAGCACCGATCCTAGGCCATCGGCCTAGCTTCCTTCCCTCTTCTCACACCCAGAGGCTAGGCTCGCCTCTCAGCACGCTGGCAAATGTCCAATTACAATGATGATGACGCTTGTCCAGGTTCCCCTGGCCTCGAACCCGTACATCCTAAGGCTACTCCTTCACCCTCGCCGCCACCGTTCATCCCGCAGCAAAATCCCACAAAACCGTCTAATCGACGGACCCGTCCGAGCCAAGGAGACAAAGTCTTGATAAGTTTCATGGACGCAAACCGGCCAGAAATAGCCCACCTGGTCGGTGAACAAGCCCTCAATTCGGATTCTGGCTCAGAAGCCGACGAGGAGGACATGGAGGAGGACATCGTGAGCCACTCGCCTCTAGCCAGTTCTGCCCATCAGACAGCTGGTATTTCTCCGGGTTCTGACTTGGTCGGCACCGCTCAGGCTGCGCAAACTGCCAATTCGAGAGGCCTGAAAGATACAGCATCCCCGCCACGGCGTGGATCCATGCAAAGCGACTCTGAGAAGTTTGTCGAGCTCCCATGTCCTATGTCGAAACCAGTGGATGCGGGACGTGTAGATAGACCGTTGCACGGAGAGCGTACAGCACGTGACATAGACGGACAGTCGACTGCCCGTTCACTTAGCTAGATTACGACCAGTCTTGGCAGCCCTGGCCTTACCGTCGACCGCTGTCTCCAACTTCAATTCAACATCTTTTTCTTCCACTACCTTCCGTGCTGATTGCTTACAGAAACCTGTCGTCCTCTGCAGGTTTATCTAGTCCACCAAGATCCGCTAGGCCGAGAACAGAGAAGCCCGCAACCGCAACCACCTCAACCCCATCGCGCCGGCCGGAACTATTCCCTCCATCAATAGCATGCCACATCTGGCGGATTGTGTCGAATATTGCTCTGTCCTCAGCGCTACGCCTAGTCATCTATGGTCCATCGATTGCGACTGTCGCTGCTATGGTGAAGACATGTGGACACGCGGCCATGACCGCTTCGATGGCCAGGGCTTAATCGGGAAGAGCCATCTGCTTTGCATATGGTGTCTAAGCTATATCTAACCGTGATGATCTTTGGTGTATATGGAAGATAGCGACTTCGACAAACCTAAAATCGGGACTGGCTTTCCCAATCCTGCTCCGACTTTTTAGATGAGTGTTAGAAAGAGTTCGATACTAGAGCTCCGGCTAAGAGTACGGCCTCGGGTCTGATTCGCCACAATCATTGGAGGAGGTAGTAGTGGTGGAGGAGGCGGTGGTGGCGGCGGTGGTGTTGGTCCAGTAGGATGCTATTTCCTAGAAATTGCCTATGTGATTGGAAGCATATCGTACTATGGTGAGTTGTACCGTTATTGCAGCAGAGCCATGGAGTTCGTTTCGTCTCATTTGGTGTCGAATGCAGCGGTCTTGCTGTGTTCAGAGATCCGTTTGGTGGTTCAGTGAAAGGTTTCGCTTCCGTGGGAGAGGTCGCGGAAGTCGTTGGGACGGCCTTTTCAGCTCATAGGTCAAGTGGCTGTGAGCGAATTCTCTGAAAGGCTAACCACCCACCCGCAGATCCATCGAGCGGAGCACAAGTGCGGTTCGCGGGGCTATGGATGCCCAGCGCAGCGGGATGGGGCAGCTAATATACGTCAGCAGTGTGAATTATATGCACGCAAGGCACGGGGGCGTCGGGAAGGCATAAATTCCGGTACCTCGCTCCTCTTAAGGTCCCCGTTCCCATAGGCGGCAACATACCTGCAGACTACCTCCCTAAGCTGCGCAGATCGACGCCCTCATCCTCCCTCTATTCCGTCGCTCGCCCTTCGAAGCGGACACGCTCCGCCCTGGCTGACATAAGTCTGCCGCCGAACGGTCCATCGCCGACCGATGACCTACAACGAGGGCTTGAATACAATAATGGCGACTAAAAATGGCGGTGTTGAAGCAAGACCGCACGGCCAGCGAAGTCTGTTGTCTCGCGGCATTTGGAACAGACCTCACGGGCGACCCATGGTTCCCCCGGCCCTCATCATGATGGCAACGCCCGCCCTAACCCCTTCCGCCTCACCAACCGACAGCTCGAGGGCTAGCTCGAAGACCTCGGGCCTATCCCCATAAAGAAGATGTCGGATCTCAAGGTTGCATACCGGGCGGTGACGCAGGCAGACTTTGCTGAAACATAACATCTCCCACATTCCACATCTGCATCGTGCGCTCCAACGTGTGGAGATGCAAGGGCGCGGCATCGTCCCAAAGGAGAGATCAAGGGCTGCGCTCGCGACATGCGAATTCGACCTTGGATGACCACACGGTCAAGACCACTCATTGGCGTCAAAAAAGACTCTCGCTCCAACCATAGAAGCTGAATACCCGACCGGATCAGCGATGATTACGGCAGGCTCATATGCCACTCACCGAGCATTCATGAACACAATAACATTCATCACCAAGTGCGGATCCTTTCCCTTCCGATCACTCAAGCGATTTGCAGGAGATCCGAGCTAGAGGTTTTGGTTGATCGTGAGAGCTGGGCGATTGTGAGAGCTGATTCAGGTGAGAGCAGAATTCAACCGTGTACGACTTGGCTAACCAATGCAGTTGGATGACGGCGCCGAGCCACTTAGACTGCTTGCAGAACCTGCTGTGTCGGGAGACCGTCGAGCGTGGACGCCCCAAGTGCTACGAGGACACCAAGTTGATGGCCGCCCGCCACCTGGAGGCGGGCGGCGACTGTCTGGCGATGGCCATCAAGTTCATCCACAAGGACCCGAGTGGCTCAAGGGCCTTGTCTTCCGCCGCCTCGGCGCCTCGGGCCCCTCGCCGACGGAGCCGCTGCAGTATCACAAGCTCAAGGATGACAAGGCCCGGCAGTCTCTCGACTACCGGTGCGAGAAGGCCATGGAGCCCAAGAAGGAGCACGTCCCGAAATCTCCTGGGAGCCAAGGCGGCCTCCCCGACTTCGATACTGTCAGCCGGATGAGAATGAGGTCGATGCGCACTCTCGTGGGTAGGCCGGGGTTGATATCGAGGCGCGCTGGAGCCGTGGTTGGGAGAAGATGCTGTAGACCAGCATGTCAAGGAGCACCGTAGGCCGTACGACCTTCAATTTCGGATGGACCTGACCGATGAGGCGGTGTAAAGACCTGGCTGGCGAATGCATATCTGCGATTGTCCTCGATGAGGTGTCGTAAAGACCTGGCCGTCGAATACGTATCGGCGAATGTCCTCCGATGAGGACCTGACCGATGAGGTGGCGTATAGACTTTAGCTGGCGGACAGATATCTGCAAACGCCCTCCGATGAGGTGGTACCTGGCTGACGCATAGGTATCTGCAAATGCTCTACCAGCGCAGCGTTCGAACGGTGGGAAGCTTGAGGTTCCAGCTCAAATCAGCGGAGGGTACAGCAACCTCGTTGACTCCTGTCCGGCAGACGGCGTTTCCTGGAGCGTCTCCTGCAAGTCTCACGAAGACTCCGCTCCTCCCTACGCACCTCTCCATATCCTCGCTCTCCTCCTCCTACGATTTCCCCAGTCGAGTTTCCTCGCGAAAAGCTCCCTTACTCAGTTTATCTGGACAGTAGTTCTACCCTCCCGTCTTCTCTAATTCCGCTGTGAGAGGGTCTTTCTGCACATACAAGATTTTCTGGCTCTTAGACAGCCTGAAGGACGCGCATGAGCGGAGGAGAACGATTCTCCCAACTGAAGCTATGTGAAGAATCATCACGATCAATCATTGCGCATCAATATCAAGTTCGAAACCGAAAGGTCCGAGCTCGGAGATAATAAACAGATATTTGATTCAGTTCTCGCTCCGAAACCCCAAAGTCCCCAAGCCCGACCGAACTGTTCACCTCTTATCTCACTGTAGCCTTAGAAGTTGGGAGGAGACCCACTGACGCCGAAGCTGGGGGTAGATTGAATGTCTTCCGGATTCAACAATGAGAACATGTTGAAGAGGTGGCAGATATAGAAGCCATAGACGCGGATTGAGAGGAGGGGAGCATGAGACGTGGGAGGGTGCAGAGGGCTCTCCCTATCAGCGCCAGCCCTTTCTGATATTCCACCGACTGACAGAACCCTTAGGCCATCATAATACCCTCCGTAGCTATCGTCACTTATGGAAATTTATTGTAGGCTTCGATGGGCCCCCCTTCCTTCCCCTAGTATATATACAACTAGCTAGACGTCTATAGAAATCAGAGTTCACATCAATAACAACCTAAGTCACTGTGTTGGTACAGCGCGTGGAAGAACACGAGAGATTTCATCGTGAAAACGGAGTCTGGACGCGATTCATCACTTTCACGCGCCACCGGGCGTTCGGTCTATTCAGCATGGCCACCCCCTGGGTGGCGCGCTAGTAAGTTCAGCTGAACACTGCACAGCTGAGCTTTCAGCTGGGTTCTCTACATCTGATATTCGGAGAGTAGCTTTCTAGCATATGAGTTGTTGATCCTAGGTTGTAGTGCTGCAACCTGAGTCAGTGGCCCAAACTCGCCCAAACCAGGGAGGGGGCAATTGGAGTTGGAGGGATGGAGCAACAACTACAACAGGGCGAGGCACAACCACCGATGACATAATGGCATATATTTGACCGAGCTGCTCGTTTGAAATGGAATAGTCTGGCGAAACGTAGGTTGCGAAGCCTTCCAGATTGCCCTTGATGAGGCAATTGTCTCTTGCAACCTCGATGAAGGATCCAGGAAGTCCATTTGCCTGACGAAGGGCAACAAGCCAGGAAAGAACATTCCCCATGGTAGATGATGGCAGGTTGATAGATGACGGACGGTTTACTGGGTAGGCGGCGAAGAGTAAAGCGAGGGGGCGGGGTGGTGAACGTAGAGGTGATGGTGGCTATGGCTATACAGTTCTAGAGTTGGCAGGGCGTGCATGGGCATATGATGATGATGATTTGCTAGATTGATGGGTTTGCTGGAGTAATGGATTGCGAAGAAAGCAGGCAATGGCCATGTTCATTGCCCATTCATGGGAGTCTCTATAGCTACAACCTCAATCATTCTGCTGCTCCGCCCGCCTTCGCTGGCCGAAGTTAACATCCTAACCACACGACACCTCACCAGTTAAACGCTCTCGACTGGACGGACCGGGGACGATGCTCCCGACAGGTTGTCGCCTTGAGCCTTTGATGTTTGGAACAAGTAGTTCTCGGAGCGCTTGAGTAGCTCTAAAGCCAGCAGCAAGGCGCAGGGGCACGGGCACGGGAGCCCACTCCCGACGAGTAGCCAGGCAACGAGGTATGACAGGTATCAGGCGGATACAGAAGACATATCACACTGCGGGTGAGTCTCTGGAGGAACGAGTCAACAATCCAATCACCTAGGCTGTCTCTCTGTCCCCCAGTGTGCGCGAACCATTGATAGGCCTTTCCACCATGCACGTCGTGATCAGCTGTTTCACTCCTTGAGAGCGGAACATTGTTTGTGGTGGATTGGTAGTGGTAGCTGATTCGGATTCGTGGACGGGAAGCGGTTGGCTGATGATACTCCGTTGCTGTGTTTCGTCTTGAAAAGTAATGCCACGACTGACTTTGTGATGCCCTACCGAGAGTCCGTGTCCGCTTTCTACTGCCTTTTGAAGAAGCGTCCCATCGAGGTGATGGGCGCCAAAGGTTACGGTGATTTGCAGAGATATGGTTGTGTGCGAGAGAGAGTAAGTCTCGCAAGGTACGCCCCGTGAGGCTCGAGCAGTAGATTGATATCCACGACGGCTGATGTGGGCCCTGAGCTAGTTGAAAGAAGGCAACCGGTGAGGAGTGAAGTGGTAAGGCAACGAGCTGAAGGACGTCTCAGCCGCGTCGGCTGCAACATGCTATGTAATCAGGGCCGGGACCAAGAACGACGGTCGAATCAGCCATGACTTCGCGAGGATCGGCCTGAGCATCAGCGCGCTTCATCGCTTGCCGTCTCTGATGCTTATCTGCGCACAAGTCACGGTGATAGAGAGGCATGGCGTTGTTTCTGAAATACTTAGGACATTAAAAACAATCTTTAGACAGCCACTCCCCCTTATTACTTCTAATAATCCACCACTAGCCCCTTTAGGAGTCTGCATGGGCCATTCATCCATTGTGCATGGCGTCGTCTTTTACGGGATCATATGGCATCTTTGAAGCTGATAACTGCTTAGCTGGTGGCTGCTCCGCCGGTGGCTGCTCGTGGGGTCGATCGGCTAGGCTGCTTATTTCCCTTTGCGGCGTATTTAGTGCTAAGATAATTTAGTACGGCATTTTAACTAGTATGATATGAAAACTAACAAGAAACCCTCCGTACGACTTGGGACATGCGCCAATCAAGAATATCAACATGTATTTTGGGTATCTTCTCTGCCTCTAGCTGCTCATTAACACGCCTTAGGACGTTCGCTTGGGCGTCTGCATGAACTTGAACCCAACTGCTCCATTCCCGATGTTCTGCAGCAAGTGTTTTAGCTTCTTGCTTTGTGATGGACTACCGATCTTTGTCAATGAGGGCTACGCTGGGCTGGGCTCATAGCCCTGTGCTTACCAGGTACCGCTTCCACTCAGTTGAGTCAAGTCTAGCTTTGGCCTGTGCTTCAGTAGACTTGGCACTAATCTTCAGACTCATTGTGCGCGGCGGCGTTAGACTGGAAACGTGGGGAAGATTCTGAGCGGGAGTCGTGTTGCCGAAGCGGGGCTTTGGAATGACGAGGACGAGATGCGCACTGACCACATCGATCGCATCGATCGTATCGATCGTACCAAACCCATCTGGTGGCTGATCGCACTAATCCGGCGGCACGTGCTACTGATTTCCTGGCCAAAGGAGCGTCGAGGCATGGTGGTGGTGGTGATGAAAGGTGTCGCGTCTGGCACGCGACGCACTTTTGGTGGGGCAGTGCACGGTTCTCGGACCAGACTTTTGTCTTAGTGCTACGTGGTACTGTAACCCGTGCCCTCGCACCTCGATTATTGCACACTTCTCACACACCACGCACCTCCCTCCTCGACCCCAGCTGCCTAACCACCGAAGCTCCCGCCATCACAACAGCCTCTATGTCCCCCCGCGCATAGGAACACTTGCCGCGTTATTTAAGATGGACAATTCTAGGCTCGGGGACTCGAATATCTCGGACGTGACCTGCATCCTACGCCCGGCGTCTCTGGCAGCTTTCTGCACAGTTCAAGGAACTGCGACCAAACACGTTCTTCAAGACGAATCCGGGCTCAACCTTGGGGAACAGGGAACCATCATCATCAATGGAGAGAGGAGGTCGACCGCGGGTAAGGACATAGCATTGCGGATGTCTTCTCAAACAATGGTTCCCCATGTGGGATTTATCTTTGGAAGACACCCGCAACATTGCCACTTCGTCTTTAGCAACTCCGAGACGCGCATATCCAATACACACTTTCGGATATTTATCGACATGAATGGTGCCCTAATGCTGGAAGACACATCCACGAATGGTACTGTTGTGGATGATAATACCCTCAAACACCGAGAGCAGACGTTACATCACAGATCTACCATCCAGGTCCGAGGCTCCACAGACGCTGGAATTGTCAGGTTTATTGTGCTGCTTCCGTCGAGAGAGGGCCACAAGGAAGAGATTTGTCACAAGTTTAGCAACACCAATAAGTGCGATATAGTTGAGGCACGTCCGAAGAAACGTAAAGCGGCTGCGGAAGAGCGGGCGCCTCCCTCGAAGCCCATGCCCGTCACCTTTCCCTCTTTTCCACACGTCTCTCGGGACCCCCTGAACTGGATCACGGGCGAAGCTTCCGGCCTTTTTGCGCAATTCGCCGCCATCAGGAGGCCCTCTGATGTGACTACAGGCCACTTAGCCCTTTTCAATGTCATCTGCGAGCCCGCAGTCGACTTTGAATCACTGCTATCCAGTTCACCAAATGCATTATCGTTTCTGCCGCCTGCCTCCTGGACGAAGCCTCTCGAAGAGGGCGTTGAACTGGAACCATGCAATCACCTGCTCAGCAATGGCAGGAAACCTCCAGATCGCAAGGACTTCTACGCCCGAGCCAAGGAACTCTATTGCGACAATGAAGATGCCTTCTCAGTGTTAACTAGCGTCCCTGGATTATCCCAGCCTGCACCTTGCCTTGCTCGATTTCGCCGCTTCTGGGAAGGCCTTAACAGCATGGCCTACTACTGGGATACCACCGACTTGGCTTCCAAAGACGCCCAGGCAAATGACCGTGACCTACAAGCCGAAGTCGAGGCAACGAACGTTAAGGAGCCGCGGCGCAAGAAGGCGAAGAGAGTAACAGAGTCATCACCCGAGGAATCCCCAGTACCCACCCACCATGTCGAGTCTATCCCAGCACACACAATACACTCAGGCGTCTCAGTGCCTGCTCAAACCCAGCCACCAAAAGCCCCTTGGTCATCGGACAAGCCTGCAGAGCCAGCCGAGAGAATACCAGGCACATATCGCCGCATCAGGCTTGGAAACGGCGCCGAGATGCCGCACTCATTTCGCCTGAACACCGTGGGAGGTTTTCTCGAGCCCATTGCTTCGGCCTTTGGTTTGATGCTTGTGCCTCATCGTCACCCGCCTACGCTGGCTCTGGGAAACATTCGATTCCCGGTACGCATGAGTGCCGTGGCTTGGCGAGAGCCGGCTGATGGTATGAGGGTCCGTGCAGGCTGGTTGGAAGGGCCTGTGATGGGTGTTCAGTGTAGACCGGAGACGGGTTTCGGAAGCACGGACTCTTTAGAAGCAGAATCTGTGCTTGATGTAATACGAGAGCTTGGCGGCATGTTGCTGTTGTCTCAAGAGCGGGCAAGAGAAGGCAAGACTAAGAAGAAACCCGGAGACGGCAAATGGTGGGTTACTCGGCCTCGATGGGGAGGCCCTGAGGGCGAGGTTAGCAAAGAGAGGCGGCGAGTGCCGGCTGCAGAGGCTTGGAAGCTTATGAGATCCAAAGACGGCTTCTGGGATCCCAAAGTCGAATATCAAGCCATTGGAAAGAGTTCTGGTGCGGTATGGGATGAAGTGAGTGGCTCATAGGTTTAGTAATAGGCAATCGAGAATGTACTAATCATACACCAGATCTATATGGTTTCGTCACTCAACCACCATATCAGCATACTCAAGCTGCGAGTCCACTTTTTGTATGTCCAGTTTTTGACGGACGGCGGTTTACCAAAAGATCTCCCCAAAGATGCATCGTGGGCTTCACCCACACTACAGCGGACACGCTGGTATGATTTCTTCGTTATTGAGGACAGAGCAGAAGCCATGCGAGGGCTTTGGGGTATCATGGCATACCTAATGCGACAGAAAGAGAACGTGGACACTACTGTGAAGGATAGCTAGGTGTAGTGCACATTTAACACAACTACCTATGCTTCAGGGCTGGCAATGAACAGTCTTGTGCCCTCTCGTCAATCATCCTACTTCACGCCGTGATTTGCGTAAGCGATAACGGCGCCCTGCCGATGATGATTGATGTTTTGCCGAGTGATTTTGCCCGATTGCAAAGTTAGAAGTACTAGCTTATATGGTTGGTGCCGATGATGGTTCATATTAATAATTCGCAAGTGTTGAGGTTTCTTCAAGCCGTAGTTCGCTAATAACGCTCAGTGAGGCAAAGAATGAATGATATGCGCAGTTTCTGTAATATCGGATGCGCGTCGGGCGTATGCTTAATATAACCTCTCCTGCTTGCTAATCTAGCTGGGTTTCCAATCGGAATCAATACAGAGTATCAAAATGAAGCATGGGTTCGCACAGACCGACCGAGCCGTTTTGTCAGCAGTGTAATTGGGAAGAATCACTCAGGTTGCAGCACTACAACCTAGGATCAACAACTCAGATGCTAGTAACGTATCAGAATAGCATGCTGATAGGTAGTGAAACAGCAGTGCGGCAGCACGGTATCAGTTCTGCATCAAGTAACAGGATGTAACCAGCAACGTATCAAGAGAGCTGCCACGGGGGTGGCACCCCTTCCTTCCCCTAGTATATAAACAACGAGCTAGACACCTATAGAAATCAGAGTTCACATCAATTTCAACCTGAGTGAATCCATTGCCTACGGCTCGTGAAGGAGATGCGGTGCGTCAAGGTCCTCTGGAATTGCGACTTCAACACTTGAACAGTAGTGATGCGGCGCTTGCTGTGTAGTAGTATTGGGATTCATGAATTCGTGCCGAGTTAAGCTCCCCCGAGCTTTGCATCAATCACTAGAACCACCTGCATCTGTGCGTAGTAGATGGTACAAAGGCATAACATCATGATCCATCATTGCGACCTAGCTGAGCTATTGATGATGGCAGATATGAAACCCTCGCCTCTTCTCTAGCTTCATCCGTGCGCTTAATGATGCAATACACTGGTATCAAATATCCGTCCGAATCTTCCCTCATCCGCCCCGCCTCACGGACTCTTCGGCTCCGCCTCCGACCTGTGAATTTTGTAAAAGAAGATATGCGTTTCTCTGCGCAGAGGGCGATCCAAGAAGCACACAGCAGCCTCTGGCATCGTGGTGGCCATTGCCGCCCGTACATCCGTGAATGCTCTGCATGAAGAGCCAAGGCGGGGACAAGTCCATCTCCCTCGTTGTTCGTATCGTGTGCTTCGCCTTTGTGCCGTATGATATGCATCCGAGGTGGAATATGAGGAAGGTATTTCGACCACAAGCCTCCTCTAAAACCTCTCCAGACAGCGGCGACGCGGCGTCGACAAAAGTTGTACAGGATCGTGATACACCATTTTTCCAGCTTGGAAGCGCCCGTGATAGTTATGAGGATGGAAGTGAAACAATGCATTGAACGAGATAAGTGATGTATTGGATGAGCATCTATCTAGGCTACGTACACCGTATATATACTCTGTGTGTGTGGAGGCTTACGTAGCCGTACCGTAGAACTGTGAGGGCTAAGTATAGGAACCGTGTTCTATATCAAGGTAGCCGAGCTAACCGTACAATACTCCGTAGGCTAGCTGGCCAAGAATACGTACTCCGTCAAGTTATGTAGTGCTCCGAACGCCCCTATTTGGTGACAAAACGCCTCCGTCCGACGACGAAACGGCGTATATTAATGCGAGGCATGCGCTTCTCTACCCTATTCCCGCGACCGACGCAGTAAGGTTGCATAACACTTCCACGACTGTCTTCCGCCTTTGGTCTGACCAAGTATCCGCCGATCAGCGTACCGATGGACCCGATACCTGTGTGCCTTGCGGGGCATATCAAGAGCTTAAAGGCGAAATCTGGCGCCCAGAGCTCACCAAAGAGATCGTGTTCAGACTTCGAGTCTTTCCACCGCCCGTGGAACAATTTACTCCTCTTCTGGAATTGAGTACCAATAACAGCTCCCTCGCTCCCAAGGTAGTCTACTCGACTGCCGGCGATGCGCGTACTAATGCAGACATCGCTCTTACGAGGAAACAACGAACTGAAAAGGCCACACGTAAAGCAGAAAATTCCAATCAACATGATCTACCTAGAGCTTCCACAGAACGGAAAATCAAAAGCCAAACGAAAGCCACCTGCTTTAATCTCAAAGCCGAAAGCGGACCGATCAACGGCCTCAGACAAACCGGTGCCTAAACTTGAGAGCGAAACTATTATTTTCGAAAATGCGCGCTGCAAAGTTACCAAGATCAACCGCGATGGCGAGGTGTTTGTCGTCAAGACTTGCCAACAACCTGACACTATCGCAGCAGCAGCTGGTGAATGGACGATCGAGCACAGAATACTCAGTGAGCTCCGGCATCCGAACGTGATCCGGCTCCTCGACCATAATGCTCGATTGCTAGCGCTCAGGCTTGAGCCCCTAGGCTCTGACCTAGGGAAGCTAGCCGACGAATCGGGGATTTCAACCATGTCGCCCGATGTTCAAGACCGAGTCTTATGTGGTATTAGTAGCGTTCTCAAATTCATCCACCGGAATCATGTTGCGCATAACGATATTAAGCTCGAGAATATTCTACTTACCGCGGACACATCAAGAGCTGTTCTTTGTGACTTCGGCTAGGCAACCAGATACGGCCAGATTCATAACGGCGGCACGCCATACTACATCCCTCCCGAGGTCGCCCTTCTAAAGAAGCGTGGCCCTCCCGGTGACATCTGGGCCTTTGGAGTCACTATGCTCTTCGTCTTGAAAGTGATTTCTTTGCCAAAGGGCCGCGGCTGGCTTATTCGTGACATTCCTAAAGGGATTGGAGAAGCAGCTTTTGCTTTAACTAGATGGACGATCGAGATGGAGGAAGCGGCGCTCAAACTTCCGAGTGGCCATGCTTTAGTACAACGGATGCTGGAGCCCGATCAGCAAAAGCGAATCACGGCGGCTGAGGTTCTAGCTGGTCTGACTACGCCGGCGCATATGGAATTGCATCCACCACAAACTAATTGAGTAAGGGTCTTGGTAAAGCCCTCCGCAACGAGGTACTGCTATTCATACCATTGCTAGGGCTATGTTTAGGGTGCGCTAGATGGCCTGTCGATCGCGTTCGTCGGCCGCGGCGAAGAAGTGGTAGCGGGGGAGGGTGGTGACCGTACAGCCAATTCATATTTCCTCTCTAATTTGCATAGTTTGATCGCAAGGGTCGGCAAGCTGCTGATTTACTAGACCATGCCGACGCATCTTCCAGGTCTAGAGCCGTAAATCTTTCAGCATTCAAGCGCATGCTGATTTTGTCCTCGAAGGTCCTTATTCTTTCGTCCTGTTTGACCTTGAGCCAGCTTCTCGCCTCTTCCATAGCTTGTTCCAACGCTTCCTGGCTCCTTATTATCTCATCTGTATCCTTCGCAAGGAACTGAAGCTGAGACTGTAACTTTTGGTGTGCAACCAGCTTTCGGAGACAGTTTTGGTCCTGGCAAAGCTTTTCGAGTGATACGACTCTAGAGATAAAGTACTTCTGCATTAGACATTATTAAGGTTTCTTGAGAGAAGTGGCGTTGAAATCTTAGGAAACTCAGAACCTTCCTCCGGACTGAATACAAGATGTGATATGTGCTGTTGCCCTTGCTGGACGCATACTGCGGAGCCTAATAGGACTCCAGGGAGTTGAAGCTGGACCCTTCCATATCGAGAGACAGCTCAGGGGCCAAAAAAGCTCCCTTGGCAGCGAAAATAAGCATTGTTGCCGCCCCTCCGTGGCTGTCCATTTGCTCAGCAAGGGTTCGAGAACCACGCAATTTTAGAAGGATCGTGGAGAACAATGATACACCGCGACTGTTCAAGCAAAGAGGCACCAATCCTACCCTCGAACTACCGATACGCATCGATTTTCAGCTCAATATGGCCTCTCAGCGCATTGCAAAGACTGTTGAAGAGCAGGATGTCAAGGTAAGAGTTGAGACCACGCTTTCAGAAAGCCTATCAAGCAATTACCCCTCTAGGAAATTCGCGTCGACTCGAGAAGAGAAACAGCATTCCCCTCCAATCCTCGCAATAGCGCTCGGCCTCAGCATTATCCGACCGACCAAGAATCAATCGCTATTGATAAAAAGCCCCGTGACGTTTGCGGGACTATCGCAATTTTTCGCAAGAAGTTGAAAGAAGACAACATCGTCATTGCGGTTTTTGAGAACGCCTTAAAACATGAACGACAAGCCCGTTTCGAATGTGCTCGAGCCTACGACATTCTACACAGCCAACATGGGCAGGCAATTGTTAGGCTCACTAACATGGCAAATAAACGTATCTTGTTGGATCGAGAGCTTGACAAAGCCCAAAACGTTATCCGCACGTTTGAATCTACTATCGAGAATACGAACGACTGCTTACCCAGGCGGACTGGGATAAGGTGGAGCAGGGCATCACAAAAACAGAGCAGCTCAAAGCCAGGATCTCCGAGCTCGAGAAAGAAAAGGTGGAGGCTATGCAGAAACACGAGAGCGCATATCACTGCCACCGAGTGAAAGATTGATGAGCCTGAGAAGATGAATCAGGCATCAGAACCCGAAGAATCGGTCGTGTTAAGTCAGATGGCCTCTCCAGAGCAGATGCCTTCCCTGAGCATCGAAAAAAGAGGAAGACCTTGGGAGAGCGAACAAGATGGCTTACAGTGGCAGCATGGATCAGCAAAGAGGGGCCGAAAGCGATTCACGAGTTTGGCCAAGGAGGTGGCAGAAGGGCAGGCAGGATGTGGACAATCGATTCACGAGGCCTGGTTTGCTTAACTTCCAACCACACTATATAACACCGCACCACGCTCACTTCTTCAAGTCTTCTTCCCACCACTCAAAGCCTTCCCACCACCACTCGAAGCCTTCCCACCACTCGAAGCCATGGCAGGCGTCAATCCCCCTCAGCTCGGCGGCCCACAACCAAATCTTGGGCTCCTAGCACACGGACTCCAGGAAGCCGCCACCGAGTTGGCAAATTTTGCCAATCTTCCTGCACTTGCTCAGGGCGATGCAATCATGCAACTGATGCAGCAAAACCATCGAGAAACTCAGCGACAGATGCAGCAGATGCAGACACAAATGCAGCAGATGGAGCAGCGGATAGTGCAACAGATACGGGACCAGATACAGCAACTCCGCACCGATATCACCACAGGACATCAGGCAATGTGAGTGAATACTATTTAGATGTCCTGCTTATCTGCTAACTAATTATAACTATACAGCGAGTACAATTCTATTGCCCGCCTTGACAACGCTAGTATTAGATTATCCGACACCGCTATTACCGCACTCCGTGACCTTACAACAAACGTTAATATTGCAGGTTTTCCTGCCACACACGCTCATCTTTCGGATATGACAGATCCTGCGCTAGATGGGGTCTTAGCAGCACTAGGCCAGCCTACCAACGGCACGACCGAGGATAAGAAGCAACTGCTGAGGTTCTACATTGGATTGACGGATCCACGCTAGCGATGAGGGAGGTGCTGGTATACTGGAATGGTGATTGCTGGCGGAATCACTAGGAGTTCGTTAGTGTCAGGTGCGCCTGACGAAGGCAAGGTAGGCAGCGGTAGAATACGACTGAAGGGATTGTGCTTGTCAGGGTGTGCTGTTGAAGAGTGCTCTCTCTCTATTTAGTATCAAGACTGGAGGGAGCCAGGGATCCACTCAGGTTGAAATTGATGTGAACTCTGATTTCTATAGACGTCTAGCTAGTTGTATATATACTAGGGGAAGGAAGGGGGCCACCCCCAGGGTGGCGCGCTAGTAAGTTCAGATGAGCCCTGCACAGCTGAGGCTTCAGCTCGGTTCTCTACAGCTGAGATTTCAGCTGGGTTCTCTACAGCTGATGTTCGGAGAGTAGCTTTCTGGCATATGAGTTGTTGATCCTAGGTTGTAGTGCTGCAACCTGAGTGATCCTGCTCAGGATCTAATCTTAGGCGGCATTCTGGCCCTCGTCTAGGAGACATTCTAAGCAGCACTAGGACTCACTCATTCAATTATATTTAGGCTTTTCGATTAAGCTTTCCTATAACCTTCTCCTCTTGTTGTGTATTTAGGCTTTCTGCTCTGCTGAAGATGTCGGGAGACTCGCCTTCGAGCGATTCAACATGCGAATATAAGTTACCCTATGAGATATCGCGATTTCGCGGCAGGACCCCGAAATCTGCCTACTGGTGGCAAGGTGATCCTTGCGCGGCCATCTTCGGGTTTCCAGTTTCCTGGACTTCGAAGTCTCATCTTTCTAAAAGGGGAAAGGCGGTGGTAGGCAGCTGTCGCAAGAGAGCAAGGAAAGCCTCAAGGGTGGAACTACCTGGTCAGCCATTTTCATGCTTTAACGCCACTGTCGTACGTGAAATGCAAGGTCTTGGGTTCAGGCGGCCGGCTAACAAACTTAGTTGCGAGTATCGCAAATAGCATATAAGACGGCGTTCTGCCGTTAGAATGCCCAGATTTAAACTCTTCGTCCCTCAGCAGAAAGCAATTTCCCGATTCCTTCAGATTTTCTAGCCTCAGTTTGCAATGACTTCTATTTTATTCAGCCTAGGAATGAGCAGTACTGCTCTCAAGTCTCTCGGCGATCTCGACCTTACCAAGGTTGAATTCGTAGATCTTACCTGCCCTTCTCCTGTTGAAGACGATGGCATCGCCGATGCAGAAGCAGATCCTGATGCCGAAGATCTTTCAACTCTCGAGCAGCTGCTTGCTAATGCGAGCCGAAAGAGAAATGATGCCGGCCAAACGCATAAACCCGCGTTGTACCCGGATGCTGCCAGAATAACAGCGATTTCCTTCGGCGACATTGGTAATATATCCAGATCTTATCAAGCCGCAGCGCCTCTTCACAATCCCTTGAGTAGCAAGCTTAAAGCTCTTCGCAATTCGAATGGTGCCACAGAAGGCACAGACAGAACTAGCATAGGCCGTCAAGGTGAGTATGTCAGCAGAGTTTCATCACTCTGCTTCCCAACCATATTCATCTACTTACATGAGACCAGACAATCCGATCATGCTGAGTGACAACGAGGATCCTGCGACTGTGCCAGAGCAGCCTTCAAAGCGCCCTAAAGTGTCTCAGGCCAAAAGAGCATGTGCGCGTTCCTCTAAGCCTCCCGGCCGTCGTGTTCCAGCGAAAGAGCTCGATGGCGATGAACAGAAAGCACGCAAGCGCCAACGTACTGCCCATCAGCTTCTTTCCTCCGCTGTGGTTCCAGAAGCAACTATTAGTTGCGTGATCTGCACCAATGACGTCCCGAGAGCTTCCCTTCCATCATCCATCACAGCCGCTTGCAGTCATCCGTCCCAGATTTGCCGTCCCTGTATCGCCTCATGGATATCGTCACGCCTCAAAAGCAGCGGCCATGACAGCCTGATCTGCCCTCAGTGCAGCGAACAACTCGACGACATTGATGTCAGAGTATTTGCTACATCAGAGATATACGAGCAATACGAAAACCTGGTACTCCGCACATCTCTTTCCGGTAATCCAGAGTTCCGTTGGACTCAGGTTGCAGCACTACAACCTAGGATCAACAACTCATATGCCAGAAAGCTACTCTCCGAACATCAGCTGTAGAGAACCCAGCTGAAATCTCAGCTGTAGAGAACTGAGCTGAAGCCTCATCTGTGCAGGGCTCATCTGAACTTACTAGCGCGCCACCCTGGGGGTGGCCCCCTTCCTTCCCCTAGTATATATACAACTAGCTAGACGTCTATAGAAATCAGAGTTCACATCAATTTCAACCTGAGTGTTGGTGTATTGGACCCGGCTGCCACTCTGGACAGCTGCATGCTGATTCAAATCCAATATTGAGATGCGCCCAGTGCGACTTCCGTTCTTGCGTCAAGCACAAGGTCCCGTGGCATGATGGCCTTACGTGTGTGCAATACGATGCTAGCACCGCTTTGCGTCAAAGAGATATGGAGGAAGCGGCCAGCAAAAAGAAGGTTAAAGAGACGAGTAGGCGGCGTCCTGGAAGAAAATGCGGCTGGAGAATTGAGAAAAATGACGGATGCGATCATATGACATGCCGTAAATGCGGAACTCAATTCTGCTGGCTATGCAAAGCTAATTATCAGGACATCTGGAGATACCGCAATGGGGCGCATAGATCGACCTGTCGATATCATTCGACGAATCTTCCCGATCTAGATCTATGATGATTACAGCTGAAACTGTTACGGTTCTGGAGTTGAAGTGGAGGATAACGTGACATTCACATGTGCAAGTGGGCTCGCTCGTGCGCCATCGCTAGTAAGATCCCGTCCAAGAGCCAGGGACGTGCCAATCCATGAATGGCAGTGCCAACCGCATGAATTCCCACAATACGAGCCGCAGTGGCGATGCGTTCCACTCGTTAGAAGGCGCGGGGCTCGGACCGGTCTACGCGACCGAGGGTTTGGGCTGCTCTCTTCTATTATAAGTTATTTGCTATAATAAGAAGCGTTCCGCCCGTAGCATGTCGTCCAAAAAAGGTTGTGAAACTGCGATCGTGGCTTGTAAAATGTCCGATCGAACGCAATCCGTGCTCTGAAACGTGGCAAATGCGTTACCCTGCCACGATTTTCCACAGGGGTGGTAAGCAGCTCAGCTTGCGAAACCCTGCTCATACCCTGGCTTGAGAGCCCAATTCGGCTCTACGTTCGAAGAAACGTGTCTTACAATCTGAGCCCAATTTGGCCTTGGATTCGAGACAAATACAACTAACTTGTGCAGAATTTGTTCAGTATATTGAGCCCGACGGCTTACGAAGGCTAGCGCTTGACAAGGCCGACGATAAGGAGTTTATACTTCACTGGGAACCTTGATGGACCTCGTTAATGTCAGGGGAGCAAAGCTGTATAGAGCTGAGAATGAATCACGTGAAACCTTTGGGTTTGACTGACGATGGTATAGTCACTCAAAACGTGACTTATATGGAAGCAGGATAAAGCGTCAAGAGTTCATTTGACTTCTTTTCAGACACGCCTGTTTACTTAATCGAAAAATATGTCTTTGTGTTTTCCGCACCCCCAAGTTTTATATCAGACTTTATACCCATAGTCTGATCAATGCTCCCTAGCAATATCTCTATGCTTTCGTAGACGAATTTGAGCTGCTCTAAATTGAACAAATGTGTCTTTTTGAGAGTTGTTCGGACTTGACCAGTACAGTGCGTGACAGTAAGCGACTTAATTGAGCTCGGAACACACTTCAAGTCATCCGAGCTGCCTATCCCGGTCCAATTCAGATGCAAGTTTGCAAGCTTTCGAAGATCTCTGAAATCGAGGTTGGAGAAGTTGAGTCACAAGTCGGTGAGGTTTAGTGCAGAGGAGAAAAATCCGGAGAAGAGCTCTTCTGCCGTCCAAATCAATTCTTTTCGGGCCCGGAAAGGATCCCAAGGATGGTGTCTGAGCGTTTGGAGTTTTGGACACGCGATGGCAAAGCCTTCGAGCTCACCGCACTGCGGTGTAAAATCAAGCTCGAGAGTTGAGACGACCCGGGGGCAAGCTTAAAATCAGACCCCTCATAGAGTGCTTCAAAGCAATTGTGTAGCGTGAGGCGATCTAGAGAAGGTAAGGAGAATAGAGGGGTTATCGTCGACAAGTTGAAGCCATCCCGATCATCAAGGTGCTCAAGATGAAGCTCCCTTAGATTGGTTGGGCCCCCAGGCCGATGAATCGATGCAAGATTCAGTATAGGCTCGAGACACCTTGCAGACCATATAAGGTAGAGCCTGGACAAATTGGTCGCGGATGCAATGAGAAGGGTGACTAGATATCCATAACGGTGTGTTTCCGCCATAGAGCCCCATCGAGCCAAGGTTTAGTCTTCAGCGCCGTGGATCAATTGCTGCATGTGAGCTTGCATTATGTTATCATCCTCGGTCAACCATTCTTCGTCGGCGAGGTCATCTTCGTCTTCATCGCGTTCGTAAAACACTTCGTACGCTTTCAGAGTCACTTTTTAAGCTGATTGGCCGAATAATCAGACCGCAAGGGTAAAGATGTTCGATATTGACGGCGCGAGACCAGAGCTGCTCCAATCGAAAAGGTCTGACTTGATGCGGAAGAAGTACGGTTGGCCATTCTTGCGAATAAGATCGTGGGTGTCTCGCACATCGTCTGGGTAGACAGTGCGATAAGAACCATCGGCATCGATTGCAACGGAGGAGCGCCATGGCATCAATCCAATGGAGCCTCTTTCATGAGGTATTAAAGAAACTGAAAGCTTTCCCTTGCCGACGGAGTCGTGAATAGATAGGCGAATGAAATCCCTGCGATTGGCCTGTAGGGCGGTACCATGCGCCTTCCCGCGAATAAGCATGCTTTGTGCAACGGCTTCGGGGAACATTGATTGATTCCGATCATTTCCAGCAAGGTCCTTTGTCAAGACTGCGTCACAGGTCGAATACGTTAACGCCACGTCTTTATCGGACTTGATAGCAAGTTCAACGTCGAAATCCGGGTCCCCGTAACGGTAGACCAGTTCTCTGCGAATGCGAGGGACATGCTGAGCATAATAGGCTTTCGCGCTTTCCCTGCCATCGTAGTGATGCCCGGGATGATCCAGCAAGTCCGAAAGTCGAATAAACGTAATGTTGTGCAGACCGTTTCTCACAGCGACTTCTCTCAGTGCTTCGCCATAATCCCAGACAGTTTCATCGGGAACGCCTACAAGATCTGTTGAAGGTCAGCAGATCTGGTTCGCAAAGATCATCTTCAGCTACGGCCAAAGCGCAAAGGTACCGTTGTATACGACGCCATCTGAGCAGATTTGAACTTCAGCTCCTTGTCCATAGACGGTTGAGATATTTTCGCAAAGGCCATTCAGATGAGCGAGGGCAAGCTCTTCGCCTAGATCCGGCATGGTACCAAGTACCAGGTCTTTAGAATTCGGTGACTTGAATGGGAAGCCTGGAAGAAGGAGGCGAACACGCTCATTACGCTCAACCTGCTTTGCCACCACTGGGAGGAATTTGTCAAAGGCGTCCCAGGACCCAATTCCCCTTTCGAAATGGACACCATAGCTCTCGATGATGCTGAGGATTTGAGCTGCAGTGGTCTCGTGCGGTGCCTTGTCTTTAGTGAGCCCTTGCTGGTCTACTAATTCCTTAGTGATGGGAGTGTTTGCTGAGGAGGTTTCTGAGAGAGACTCAGGGTCAGACAAAGGAATGCTTTCAACGGAAACCCGTTCGATGGGCTTGATATCTCCTCTCGAAAGATGTGAGAATCACCCGAGGGCCGAGACAGAATGGCTTGGTCATTGCCATGATCGGTTAGAAATTCGCTGACAATCTGAACTGAAGCCAATTTACTAATGAGGGTTGGATATGCGATTGAAGATTGGTTGACTATAGGAAGCACTGGTAGATTAGATATCTTCGGTTCATCCGCTGTATTCTACAGCAAGCACTTGGCATCGGCGAGCATAAGGCGATAATCACCCTATGCTCGCCGACTGATAACCTGGACTTTGTGATAACTCGACTGAGTCGGCCCACGTTTGCAGCGATCGGCCTAGCGAGGATTAGTTGGGGCGGATTACCGGTCGTCTTCTGAGAGACTAATTGGTATCTTGGGGGGTGACACTGATTCTATGCTCGCTTAGACTTCGAATACTTCGGATCTTTCGATATACTCCGGAACTTTCGAACGCTTCGGCCACCCCGAGCGGGACGATCACGTGCTCGTGCACAATACCTTTGATCCTGTGAGGCAAAGCTAGTACTGCACTGTATAGATCTTGTGGACAACTGCAGCCAAGACATTGCACCGTGGACCAGGATCTTCGCACACGTGACACAGAGCGCAGAACGCCTAGGCAAGTAGGTTTTCGAGTCTAGGAAATGTGTCCATGTGCGCAATAGGCTTCACAGATGTTTCGAAATGGATACCTCTCGGTCATGATAGATTCCACTCACTGGTACTGGTTGCCGCCGTAGTCTTGATATGTACGACAGGCCTCACGCGCATATCGATACAAGAACGTCAGACGTCTCTAGATAGAAGTTCTGAAGACCTATACAATGGTTCTATTCTTGCGAACTTATCCGACGCTGCCAGGAGGATGCCAGAACTCTCGATGAAGGTCTGTGCAATTTGCTTCGTGGCTCGGGTGGTTTCCAATTCTATTTTACAGTTCCAGGTCAGTCAGTACATCTTCTTCATAAGAGACAATCTAACCAAGACTTACAGTTACAAAAGTGACCTCTGTTAGTCAATTCGGCCCCTCATTGCATTGCCTGATCTGAATGATATGACGAACGGAAGACTAAAACTTGCAATTGCCGAGCATGACGAACTATGGTACGAAGCAGTGCGCCTGGGTAACTTGACGGGATTTATAACTTGGCTCATTAGACTCTTCGTCGTTTTCGCAATGCCACTGTCCATGGCAAAGCTGTCGACAAAGAATAGCCGACAGACACTGGCTCATTTATGGGCTTCATCCCATATTCTTTTTTCCGTCGCTACCTCCTCCACCATTTTCATCAACAGCTACCTGGTGGAATGATGCTCCTCTCGATGACCGGGGAAAGCTGGGCAGTCACCATTTGGGTACCATCCGTATTGATCGGGTACGACCTTGCGAAGCTGAGCGAAGCTGCACCAGCCAACGAGCATACCAATTCAACCGGAAGAGGCAGCAAGCGCGCTGGACTCTGCATTGGAAGTGCCATGGGGCTGCACAATTTAGAGATTTCAGCGCCGCAAATGATTTCTGCTCTGATCGATAGCTTCCTCCTTTTTGCGTTATCACACTTTGACGTGAAGGATGTTATTGGGTGGGTACTCCGATCAGGTGCACTCTCAGGACTCATTGCGGCCTTCATGATTGTTCAACTAGAGGTATGAAAGATAGAGTTTTAGAAGTTCAGGGACTCTGAAGAGAATACAGGGTAGCTTGGATATCATTGTGAACGCTTTTCACAATATCTTGATGGTAACGTCGCGTTAGAGTCTACCAGACGCCTCTTCACGCTGCCAGGGCCCAGAATCATTTCAACCTCCGTTGCAATGCTTGAAGCCCGCTGTAGCTCACTCAAAAGCACAGCTTTGTATATCCACACGTCGAGAACAATATCCGTCTCAAAGCGACCGATCTTGCATCGGAATTTCCTCTCCTCAGCGGCCGCGAAAGCGGTACCTTGCGTCACCGAAGCAATTTGTCTGTTGCACACTGATGCCCGGCGCAAAGCTGCAACGCAAAGTATCTCGGCCAGAGATTCGTCGCATTCTTTACATTGCACGTATCGTTCGCAGATTTGGACGACTCGGTGAAAAACGGCTAGGGTGTTGAAGCAGGGGCCGGTCGCCGAATGGTGGTCCAAGTGCTCGGTGATCAGGAGCAGTTTGTGGAGGCAAGAGCATTTTTCTAGCGCTTGAGGGGATGACGGCAATATGGTTTCCGGGTTTGACGTTTGCGGATCATCGAGGACTCCAGTGCCGGCCGTGAGGGAGGCCGCGTTCTGCCGTGGAACAGCACTCAAATCTTGTGCCGAACTTATCGTTTGCCACGCCTCATAAGTAGGTATTGTCTGATCTTGCCAGAGTGGGCCTTTATGAGTAGGTGAGTAAAGGTCAAAGATGTGAAAGGATGTGTTGGGTGTAGTGTTGCTGATATCGATTGCACGATTGGGGTTGTTCAGGAGAGGCGCCCAAGTATCGAAATCCAGCGGCTCAAGGGTCCCAAAATCCATATCTGCGATTCGAAGGGATTAAGCATAGTAGAAACCGGCCTCTGCTTGGTCGAAGTATAGCCACTCGCTAGCACCTTAATACAACTCATGTTATCCTCATTCAATTGTGCCAGCTGCCAAAAGCTTCTGCACTCTACCAACCCTCCTCACCTACACCCACATGTCGCAAACTCTTGCGCCTACAACAACCTTTCTATTAGCTCTTCTTCTACCAACCTGCGCACCAACTCACCGTGCGCTGCCACCCGTTACTCTCGTGAACCCAGAATCAAAAAGCGCTGTCCGAACACCACAACACCATGTCCAAGCTATTCATTGGCGGCCTTGCCTGGCACACCGATGATGCCACCCTCCGCACCAAGTTTGACGAGTTCGGCACCGTCGAAGAGGCAAAAGGACCGTGACACTGGCCGTAGCCGCGGATTCGGCTTTGTTCGCTTCTTTTAGCAGGGCGAGGCCAACCAAACGATCGAAAACATGAACAACGTCGAGTTCGATGGCCGAACCATCCGCGTTGACAAGGCTTCCGAGCGGTCCAGCAGAGGCGGAGGCGGAGGGGGATACTCCCGTGGCGGTGGAGGAGGTGGCTATGGCGGAGGCCGTGGGGGTGGAGGCTACGGCGGCGGAGGTAGCTATAGAGCAGGATACGGTGGACGCTTCGGCGGAGGCGGCGGATATGGCGGCGGTGCCGGCAACTAGTCAGGAAGCCGTCCGGGGAGCCATAGCCGGTTCCTATAACGCTGGCGCATTGGAATCGCCAGCAGAAGGTGAACGCCCACGTCTAGAGGGAGCAAGAATGGGCTCCTACGATGCCCCAGTTGATTGAATTGAGTGCCAAGACTCAATCAACTTAATAAACTAACTTATGTCTTTTCAAGGGGGCAGATAAACACACACCCCCTTTTGAGTAACCGCACAGCCCTTTTCGAGTAACCACACACCCCCTTCCCCCTGTCACTTCACCGCCTTCTGATTTGCTCGGAGGGCTGCTCCGTAGCCTCCGATTCGCTCGCTTAACTTGCTCACTAATTCCAAATGCTCTCTTCAAATCGGCTACGTACAACACAAGCAATTACATGGCTATATAGCCTGCAGCGCAGACTATCTGATTTGTGCAGCTGTATATATGGCCGTATGTGAGCTTGTACGTGAGCTTGTACGTGAGGCTATACGTGAGGCTATACAAATCGGCATGGCTATATAGCCTCTCCATTTTACAGTGTAGCTGTAAATATAGCCGTACGTGAGCTCGTACGTAAGGCTATGCGTGAGGCTATACAAATCGGCAAGGCTATACACGTGTAGATGCACGTGAAAATAAATGCCCGGAGCAAGGTTCCAGCCCTCCGAGCCAATCAGAAGATTAGATGAAAGGGGGGGTGTGTGGTTACTCGAAAGGGGGTGTGCGGTTACTCGAAAGGGGATGTGCGGTTACTCAAAAGGGGGTGTTCGTTTATCTGCCCCCCTTTTCAAAACCGTTAATTAATAATTGTACCTGCTCAGGAACCATCCGAGAATCTAGAAATTCACCAGCATCCCCCGAATATCATCGTGAGTCACCTTCTCTGGGAGCTACTGGAATGTTAGATGCTGCATTTGAAGCTCAAGTTACTTGCGACAGCATCTGACCGGGAGATTAAATCTCCGGGCGGGCTTGAAGATCATATCGAGCACCCGGATGAGCCATCACATCACCTTCACATTAGAAGCGCGAGTCGAGGCTCTCATTGGATTGACGAGAAACGACAGTGAAATCGAGGAACACCTTGATACACAATCAATCAAGTCCATGGAGCAACCAGCTCACAACCCCATGCTTACGGCGAATGAAATCGACAAGAAAACTCGCCTTGATACACTGCGAGCAGCTAAGCCAGGGGAGCAGCCAGTAGGGAAGCTTGCTAAGCTACTAGCTCAACTCCCCTGAGCAGATATTTAGCGGCAGCGACCCCGGAGAAAGCCTCGACGCACTATTAGGTAAGCAGCTAGTGGAAAAATTCAGCCAAAGAGCTAGCTAAAGAGCTAGCCAAAGATCTAGTTGAAGATCTGGTAGAGCGACCAGCCGATCCGTCAGTTCTCTGCCCGGAGCTGACGTTAAACGATGGCGACCACAAAATGTGTATTTACGCACTGCCAAATGAACAGTATCTTGAAGTAGCCAGGTTCGCCCGCTAGCGCAAGCCAATACAAGCAAGAAAAGAGACGATATTTGGGAGGTTCCCTGCTCGGATGAAGTAGCCATTGATCAACTCGCTGAGAACGTGGTTGCCCCGGCTCCGGCGGGTTTCTCTACTGGTCCACGTTGCCCGGTGCAAACCCGAAGCAGAAGATAGGGCACGACGCTTTGGTGATTTCGTTGGATGGTGCACCCCTCTATGGAAGGAGTGGACGACTTCAGCTTACAAAGATCTTGAATCCTATTAGCTGAGAGGTTCATTGGAAAGATTGAAGGCTGGGTCGTACTATGACGTGATTGAGGTCTAAACGCTCGGGTTTGCAGTCTTGCTCGCAGGTTCAATATCTCCTTTTCTTGCTCACTTCCTCATTATGACTTGCAGTGAACACTGCCACTGTCTCTTGGTTTCGATTACTCTTAATCTGAGCAACCGCTTGTTTGATCGTCATACGCGAGTTGGGGTGAGGATCTAGCATGGCCTCGCAGCAATCGGCAATCGAAGAGTTAGACTCTGATAGCCATGTCTGGAGTATTTCTAGCTGTTCCCCTGGCCAAAGTCGGCCAGTACTTCGTGGTCTACGAATCAGTTCTGACCCGATTAGGCCACAAGCCAAACAGTCGACAGGAGGACCGTGGGTTTGCTTTTCAACTTGTTCAGGAGCCAAATAAGGTACCGTCCCTGGCCAATCATACTCAATTTCCTTTTCCTCCGAGGCGCAGCCGAAATCAGTAATCGTGCAATCTGGTGGGTTATAGGTTTTGACAAGAATATTGTCAGGCTTGAGGTCTCTTTTCTGTGAACAAACTCTGGTTGATGGCGCCAGAAGTTGCCTTTTGGTCGCTTGATTCTATGGGTTTCTTCTTCCATAATATAGTTGCCAATTCCTTCATCCTTCTTGCATGCCCTGAGAATTGACTGTGCTTCACAAGCCCGGTACTCAGGGGGCTTGAAATGCCAGGTTTCTGGGGGCTCAGCACCGGCGTTAATAGCAAGATCCTCCCATGGCGCTGACTTGATTCTTTTGGGTATATCTCTCTATCCTTCACCAGGCTCGCAATTCGTGCAGTGTCGCTAGGAGAAAGAGCTCTTTTGCGACCTCTTAACTCATGCCCTTGGTTGTGATGTGATCTTGGCTGATTTGATGCTAGAATTGTGTGCTGAGAGTCCTTAGATACACCAGTGATAATCTGAATATCTTCAGCTGTGGCGGTTCTGCCCCAGTGTTGTGCATAGAGCTTGCCCCAGAATACTCCACAGTGTGATGGTGTCTTCGGAATGGTGTAGTTCTCCTTGTTCCCGGGGCTGTGAACAAGATCAGAAGGTGGGGTGAAGTGGCGCGGGCGGGATTTTCGCTTGGGGGCTTGCTTCAGAACACGAGGCATAATTTGGCTGAGAATTGATGTTATGAGGTTTGTTATGATTTTGAAGCATGAGAATCAGGGGCTATTTGGTGTTGTGGCCCGTGCCTTAAAAACGGAGGTTATTACTCCGGTGTAGAGCCACGGTCGCCTTAGTAGCCTCCGGTTTGGCATGCGACAACCAAGAGGGATTAAGGGAGAGTCGGCAATTGTGTTCCGAGATAAAATCTATCCTCAAGAGGCAAGTGTCAATTACTGACTGAATTTCATTTCCTGGGTTGAAGTCTGGTAACTAATGTTTTAAGCTCCGCATAACGTTACTGCGACCTCGCCGCCGTCACCGGCTTCGATTCCGCGACGCCCCGCAACACCAGCTCTGCGACACCCTCTCCACGACAGCAGCCATCACAACGTCCTATACTCGCCGTCCTCTGCTTCCGCAGCGTCGCCGAATCCGCGAGCTCGTCGCGATTCTAGAGACCCCGCCGTCGCGATTCTAGAGACCCCCGCCGTCGCAATCTCGTCATCGAGCTCCTCTTCAGCACCCTAATACACTTCCTCCCGACCCGGACGGCAGCGCAATCACGGCGGCAATGATCTAGAAGCGCCTGACCGAAGTCCTCACTCTGGCTCGCGTTCCTTACACTAACCAGTGTCACAGGCTCCAATCATCGTCGCTGCTCGACCTTCTCACTCTTCCGACCGCCTCACCACCCTCTCCGATCAGCACACCAACGTGCCGGACCTGCTATCGCCTCACTCCTTCCACCTCGTCCTATCTCACCCTACACCACCGAACGATCGTCTCTCCACTGCCCTAGCAACATGGTTCGCGAGACAGGCTCGCGCCACATACAACGCGTTTGAGGGGAAGTTCGAGGCGCTGGGACCGCTTCATCGGGCCTGTGCGACAAGTGATGGAGGCCCTCCGCTGTGGCAGCCACACCGACATACACAGTGTTGACTTCGGCACTGGCTATGGAGTGGTGCCGGTCGCCACCAAGAAGATGGGCACCGGGCTGCTATAATCTCCTTCGAGGCCTCCCCGCTCGGCTCACGGCCTTCGCGTTCTTCAGCTGGGAGTACAACAATGAATTGACTATGCAGAGGAAAGTTATCTCGGTGAAGACCATGTCCTTAAATACAGTTTCCTCCTTCACACAATTTGGCTGACTCACGCGGCAACTCACCTAGTGAGTTCCGTCGTGAGTTCCTCAAAGCTCCAATCGAGTCCTGCTGAGTCATCCTGCCCCCGCCTGGCCCTCAGTCGTGGCACTGCCCTCCAGCTCCTCGATTACCTGCTCAAGCGCATCACTGCGGCAAGCGGGCCTTGGCAAGGTCCTCGCCGCGGATTGGGCGACATCGCGGACTCGGGCGGTGAAGATGAAGACGTCGCGGATGTAGGTGTTGCTTCCGGCGTAGACGATGTCGCCAGTGCCCATCGCTTGGTCGAGGTTGGGCTAGAAGAAGCCGGAATTCCTGGAGCAGAAGCCTCCGCCAGCGCCGTTCGCGCCATGGCAGGGCGGGCCACGGGCCAAGGGAGCTTGAAAGGCCAGCAGGGACTTCCGAGGATGACGCGAATAAGGTCGAGCGCCGCATAGGAACCCGGCTTGGTTTTGGCCACACGAGCGTTGCGATTCCCCTACGTCTTCTGTTTCCTATGTCAAAATTGTCCGTTATCCTGTGATAATTGAGTGACTTACCACCCTTAGGAGTTGAACAGTGCCACAGAATAAAAAACCATTCAACGAAATCCTCTGCCGTCATGAATATAGGATTTCACGCGTGGCCGATACCCAATGCCTCCATTTCTTCTCTCCTTGACCAGGCCAGCTTTGATCACAGTGAATCCACACATCAGCTAGAGTTTCGCTCTGCTCCTTTACAAGTGTCTGCCCTTTGTGACATTGAAATTTGCCATCCGTCCATGACTACTCTTCGCGCTGCTGAGTCGTTGCAACTGCCCGGGAGCTTTGCGAAACGGGAATAACGGCGGATCCGTGGCTGTGTGAGCCGTCGGTAGATTCACCGGCGTTGCGTTGCTTTCGCTCAGTCTGTGAGGGCTTAGAACGCCTGCTGGAACGTTTAGCCGGTGGTCTCTCAGTCTGTGAGGGCTCAGAACGCGTCCTGGAACGTTTAGCCGGTGGTCTGTAATCCGCAAGCTCCTCTGTTAAACTATCAGATTCCTCGATGCCCTCTTCATTCAGCGACCCTGATGCATCACCCCCTGGATCACCTGATGCATCACCCGCTGAATCACCTGCTAGTGCTGGTGTTTCAGCTGCAACAGAGTTGGCTCTCTCGTTCGCCTGTCGAATAGCTTCGTCCCTCTGCACTTTTGTCCAGTCTCTCGCATTTCTGTATGCAGTAGCTCCCTGCCGGAAGGCTTCTGGATCGCCGGTCATAGACCACCCCTTAAGTTGATGCATAATATACTCTTGACGGGCCCCGGGTTTACTTGCCTGCGCAGGATGGCTGGTGTACATCCCGAGAGTGCCGCCATGATAAGTCGATGTAATGGTGTAAGCATTGTTGTCAAAAACAGGCTCATCCTTCCCGTATGACTGAAGACTGTGCATACCTCTTGCTCCCAATGCACCGTCGTAACAAGCCTGTCGTCCAGCCACCGCCAACGATCCATCCGGCCCCTTGGTTGCCAGGAAAAAGTTTGGCGCAATAGGAAGGTCCTCCTGCTTTGTAGGAAGGATATGGCCGCCAAGCTCGTTAAGGACTTTTCGAGTAAGCTGTTCTGGTGGCGCACCGTAATAGACGTCTGGGTTCCCAGGTCTAAGCGAGCCGTCCGTTAGATGATCGAGGTTGTTGAACGGGATTCCTCCTACGCGGCATCTATCATCAATCGTGCCTTCAATAATAGGAATCACCAGTTCTGCCACTTGTTTCTCTTTGTGGGCGCGCTTATTTGCTCGTCTAAAACCTTCGAACTTTCCATCAGAAAATCGAGATGGCGAAAGAGACGGTCGACGTTGCGCTAATACTTGTTTGAGATCCTCCCAGTTGTTAGGCTTAGCAGGTACACTGCCATCAGGGTATTCGTATCCATCACAATAAATACCGTTTTCAGTAAGGTGCTGAAGAAAGTTGCGGTCATAAGGCCCGGTCTTCTTTGTTTTCATAGCATTCGGGGTGGGCTTAGTGCTCAGGGGATTCTCTGAACCCTGTTGTTGGCCCTGTTGTCGGCCCTGCTGTCGGCCCCGTTGTCGGCCCCGTTGTTGGCCCTGTTGTTGGCTCCCAGGACTTGACTGGCTCGGGGTCATGGTGCAATTGGAAGAACGGAGAGGTTCAGGGTACTAGAGAGCGTCATCAGCTTTGGCACCAGCGGGCAAGTATTTTATAGTACATACATTCCTCAGGTTTGAGAGGTCTGGGCCACCGTGTCTAGAAAACTGCTTTATGTCTTTTAGGGTCCTTGGATTGCAAGAACGGAGATCATGGGCCGTGTCTTTGGCAGTTTGGCGATTTCTCTTTGACTCAGTTTGGCGATTCCTCTTTAACTCAGCGAGGAAGTTTCGAGTGACCGGCCGGCGGACTTGTTGATACAATGAACAGGGCGGGGTTGGAGCAACTTGAGGGTTTCTTCGGTCTAGCTCTCTCAACGCTTGTCTCGTCAACCAGATCTTTGATAAGTTATTCCAAAATGCCGGTGGTGGTTGGGATCCGCTGGGATAGCGGACCCTCCGCTTTTTCAGCGCTGGTTGCGATATTTCGTTCGGTTGAGGCCGCTCTGAGCGTTGACGTTTGCCAGAAGCTGAGAGTTGTAGTTCAAGCATCTGGGGATCGCAAACAAGATGGCTTCGTTGGCGTGCCTGCTGCTTGCCGCCGTGCCGCTCTGCTGGAGACATTATGCAAGCAGTGGGTTGATACATTGCGGCGCTCTGGAGTTGGTGAAGTCGCCTGATAAGTAAAGGAGGCAATGCTTTGTTCTTTAACGGTTGAGTTGGTGGTGGGCTGGCACGCTCCTAATGCAGGCTTGGCGTGGAACAATCAGAAGGTTGTGAAGCGCCAAGAAGGGGGGGGGGTGTCCTTTTACCAAAGTAGGGGGTGTGCATGGAGAGACTAAGGGGTGTGAGATTATGAACCCTCTTCCTTTATACTAGAAGTTATATCAGTGTAGGTGAAAACCCCGCCGTTTTTGGACGTCGCCTGCTTGCCCCAAGACGGCGGCAATCGCCGTTCACTCTCATTGACTCGCCGCCGCTTCCGATGGGATTTTCCGCCCCGCGACCACCTCCGACCCCGACCCGCTGCGTATAAAAGCCCCGTCCACCTCTCCCCAATTCCCTCGCTTCCACCTGTTTTATTTCAACTGCATTTCCTCTCTCGACCAAGCTCTCCCTTCCCCAGCTACCCGCGCCGCTTCAACATCCCCCTTTCACTGGCCCCCTCTCCGACGCATCCAAGCCTTCGCCCTATCGGCCCTCGTTCGTCTTCCATCGTCTTCCCTCTCTTTTCCCCGCCGCCGTCGCTGTCTTTGACTAGCACCCCTCTCCAGCGTACTGTACCGGCTCGGCATTTCTGAGTTTCCGCGTCCAGTTCTTTTCACAGCCGCCGCCTAGGTCGTACCTCTCGCTCGCTCACTCACTCACTCAATCTCTCGTGGTTGACGACTTCTCAACCGGTCCTTCTTCACCCCTTCTCCAGTGCCGTTTCTGCTTCTTCCATTCCCCATTCTTCTCAAAAGAGCTCAGCAGTACTTCGAGGACTCTCCTTTGGGTTCGGAGCCCTCTCCTCCCTTGCCTCACGATGGTGCGGCCCCCTGGATTTGGCCCATCCCTGTCCTCCGACGTCAGTTCAACCAGCACGATACGATTCCAAAGGTGGCCAGCTGATCCTCTGGGTCATCCCAGGCTAGTGAATTCCGGTTTACTTCGCCTGCCACCAGCAATGTCGGCAGGCGGTCAGCGGCCGGACACGAGGCCTCTCTCTGAGGATCCCTAGTACCCGTCGTAATCCGTTTCCTAGGTCTACCCGTAGGTGCAGGCGCACGCTTCGGTTTCAGCTGACTCGGCATGGCCGTGGCGAACGGTGAACCGAGAGGAGGCGCCGAGACCCGAGGCGTGAGGCGCGAGGCGCGAGGCAGGATTGCATGCTGCAGGCTGCCTTCATACTCTCTCAAGAGGATTTAGGATCACATGGGCATCGGCCCTTCCATGGCCCCCAACAGCTCCACCGGCATCCCAACGAGTCACAAGATGGAATTTTTCTCCGCTTGTCAACGGCGGTCCCGAGTCATTCCTTCTCGTGCGACGGTTTCGAGGGGCGGCATATAAGGCCTCGGTGCTCCCTCGTTCCATTCCCGGGGAACAGCATCCAGCAGCACATTCCGACAGCGTCCAGCAAAAACCAGTCGAACAGGCCTCGAGCGAGCTGGAGAATGGCTGCCTCCGTAACATCTTTCAATTTCCCTCTCAAACCGACCGATCCCTTTGTCACTATCATGGTCCACCCAAACCCAAACCCAAACGAGCCCCGAAGCCGGACCAAGCATCCAGCCGCAAAGTCGACCCGTCTCCTGATGTCCCATGGACCCACATCGACGATATTCTTGACTCGGCCGAGCCGGACCCGGTTCCGGAGCTCGACGGAGATTCGCTTGAGGCAGTCAAGGTAAGTGCGGAAGCGCGGAAGCGCGATGCACATATCGTTCGGGCGATTGGATATTCTAACATGTCCAATAGGCGCTCCTATAACCATCGAGGACAGCGAACCCGAGACGGACTCTGAAGACGGACTCTGAAGATGAACTGCCCATTATTGATGAGTTGCTCCGGCGGAGACCTGCCCCGAAGCAGGAGGAACAGGCAGGCGCCGCGCCGGCCGCTGAGGGCCTGATTGGGGACACAAGAACGCCGGCAGCTGTCAGCCATGGCGATGGCGGAAGTGGAGGCGATGCTGATGGCGATGCGAGACGATCTAGCCAGCCGTCCGAAGGCGAAGCCGGCGCCGAGGAGAGAGGCGAAGCCGTGATGAACTCAGGCTCAGCAGGTATGCCTTCCAGTCGGCTTTTGTCTCGCCATGACTCAATTGACAAATGCGCGTGCGTGCAGAACATGGAGATGGCAGCGGCGACGATGATGACGGCAACAACAACAGCGCCACGGGACCGACTTGCTATCCCCCAAGCAGAGGAAGCGCGCTCGCTCCGTGTCCAGCGATGCGACAGCCACCATCCGTGGAACACCCGAACCTGACCCTGATGAGCCTCTTGAGGGTCTACATGCGGCAAAGCGGCAGCGACAGCGGTCATACCTTTCGTACGGGCGAGGGCGACGAGTCGATGTCCATGCGTGCCCCAACGCCAAACCCTATCCCGCCACCGGCGTCCCAAGCGGCGACTGCCGAAGGCCGCAGCAGGATGGACAATGAGCGCCGCGGCGCCGAGTACAATGGCGAGGCCGTCGTGGCCACCTCGGACCGCGAAGACGGTGGTTGCTGGCGGCGACGCTGGTGACGACGCTGGCGACGATGACCACGGAACACAATCGCCGGTGCGAGCGGCAAGACGGCGTCGTAGTGCCAAGCTATCACACACAATGGGACTGCCGGCCACACCATTCGCTCGGAGGCCCGCCGCAAGGCTCGTGAATCAGCGGACGGCTGGCCTCAAAGTCCAGCCACCACTCGCTGAGGTTGCAGTGCCTCCACTCCACCGCCATGCGTTCTCTGCGGTTGGGAAAGGCGCGGTGCAGGCGGACCTCGACAGCAACAACGACTACAGATCGAGCTAAGGTCGCCAACACAAGGTCACCGAGATATCCTTAGCAGTTACCGTCTAGACGGCCGGCGATATGCTGCAGTTGTCTTCCAGCGAGCCGGCCGAGCTTGTGGAAAGCGTGCTGGGCTATGTAGGAAAGGTCGATGACGCTGCCATCAAGCTATTGGGCCCGGCAGGCTCTTGGCGAGTATCAGGCAAATTTCACCTTTGCAACGTCGGCAGCGACGTCCCAATGTCCACATCAGGCCGCGAGCCCACGCCAGCAGACGGCGTCCCCAGCTCGGACCTTCGAAAGAGGGCGCGCTCCTTGTGCAGCAGCAGTGTAGGCAGCGGCACGGTGGGCGGCAGGTGGACGACACGGTGAATGACGCGGAAGTTGCTAACACCATCGACGGTGAGGACGAGGATGGGATCTCGGACGACGGTCATCGCCGGTTACGTGATAACGGTTACGGTAGTGATGGTAGCAGTGGTGATGACAACGACGACGAAGATGATGATGACGGCTATGGCGATCATGGCGGCAAGTCTTCCGCTACAGGCCGCAGAAATCGCCGGTGGGAGCGGGAGGAGGAGCGGCGCTTGTTGGCATGGAGGAGGGACGGGAAGCCGTTGGCGTGGATAGCTGATCGATTGGACAGGACTGAGGGCGCTGTGTACCTTCGCTGGCACACGTTGCAGCGGTCCGCACAAGGAGAAGCAGACTAGGCTTCGGGAAGAAGAGACTTGGCACTGATGCTGGTATCAAACATCATGTCACCACTTGTCGCCTTGCGCTGGCGTCGGGGGCTCTAAGCCGACGGGTGCCGTACATGGGGAACAGAGGACGGGACATGGGATATGGGACATTGGCCATTTGGGAGACTCGGAGCAAAAGGCGTTCCTATCGGCGCTAGTGGTCTGGCAGAGTTATAGTAGCTTCACGACAAAGGAGCAAATCATGCCTTCAAAGATGCGCTGCTCGACTGAGCTTGGTGTTTTTTCTTTCCGGCTGCGCCCGAGTTTTCAGACCATTCACCTCTGGGGAGGATGGAGCGATCACCCTAAGGAAACAGATGAAATCTACGATTGGCTAGTCTCTCGCATTAACCGCGACCCGAAAGTCTCATTCCGGATCTTGTCGCACGGACAACTCGAAGAACATGTCCAGGAGTTCGCAAGACGCGCTGTTGGCACGTGATAGAAAGACCACGTGACATCACGAGCTGGCTTAGCAGCCTGCGTAAAGGTGCGACCGCATCGACAGACTTCGCGGTTTTAGCAAGTACACTCTCAGTCGTCCGAGCTCTCCCAGACCCCCTCAGATTCTCTGCCTTTAGGACGCTTCTCAGTTGTTCAGGCCATCGCAGAGGTCCACGCGTGAGTACCTTTATTTTCCAGAAATGAGCCAATGCGAACCAGACTTCTCTATCCCTACTGACACGTCCAGCTGTTGATCAAGACCGCGTTACGAGCTATTTCCGCCTCAGCGCTGCTGCTCGAGAAATAACAATCTCCCGCCACCCGCCGCCCTCGTTATGGCACAGATAGAGGTCCTTGAGACTGCAGAAAGCTTTAGAGAAGTCGATAGAGAATACAAATTTTCGCATACGCTCATCGTATATCGGATGGACAACGGGATCTATCATGCACTATCGCAGGCTCGCTGCTCCACAACCAAAGTCGACAATCAATGTCTAACGGACAATATCCAAGTCCCTATTGCTGCCTATCAGCCCCTCTTCCCACCGGGCCTAACACGAGCCCCGGATCCGTTGCCGGTCGACAGCTATGTCAAACGCCCGAGACTTATCTCTTACAATCGACTTCGGAATAGTAGAAGACCCACCTATATCGCCGACCAAGTTCTTAAAGAAGCAGAAGTCTGCGAAATCGTTGAGCGACATCCCTATCCCAATATCGCGAAATACCTTGGTTGCGAAGTTCATAATGGTTAAATTACAGGCATCTGCTTCGTCAAGTACCCAGAAACCCTAATGCAAAGGGCGAATCCTCGTGGTTATATGAAGGGGGCTTATACGTATTGCAGCCAAACTCTTGTACTTGGCTACCGAGAGGTTGCAAGAGGGGGATAAATGGGGGAGGAGAAGAGGGCAGTGATAGGATGGTCTACGAGGGGATTGGTGTGATATCTCGATTGGTAATTCATGAGTTACCCATGTCTTCATCCCATGCCAGTTGTAGATCCCTCCCACTCTATGTTCTCAGTATGCCCATTGCAATAGTAGTTGATGGCCTTTGTTGCAACTCAACACCTCACGCGGCCTGCGACACCACACGAACGCGCCTCTCGTGCGGTCAGATCTTTTTCGCATTGTCTTTCCGCCTTCCCGACGCCATAAGTCCTGCCAACGCCTAGTTGGACGACGTCTTCGGCGCCGGCGGCGCATACGCTGTTACTCATGCCTCAACACCTCTCCGCCCTATCTCGCCACCTGCTCAGCCTTTCCGCCTTCCCCAACGCTATGAATCCCACCGACACCCGATTAGACTCCGTATTCGGCAAACCCTCCCTCTGCCCAACATACGCGCAGACTACCTCCCCAAGCCGTGCAGAACGACGCCCCCTATCCTCCTCCGTCCCGTCGCTCGCGCTTCGAAGCAGACACGCTTCGCCTGCGTCTGCCGCCGAACGGTCTATTACCGACCGATAACCCTCGTCTTCCTGCCCTGCCCTGAAGCGCCTACAAACGACCACGCGTAAACTGCTTCTGGTTCGCAGTTCCAGATTCGAACCTGATCTACACCGAGGGCTGCACAAATGAGTACAATCATGGAGATCGAAAATGGCGGGCGCTGAACAAGATTCCAGCACAGCGGCGCAACTGGCCGCCGAGACCTGTTGTCTCCCGGCATTTGGAAAGGGACGCTGTAGATGGTGTTGATCTAGATGCGACTTCACGGGCGGCTCGACCCGTGGTTATCTCGGCCCTCACCGTGATGGCAACGCCCGCCCAAAGCGAAGAGCGCGATGATGACTGCGCCTCTTCGGCCTCGCTAACCGCCAGCTCGAGGGCTAGCTCGATGGCCTCGGGCTGATCCCCCAACCCCATAAGGAGATGGCGGACCTCAAAGTTGCGTACCGGGCAGTGACGCAGGCAGACTTTGCTGAAGCACGAGATCTCCCGCGCTGTATTCACATCCGCAACATACTCTTCAGGGTGTAGAGATGCACTGGCGCGACATCGTCCCAAAGGAGATCAAGGTTTGCGCTCGTGGCAACGTCACCCTTGACATCAAGACCACAACGCGACGAATCGCCCTAAGACCTGCGAGAATCGAGCCGCGCGCCGAAACCAGCCCCGAAAGTTGTAGATGCAGGTCCAATACGACGCGGCCGAGCAATAGCCGTAGGATATAACATGTGAGCGGCGTCGCCGAATGGGATAGGATACATATATCGATGTTGTTGTAGCGATGGATTATTTCTTTTGTAGCATGTGATAGCGTATCTGTACTGCGCCTGGGGTCCGACCTGGGAAGCGGTTAAATATCTCCTTCCACTCCATGACCATGTTTCTCCTGTACGCGAGTAACCGCTGGTCGTCCGACTCTAACCATGCTGCTCGCTTTCGTTTGGGGAGGCGCATATTGCCTCTATTAAACCTCGGATTAGGGCCCATAGCATGAGGCTTGTATTCCGCTGTGTCTTCATCTGCATCCTTGTCCTCGTCCTCTTCGCCCATGTAGTTGTCTGCATGGTTAGCGTTATAATTCGCAGCTTCGCCGTAAGAATTGCTCTTGTGGTCTGCACTAAGCACCGTCCAGCTCCGACAAGGACATGAGTCTGATGCACCATCGTTATATCGGCATCTGGCAGCCAGTTAGAATGCTCCTACGCACGTCTGTCTACGCGTCTCAGCTGTACAGGGTTCACTTCTCAGCTGGACAAGGTTCACCTGTTGTTTTGTCACCGTTGCTGCCTGCAACCCCTGGTCTCTCTTCACTATATAGCCACTCGTTAGCACCTCAATACAACTCATGCTTTCCTCACTGATCCTTTGCCCTTCCTACGCCAGCTGCCAGCATCCCAGTAACAACCACGAATCCTGCGATACCTGGGTTATCCGGATAACTTGACCTCTCTCTCCAAGAATGCTAGTATCAAGCGCTATTAGGTCCAGAGGCAGTTTTGACTTATTGCAACGGACAATTGCTAATACAATTAACAGGGCCTTTGGTATAGGGTGAAGAGTAACATCGGCTATCTAGTAGGCCCGGTTGGCGCTAAGTTTATAAGTGTGAGCTTCCTTCTTATAACTTTTACTTCAGCATTATTTCGCTTGCGATGGCAGACCGTAACATTAATCCTGCGAATAACTTCGAACCCCAGCAAAAAAGAAGCAAAGACCTCGCGATCAACAACACATACATCCGACGTTCCTTGGTTCGTTTAGGACTTCACGCCACCGCCAAGTTCTTTCACCGGTATGGTCCTTGTGCACCCATTTCGAAATTACAAAATCGTCAAAACAGGATATTCAGTGGGCGCCGCTAATCCCACACCCCCTAATTCCTAGACGTACACCCCCTTTTCACTACACGTACGCCCCCTCCCCCCTGTCGTTTCACCACCTTCTAATTGGCTCGGAGGGCTACTCCGGAGCTTCCGATTCGCTCGCTTAACTTGCTCACTAATTCTAAATGCTCTCTCTAAATGCGGCTATGTACAATACAAGCAATTACATCATGCCGATTTGTATAGCCTCACGTATAGCCTTACATACGAGCTCACGTACGAGCTCACGTACAGCTGTATATATGGCTGCACGAATTGGAAAGGATGCGCCATAGAACAGAGAGGCTGTATAGCTATGCCGATTCGTATAGCCTCACGTACGAGCTCACGTACGGCCTCGCGTATAGCATCACGTGCAGATGGACGTATAGGTGAATGCCCGGAGGAAGCTCCGCGTTGCTCCGAGCCAATTAGAAGGTGGTGAAACGACAGGGGAGGGAGGGGGTGTACGTGTAGTGAAAAAGGGGGTGTATATCTAGGAATTAGGGGGTGTGGGATTAGCAGCGCCCTATTCAGTACACCTGACAGAAGCCGCCATAATGAAGTACGTCGCTGAACATACCTCGATACCTGTTCCTAAAGTTTACTGCTCCTTTCTCCGCAAGAACCGAGCCTATATTGCAATGGAACGAATCCAAGGCAAAGATCTAGCAAGCGCTTGGAAGGAACTCTCTAAGGAATCTCTTGAGGAAATATTCTCGCAACTGAAAGACACGATCCAGGAGCTTCGGGCTTTGGAATCTCCGCCTGGTACGGGAGTAGAGAGTTGCGTTGGTAGCTCCTTGTACGACTCCCGTCTCCCGCACGGGACCCCACGCTTTGGGCCTTTCAAGACAATTCAAGAATTCCATCGCTAGCTGAGAGACAATATTGAAGCGCGCAGATAGGCGACCACGTCGCCCAGCAGGACGCCAACGACATCAGAATCATGATTGCGAAACAGGAGGGTCAATGGCCGCCCCCGGTTTTCACACGTTGCGATCTAAACCCGTTCAACACCTTAGTTTCTAAAGACAAGGTGGTTGCAATTATTGATTGGGAGTTCTCCGGGTGGTATCCTTCCTATTGGAAATTCACCACTGCTTAGTTTGGAAACCGGACTAGACTTGAATGGCAGGGCATTCTCCATTCCCTACTTCACGCCTATCTTGAAGAACTAGAACTGGAAAGAACTCGCAACGAATGGTGGGGCGAGTGGTGAAATATGTGTGCTTTGAATCGACGCCACTATTTCCACCTTAAGACACGGTCTCCTTCCCTTCGATCAAATCATAAGTCGGTTTAGGCTTCAACATATCCTCTGCCTTCGCATACCTCCCTGCAGTAGTTTTCTGGGCAACATATTGCCTTGCGAACGCCTCAACGGTCCTCCAATCCAGCTGAGAAGAACCCACGCAGTTCCCGTCTTTCGCGATCTCTGCTAGAGCCTGCGCAACCCATGCACGACATCTCCGGTTCATGTCCCCATTGACGACGGGAACATTGCGTAGAAGTTGGATTAGACGCTGTTCATTCTTTACCTTTGCAATAACGATACGGGCGAGTAATGTGGTCGTTGATCGGACATCGCTGACGCTCTTCTCTTCATACGTCCATCCCCTAAACGCCCACCGCAGGCTCAGAGCACACTTATTATCCACCCTGAAGTCTTATGAGTATACAGTACCAGACCAGAGACCGCTCCTCGTCCTCGAGCTGTCAGACATGGGGACGCAATGACGAATCCTTTCTCTTTCCACCGAGGCATCTCCTTCAGCCCTCAAGAGCATTAGGGCGGCCTTAGTGATACACAATTCGTAGGTACGCCACCGATTAATGCCTCACAGACACCTCAAGCCTCTTACCGCCCTTTGTCGGATCGAGCGAGGGCTGCTGCCCACCTACAGACACAACTGGACCCATACAGGCTCCGATTCCTCGAACTGGATGAATGGGACGAGCTTAATAGCTATGGGGAAGACGTGCCGACCGTGCTCCACTATTCGATCGAGTGGAAGGTCGCCGTCAATAACAAGGTAGTGTCCAAGGACACTGAGCAAGGCGTTGTTTTGGTCCCCATAGCCTACTGGCATATGATTCTCAGGCCCAAGTTCGAAAGGCTTCTGCAAAACAAGTTTGGGGCTAATAGGCAGATGCAATGTGACGACACTAATGTGACTTTTTCAGTAACAGACCGTACGCAACGTGATCTCGTCAAGCGCTCTGACAATCTGGACCGCATGAAGCCGATCCGCTTGTCGCAGCCGGATTCATCCACGAATACGAGATGGTATGACTTGAAATCAGAGAGATTGTGCAAATAGAAGTCCCGGAGATGTTTGTTCCGTTGTTGAGCCACTTGGCGAATAACTTTCTTTGTCCAGCGTGCGGTTGCCAGAACGCGACTGATCGTGGAAGCATTCACAAGAACACCGAACTCGCCGCGTAGGAAGACCACCATCTCGTCTTGGTATAGTCCGAGCTCTCTAGCAACCGTTCACGAAGAGCGTCAAGCATCGAAAGGGTTATTCGTCGTCGTGGTCCAGGAGAGCCATTCGAGGGATCTCTGGTTGCACCGAAGCATCGAAGGATAGAGCGAATTGCCCTCACTGAGCGGTCGCCGCAGCCGGCAACCGCTGCAATCTGTACCTATTACTCAGGATCATGTCCTGTATCATGTCATGCTGCGATCCTGCCAGGTTGGGAGACATGGCATGTTTCTGTAGTTGTTCTTGAGCGTTCGAGAGGGATGCGGATGTTGAAACAATGGGGTTTGGGGGTGGTGGAATGCCAGATGAGCCGACCAATGAGGCCATGATTCTCGAGACTTGCGGCGTCAATCCGAGAGCTTTTTTGAGATCCTGGGACGTGGAATGTGGACTGTGGACTGAGGACTGTGGACTGTGGACTGTGGAATGGCCAGCCGCGCTTTGCTCGTCCTAGATGACTTCCATTATGGGATTAGCTTGAGAATGAACCTCGGCTGGCGTCTTAACTGGCTTTGCGCCAAGGTTTTGCATTTTTTGCAATCTTCCCAGGAGTAGTTTACATGGGGGATCCTGTGCGGAAAGCAATTCTATTCAAGGGCCTTGCGCGCACTACCCTCTCTTTAGCCCGCGTACCTCTACCACGGATCGGATCATTCACATTCCACGACAATGGAACCATAGCACTCTCAAATCGGCCACTCACATCCACCCTTGCTATCATGGAAAGCTATGGGACTCCAAAAGCAATCGAACCGAATACAACATATGCGTCTGTCGAGCCATACATCTCTGACCTTCTAGCTTACCATGATCGCCGCTTCCTAAATCAGCCCAATGCCGTCCTTAGTCACGCTGATGGCCAAAGACAGATGGCCCAAAAGGTCTTATTAAGGGCAATTGGCCATCATTTCCTACCTCGGGACCTTCGAAATGGACCATATGCGCTCCGCCTGACTGATCTCCATCAAAGCAACATTTTTGTCGATAAGTTCTGGAACATCACGTATCTTATTGATCTGGAATGGGTGTGCTCGCTTCCGATGGACATGCTTGGCGCTCCGTACTGGTTGACGGGACTCGGTATCGACCAAATCCACGACAAGGCACTACAGACTTACGACAGTGTTTGCCAGGAGTATGTGCGCATTTTCAGGGAAGAAGAGGAAGCGCTACGGGGATCGCAATCCTCTTTACGTCTTTCGGAACTCATGCATTCTGCGTGGACGGATGGAAGATACTGGTACTATTTGTGCTTGACGTCTCTAAATGGCATGTATACAATCTCGCCGTCTATCGAAACATTTTTAAGCTCCATTTAAGGGTTAGCTTCGGGGTGACTTCGGCCGCCTCAATCTATCCGCGGTCTTAGAACACAGAAAGCGTCGTTATGAGACTAAGATGCGAAAATTACAACTGGGGAATGATGACTATAGGGTTGTCATGAACTAGTGGTACGAGTCTTCGTTAGCCTGGAGCTAGCCTAAGAGAGGTAAAGTGCCCATCCCCACCCTGCAAGGTAGTTGCCGAGTTCAAGTCAAGAAGTTATTAGTCAGCCGAACCCTTCAAGATCTTGATTCTGCACAACTCACCCCATCATCCCGCGCATCACCTTTTTAACTAATCTTCGCGACGTCCTCCTTACTACTCTCTTCCTCTACCTCTACCTGCCATGGCCTTCTTCTTCAACAACAGCAGCTAGCGCCGCGTTTTGCCGCAGATTATCGAAGCCCTCTAACGGTTAGAAGACGATCCGGAGCAACTCGGTCGCGAGAGAGCCCAGCGCTACAGCGAATCTCCACCGCCGTATCCATCATCCGGCGAGGTGACGCAGCCCGACACTCCCGAAGAGGCCCCCCGTGTCGACGAAGAAGAGCGATGGCGTCGGTTTTGGAACGACCGTGATCAGTCGATCCCATACTTCCAGTTCAAACGCTAGGTCAAGAGGGACATGAAAAGACTCCAATATCAGAGAGAAGAGGGGTGATTTGGGCGGAGGCAGACGATCCCCTTCGATAAGACTCAGAATTACGAAGTGAAGCGAGAACAGTGTCCGGGCCCGTTGGGTAGAGCAAGGCATTTGGAAGAAATGGTGGGGCCCGGCCTGGCCGAAGGGACTAGGGACGTCAGGGCCGAGGATATTCGCCTGGTGTCATGAAGGGGGACCCAGCGTTCCCGGAGGCATTGGCAACCTCGCCCGCTGGGGACATGAAAAAGAGGCTCGAACCACCGCCAGCACCATCGCAGCCGGAGCCGGTGCCGGAACCGGAGCCTGCCGTCAATACCTTCGTGTTCAAATTCCCCACCATCGAATCGGAACGAGAAGACCCTAGATCTTCTAGGGAAAAGTCAGCAGCTGTTCCTACAGAACAACGGCAAGCAGTTCAGCCAGAGCCAGAACCGGAGCCGGAATCGGAGTCAGAGTCGGAGCTAGAGTCGATACCCGAGCCGGACCCCCTCACAAAATCGATCTTCCCTGGATTTTTCGACTCGGTACCTCGGAAGCGGAAAAAACTTAAGATTCCCACAGCAGAGTCGATAGTTATTTCTTGGCGCCATATCTCAGATATGCTTCCTGCCGGATATCAACTTAATCCTTCAGCATCACGTCCGTACTACCAGTTCCTCTTTCAGGCATCCAAAGAGAGCGAACGGATCAGAGACGAATGTCAATATGAACAACCCACCGAGTTTGTCGACATCGACGCCAAGGCCTACGAAAGCGTCAAGAATATATGGATCGAAGACAAGAATTTGGAATCCTAAATGGGACCAGCTCCCCGGAATGACGTGGATGCATGAAGAAGACCCTGATGATCGGCCACAAACTCCTGATATCATTAAGGAGGGACGTGAGGAGCGTCGTCACAGACGTGAGGAGCGTCGTCAGAGAGATGGGACGCGCCCGGTCCGGACGAGATCGATGATATGATTCGTAAGAAGGGCCGTCGGATGTGGCGACTGCTGCCTAGTCCAGTCAGCAACGGCAAGCAACAACTTCATTCTTCCAGACCGGGACCTCCCCAACTAAAGCCAGTGCTTGGTGTCGACAACAACCGCGGAGGCGGCAATGACATACCATCAATCCCTAGAGATGTCAACGATTCCAGCGGAGCGGTCGCCCGACCAAATGACAGAGCCACGACGCGCAGAAGAGCCTGCAGATCGAGTCCTCCGGAGCGTGCGCCGGTCCAAAGTGGAGAAACCGAGCAAGTCAAATGCTTCTGCCCTAAACCGCCGTCTTTGGAAGCACAGCCACCGCGCTAATGAACCCGGTCAAACATCTAACTCGCCGGAAAATAGCACGTTACTCCCGCCACGGAACGATACTAATAATCCGGTCCCCAAGAATGAGCAAGCCGCTCCCGGAAGACGTACCCGAACCAGCAAGCTGTCTTCCCTTAGGCTGGTACAATCGAAGGCTACGGAACCGGAGAGCAAACCCCAAGGCCAACTGCAGACCAACGGCCGGAGCACACGTGTGACCTTTGCGCAACCATTATCTGAAGCGCCCAACGGTCTTGGAAGACAACACCGCTCTCAAGCCGGGCTTCACTCATCGATTGAGGTCAGTGTGCCGCGAAGAAGTGCAAGGATAGCTGAGCTTCAAAAGGCTGGACGAGGATCTGAGCAAGGTTCCAAGGCGGGAATAACGCTCAAGCGTAAACGTAGCCCGTCAGCATCGTCCACAGACCGCGATGGTGAACGGTCGAGGCCGAGGCGGCGCAACACACCCACCTCGGCAAACCGTCATCAGATAAGGAAAACACCAAGCAGTGCGGATACAAGGGCGAGAGCAAGGCTTCGGCAGAGGCCATCGTGATTTGGAATTGGGCATATTGTTCCTCTGTAATTTGGGGAGTCGGTAGGGTGGGTACCAGTATACCTGAAAAGACGGCTGAATAGGAGAAAGGTGATGCGACAGATCAATACGCGACTATTAGTACTCGTGTCTTCCAATTCCCTCCGGCGATCTATTGTCTCGTGCTAAGCCGCGCTCGGCTGATCACGTGACTGGTCTACCTCGGACCAATGCTGATGCCTCAGGAATCAAGGGTTTTCTGGAAACTTAGAACACCGAACCCGACATGTAGAAATGTGGAGATGCGAGATTCAGGATTCAAGAGTCGGAGTCGGACTACGATAAGGTCACATGATACTCGAACCCCGGTGGAAGCCCTGACGGGCCGCTCGTAAGTGGAAACATTGGCGTTCGAAAAAGTCCTTAAGGCTTCGCTGGGGCATATTCATGGGCCTTAGTGGGTAAGATTCCCATGCGGGAGCGCCCGTCGATATGCTCGCTCGGACTGCTGACTGTGGTCATTGAATTTGGCGGCGGCGCTGATGAGGAAGGGATGGTGTGTGGGAAAGACAGCTGGGAGTGTCGGACACCTCTACGAGGATCGTCTTTGGGATCTTCACGTGCTGACGCAGCTTTTGCGGCTCTTTAGTGGCCCTGCACATCTACTATGCTGGGATCTTTGTCTGCGGGCACCTTCGAACCGCTCCCATGGATGGAGGATTGAGCGCGACTCGTTCTCTTGAGGAGATTTGGTCTCACAACAGACAGACAGGAAGCTTTGTCTCGATCGCAAGATCACATCGCTCGGTTGGTCTTTACGCCGGAATCATGCTTTGCATGAGCGAAGCCTTTCGAAGCTTACACACAGACTCAATGCTGACACCACCCGTCAATACTCGACACGTCGCCATGCTCCTGTTCCGAAGTCTTTGACGAGCTGTGAACTTGCACTATGGACATGGATCCCGGAAGAGCCAAAAGATTGCAGAATAACCCCGATCATGCCAAAATTGCTGCTATCAGCGGAGACGTCCCATACACTCTAACACAACAGCGTCTATATTATTCCTCCGCTCCGTTGGACCTGTCTCTAACCCACCACTATCTTCGAGCCCTCTCAGCAAGCCTGTACGCGCGGCGTCCAGCCCAGTACAGCCGCTCAATGCGATGCCACCGATCAACCGCCAAATCATCTACTTGCAAGTCTGATTTTCATCCGATTTTCAGTATCTCGCAGGTTCGATCGATGAGCGCCGATCACCCGTCTCTTTACGTTGCTTGCGACGCGATTGGACACTTACCTCCTGTAGGAGAAAGAAGCGGTTTTTACTGATGTCTTTTATCCGTTTCGCTCAAGCTGAGCACATGCCCGCCAGTCGCCGTCGCGGTGCTGGCGAGGAAACATAAAACTAGTCTCCGAGAGGAATGCCTGCTCAACAGAGAGATTCAGTCTATACCGGACATCGAGCGATGTGGTGCGTATACTGAGGACTGGAGACGCAATGGAGATGCTTTTTGGCTTTGGAAGAAAGAGCAAGGGCTTATGGGTGGGATAGGGTTGAAGCGGTGAGTTGGTTCTTGCAGGCGGTCGTAGGCGTTCTTTCGAAGCTCAAGGTCGTCACATCTTCTCGTTTACACTGGCCAGCAACGCGGTTTTCTGGCAAAGGCATCTAACGGAGCTCGATCTGGCCTGCATTGAGCTGAAGCAATGCTCCAGTCACAGCATAGTTTATCGGGCATGAAAGCGGCAGTGAAATGATGCAGCTGGATCCACGGATAGCGGTTGACGGGACCTCTCCAGTGGAAGGCTCAAAGCTTAGGCTTATATGTCTCTACTGTCCCCCAGCTGCTTTGTTTTACTATTGCTTTTAGGTTAGTCTACCTGTAAGCCTGCGTCTTTAGGAATAGCTTTCAGTAAGGATATGTAAGTGTAAGGTTAAGCTCTATGCTAGAGCCGGTAGTTAATGACTGCGGTTAGGTTGGGGCTTGAAGTTGTGGCATTCTGCGAGGGGAAGAGGGACGTCGTGGTGTCGTGGATGTCCGATTCACAATGCCGTCTCGTTCGGTTACATCCCGTCGAGACGGCTCCCATTTTCTTTTTATAAGTATTCCTTATCTTTTGCTCTTAGAGGAGAAAAGCTGACTGCATTATTAGGAATCAAAGCCCGTGCAAGTTCATGGTGGTCCGGCGGGACGCGCGTGGCGTACCTTTGGCATATCGCTGGTCGACGTGCTGGAAAATTGGAATGGTTGCGGTCTCATTCATCTCGCGTTTCTGGTTTCCATCGTACTCATCGCGTTCGTCATCTGGACGCACGCGTTTATTGATCTTGCCACGCTGCCACATGAACTGCCAGTTATATTCTTGCAGTGTTGCTTTTTTTATGGTGTGGAGTTCGCAAGGTGCACTGCTGAGCTAGGCTAGCGTGTCGCTGCTGGTGGGGCGTTCCAACTTTCCACTAGCTTGTGGGGTAAGCTCGGTTTATCATGTGATCTATCCTGTGCACGGATCTTCGAACTCGAACCTCGCGCTCTCACACCTTCATCCATCGCGTCCACATCCATCGCGTCCATCGCATAGCGTCCATCGCATATACCATACTGTCTCTTCATCCACCGCCCAGATATCCCAGCGCAGCGACCGCGTCTAGGCGCACCACAAACACGCAGTCACGAACTATTAGGCGGCGTAGACAAACTGAAGTAACGATCGGCCTTCTTCAAAGAATTTGACTTGGTCGGGCTCGATCGGGGCGCTTGCTGATCAGGACTAGCTCGTGCGACCCGCGACACAAAGACCATCTGACGTTCGACTGCCTAGCCCGCAGCCAGGCCCGGATGACACTCTGGGAAGATAGTGGCTTGCTAAGCTAGCTTCACCATATAAGCGCCGCTCTTCACCCGGCCTTGATCCGTCTGCATACCTTAGATATCTTGTGGTTGACATTTGCCATATGCCTGAACAACAGCTCTCTAGTTCACGCAAACGTCAACGCTCAGAGCGGCCTCAACCGATTGAAATGTTGCAACCGGCGTCGAAAAAGCAGAGGTTCAGCCATCCTAGCGGATCCCAACCACCGGCGGCATTTTGGGATAAGTTATCGAAGATCTGGTTGACGAAACGAGCGTTGAGAGAGCTAGACCGAAGAAACGCTCGAGCTTCTCCAAACCCACCCCGATCACCGTATCGACGAGTCCACCGGCCGGCCACTCGAAACTTCCTCGCTCAGTCAAAGAGAAATCGCCAAACCCTCCAACACACCGCCGACTATCTTCGCTGTTGCAATCCGAGGACCCTAAAGGACGTAAAGCTGTTTAGCAGACACGGTGGTCCAGATCTGTCGGACCTGAGGAATGTATGTGCTGCAAGATGCTTGCCAGCTAGCTTCGAAGCTAATGACGCTTTCTAGTATCCCGAATCTATACCTCCCGACCACACAATGAACTCGAACCAGTTGAGTTCTCAGAGCCGACAACGGGGTTTAGTAAATCCCCTAAGCACTAAGCCCACCACAACAAAAACCAAGAGCACTGGGGTCTATGACCGTGACTTTGAACAACATCTTATTGATTATGGTGTTTATCATGACTTATACGAATACCCTGATGGCAGCGTGCCTGCAGAGCCAAATAACTGGGAGGATATTAACCAAATATTAGCAAGACCTCGGCCGTCTCTTTCACAATTTTCCAATAAAGACTTTAAAGAATTCAAACGGGCAGACCACTATGCCCGCAAAGAGAAACAAGTATCAGAATTGGTACTTCCTATTATTGAAGGCAAGATCGCGGACGCTAGATGCCGCTCGGGAGGAGTCCCGTTCACCAACCTCGACCCCCTGACAGATGGCACGCTTACACCTGGGAACCCGGACGTCTACTACGGCGCGCGCCCAGAACAGCTCACTCAAAAAGTCCTCAACGAGCTTGGTGGGTATATCACTCCTTTAACGCAGCATAACCTTCCCATTGTGCCAAACTTTTTCCTGGCGGCCAAGGGGCCGGATGAATCTTATGCTGTGACTGAGCGACAGGCTTGCTACAACGGCGCATTGGGAGCGAGAGGCTTGCATAGTCTTCAGTCATACGGAAGAGATGAGCGAAGAGATGAGCCGGTTTCCGATAACAACGCCTATACTATTACGTCACTTTATTATGGCGGCGCTCTCAAGATATACACTAGCCACCCTGCACAGCCAACTAGTCCCAGAGGTCAGCCTGAATACCACATGAATCAGATCAATACTTGGGGAATGACTGGGAACGTCGACACCTTCCGGCAGGGAGCCACTGCGTACAGAAATGCGAGAGACTGGGCAAAAGAGCAGAGGGACGAAGCTATTCGACAGGCGAACGAGAGAGCCAACCGTGTTGCAGCTGAAGCACCAGCACTAGCAGGTGATGCAGCGGGTGATGCATCAGGATCGCTGAATGAAGAGGACTTCGAGGGATCTGATGGTTCAATACAAGACTCTGCGGAACACAGAGTCCCAGCCAAACGTTCTCGTCGCCAACAACCTCATGCGAAGCGACGCAATACCGATGTTAGCGGTGCTGAAGAAAGTGATGGATCCGCCGTAGTTCCCGGTGGATTGGGGCGGGAGAGGAGGGGTGGGATCACGGGCTGCGCAGACAGCATACCACAAGCTTGATTTATCAACGCGACGCCAGAAGCCGACTACTAATATGCGGCCTGCACTGCCTGCGGAAGCCTCTGTGCTGCAAATTGGATATGATTACGTTATACACTAGCTGCGCTGCGTGAAAAGCGAGAAAATTAATGAGATGTAAATGTCGCAACTTCTGAAATTTGGATAAATCGTCCCTAGCTTGCGAGGCCGAAGGGGCCCAGTCATCACCGCGCTCTTCGCTTTGGGCGGGCGTCGCCATTACGGTGAGGGCTAGGACAACCACGGGTCGAGTCACCCGTGATGTCGCATCTGGATCGGTGCCATCCGCAGCGTCGCCTTCCAAATGCCGCGAGACAACAGGCTTTGGTGGCCGGTTGCGCTACTATGCTGCAGTCCTGTTCAGCGCCCGCCATTTTCGGTTTCCATAAATGTATTCATTTGTGTAGCCCTCGGTCTAACCTCCCCCCTGTGTGCTGAAACACCACCGCGTAACGACACAAGAAAATATCAACGCGTGTGCAGATTTTAAAATCGCTATAAAGTGGCAGGGGTGTCCGGCACGGGAAGGCTAGATCGGGTTTGAATCTGCGACGGCGCGCCAGAAGCATTTTTACGCGCGGTCGACCGTGTGCGCTTCGAAGCGCGAGCGAAAGGACGGAGGGAAGATGAGGGCATCGTTCTGCACGGCTTGGGGTAATAGAAGGATAGAGACGCAGAGTTGAGGCCGGATAGTTTACTGAAGGTTCAAGGAACGAGTGCGGAGTGGCGCAATTGGCGTGACGGTGTGGAGATGCGCTTTGGGGCCATACGGGCCACTCGAGCGTGTCGCCTCCACTTGCGCGCGGCCGCCCGTCGAGCTGCGGTGGACGAGGGCATAAAGAAGCTGCTCTTGCGGCCCTCGACCGCCTTGAACGCGCCTTTATACGCAGCGGCGGCCAGGGCAAGAAAGCCCTCCGGCGTTCCACGCCAAGCCTGCATCCATACGTACAGCGTATGGTGAACTAGCGCGGAAATCAAGCCACAAAAGTCGGCTGCAAAGGGAGGATAATCTAGAAAATAACGCCTCGCGGTACTGTGCTTTTAGCAGGTCCGGCTTAGTCCGGTATGCATTAGTCCGGAAAAGGACTTCCTCCGTTCTAATCCTACCTATTTCACCTGTGGCTTGATTTCCGCGCTAGTTCACCGGAAGCGTCCATACGCTGTAGATACCACCACCTATTTAAATATTAAAGAACAAAGCCCTGCCACCTTTACTTATCAGGCGACTCCACCAACTCCATCAACCCACCACTGCTTGCACAATGTCTCTAGCTGAGCGGCACGCAGCTTCAGGCAAACGTCAACGCTCAGAGCGGCCTCAACCGAACGAAATATCGCAACCAGCGCCGAAAAAGCAGAGGGTCCGCTATCCCAGCGGATCCCAACTACCACCGGCATTTTGGAATAACTTATCAAAGATCTGGTTAACGAGACAAGCGTTAAGAGAGCTAGACTGAAGAAACCCTCAAGTTGCTCCAACCACGCCCTGTCCATTGTATCAACAAGTCCGCCGGCCGGTCACGCGAAACTTCCGCGCTGAGTTAAAGAGAAATCGCCAAACCGAGTCAAAGAGCAATCGCCAAACTGAGTCAAAGAGAAATCGCCAAACTGCCCAAGACACGGCCCATGATCTCCGTTCTTGCAATCCAAGGACCCTGAAAGACATAAAGCTGTTTGCCAGACACGGTGGCCCAGACCTCTCAAATCTGAGGAACGTATGTGCTATAAAATACTTGCCCGCTGGCGCCAAAGCTGATGCTCTCTAGTACCCCGAACCTCTCCATCCTTCCAATTGCACCATAAGCTCGAGCCAGTCGAGTTCTTGGAGCCAACAACTGGGCCAAGAACAGGGCCGACAACGGGGCCGACAACGGGGCCGACAACAGGGCCGACAACAGGGCCGACAACAGGGCCGACAACAGGGCCGACAACAGGGCCAACAACAGGGTTCAGTGAATCCCCCGAGCACTGAGCCCACCACGAATACGACAAAAACAAAGAGCACCGGGGTTTATAACTTTGCCTTTCAACTACACCTTATATTTAACGCCGTTTATCCTCATGGTTATAGATATCCCGATACCAGTGTGCCTGACTCAGGTTGCAGCACTACAACCTAGGATCAACAACTCATATGCCAGAAAGCTACTCTCCGAACATCAGCTGTAGAGAACCCAGCTGAAATCTCAGCTGTAGAGAACCGAGCTGAAGCCTCAGCTGTGCAGGGCTCATCTGAACTTACTAGCGCGCCACCCTGGGGGTGGCCCCCTTCCCTCCCCTAGTATATATACAACTAGCTAGACGTCTATAGAAATCAGAGTTCACATCAATTTCAACCTGAGTCTTGTTACAACGGCGCATTGGGAGCGAGAGGCATGCACAGTCTTCGGTCATACGGGAGAGATAAGCCGGTTTCCGACAACGCTTATACCATTACGTCGATTTATCACGGCGGCACTCTCAGGATGTACACCAGCCACCGTACACAGCCAACCAGCGCTGGAGGCCGGCCTAAATACTACATGACTCAGCTAAGATCCTTTGCAATGACCGACACTGCTAAGACTTTCCGACAGGGTGCCCGGGCGTATAGAAATGCGAGAGACTGGGCAAAAGAGCAGAGGAACGAGGCGATTGAGCAGGCGAACGAGAGAGCCAGCCCTGTTGCAGCTGAAGCACCAGTACTAGCAGGTGATGCAGCGGGTGATGCATCAGGATCGCTGAATGAAGAGGACTTCGAGGAACCTGATAGTTCAACAGAGGAGCTTGCGGATTACAGACCACCGGCTAAACGTTCCAGCAAGCGTTCTAAGCCCTCACAGATTGAGCGAATGCAACGCAACGCCGGTGAATCTACCGACGGCTCACACAGCCATGGATCCGCCGTTATTCACTCAGGTTGAAAATTGATGTGAACTCTGTCTTATTTCGGGGGCCCGAAGGCCAAACTATATACTACGTAGGAAGTGACTGTATGCATAGGCAGAAGCACTAATTGGAGGCAGCAGTAGGCAGCATTAGGCAGGGTAGGCCACCGTACCCCAACCCCTCTCTGTAGAAGTTGTAACTGGCTAGGCATGTAGGCAGCTACTATGCCAGCAACTCCAAGTCTGTACGTAGGTGACCGTGAACCGTATGAGTTGTTGATCCTAGGTTGTAGCTGTTACAACCCGAGTTATTCCCGTTTCGCAAAGCTCCCGGGCAGTTGCAACGACTCAGCAGCGCGAAGAGTGGTCATGGACAGATGGCATATTTCAGTGTCGCAGAGGGCAGACACTTGTAAAGGAGCAGAGCGAAACTCCAGCTGATGTGTGGATTCACTGTAATCAAGGCTGGCCTGGTCAAGGAGAGAAGAAATGGAGGCATTGGATATCGGCCACGCGTGAAATCCTATATTCATGACGGCAGAGGATTTCGTGAAATGCTTGTGCATTCTGACTTTGAAACTCTTAGGGTAGTAATTCACTCGCTTTGGGCGGGTGTTGCTATCACGGCGAAGGCCGGCCGGGATCACTATGGGTCCTTGGAATTGTGTCTGGATCAGCGCCATCTGCAGTGTCCATTTTCTAATGCCGTGAGACAGGCTTCGATGTCGCGCTGCTGTGCTGGAGTCTTGTTCAGCGCCCCACCGTTTCCGCTCTCCATGATTATATTCCTTTGTGCAGCCCGGCGCCTTTTTGCGTGGGATAGGAAGACGAGGGCCATCGGTCGACGATGGACCGTTCGGCGGCAGGCTCATCTCAGCGAGAGGGAGCGTGTGCGCTTCGAAGCGCGCGAAAGGACGGAGGGAGTATGAGGGCATCGTTCTGCGCGGCTTGGGGAGGTGGTCACGTGAACAGCGGGGGTTAGAGGGTGTGCACATCGGGGTGGTATAACAGCAGAGATCATACGTATATTCTCAAGTACTCCGTACATCTCACAAGCTCAATGCCACCACAACTGCCAAGCCCTTGAGTAATCCTCAAACCCATTAGCGCCAAGAGCTTTTTGAACCTCTGATCTCCAGCAGGCCGGGTTTTCGGTGGCCGAAGAAAGGTTCATCCCACTGCAGATTGTCTGCCCCACCTCGTGCACGGCCACCACCTTCTTTCCTTAGCGGTCTTGCAGGGGTGGTAGACTTGCACTATCTTCGGAACCGAGCCTTTGGGATATTAGCCTCAAAATTGACATGGCCCACCCGCCGCATACGGGTAGCGCTGTTCGGTTAGCGGATAAACACAACATGCCGCTCAGTGGAACGTCAAATCTTCTCGCCAACGCCAACCGCTTCCTCCATCCCCATCCGACTTCGCGCCGACACTCCTGCATCCATCCTTCCATCATCCCGTCATCATATTTCCAGCGCTGCACTGCACGTTACGCTGGAAATATGATGTCTCCCACCCCTCCTGCACCCATCTCTCAGCCAGCCGTCACCAAACGGAAGCGTCCGTAAGACTCTGAAGCTGAAGCCGAAGCCGACGAGCTGGAAAACGTGCGCCCTTCCAAACAGTCCCGAGGGCTCCCTCCCTCTGAACACAAGCTCTTTGAGGAGAACTTGCAAAAAGACCTTGAAGCTGAAGCCAACGAGCAAAACCTCCCTCTCTCTAAGGACCAGCTCTCTGGGGAGAACTTGCAAAAAGACCTTGAAGCTGAAGCCAACGAGCAAAACCTCCCTCTCTCTAAGGACCAGCTCTTTGAGAAAAACTTGCAAATATGGAACGGGGAAGACATGGACCTTGCAGCCAACAATGCTCCGGCTCTCAAACGGACCTCGTCACGGCGTTCCATAACCCCATCGGAAGTGGGGACAGAACGAACCCAGCCCTCTTCTAACACCGCCGCCATCTACCGCTACAAGAATCTTGCGGCAGTCGAGATCCACATGCACGCTGAGCCGCCTGACTATATCCAAGCCGCTATCGACCGCATTATCACCGCCGAAGTCTCCAAGGAGCGCCGATCTGAACTCCGCGTCACAGCCCAAGAACTCCGCGACGGCTGCCTCAAGAATGTCAGGGCTCAGGCTGGCGAGGATGACTTTATTGATCCACTCCACACTGCCCTCAAGGCTCTGGGTCTCAAGAACCTCTGTACCCATGAAAAAGCCGACTGGCGAGGGGAGCTCAAGCCAGTGGTCCCCCCGCAGTCGCATTTCAGTTCGAGCTTCATGTCCGGTGTCCAGCAACTAGAGGTTGACGACGTCTGGGCCCCACCGCAGAAGCGCCAGCAGCAGTCTGCTGGCGAGCCGTACATGTCCCCCGAATCCTCAATGACCAACGCACCCACTCATACGCCAGCCAACGATTCCCAGGAGTCGAGCACGATGCCTGCTCCGCCCCCCCCCCCCCCCCCCCCCGGGGATCCTCGATCAAAACCCCCCGTCCCGACATCTCAATGGGCATACAACTCTCGGCTCTCATCTCTGCTCTCTCGTCGCAAAATCTCAACAAGGTCAAGGCCAGGACATTCCTCACATGGCTCCAGAACGAGATGGTGCAGCACGAGCCAGACGGGCCGCTTGAACCAATGCTGATTCCAGTACCCGCCCCACGCGCCTTAGATCTCGCCTTCCCATTTGCTGTTGTTGAGGGCAAGGCCTACTCGACCGGCAAACAAATCTTCGAGGCAAAAAACCAAGCTGCAGTTTCCGGGGCTTGTGGACTCAAGATACAGCTTGATCTGGATAACCTGGTAGATCGCGGAGCAACAGGTTCCGATGCTCTGCCCACAGCCTCGAACACCGAACCCCCGCTCTTCTTCACTATCTGCACCCAAGGCCCCATCCACGAGCTCTGGGCCCACTGGACCCTCGTTGAAGATGGTGTGCGCATGTTCGGATCGACGCTTTTGGACAGTTGTAATGCGTTATTGCTGGATCAGGGGGAGGACTTTGTGGTTGGGCTCAATAATATCGGCCTTTGGGGTTTAGGGCCGTTTATGAAATCGGTGGTGGAGCGCCTGGGGATAGTGGCGGGGAAGGCAAAGGCTTAGTCATTAGTGAATTCGCTTGCGAATCGAACAAATCCTCACCCTCGTGCTCCTCACACGAAGAAGACGGAGAATCAAATAATGATTCCGCCTTCGAACTCCCTTCAGCGCAATGCTATAGTACCATTATTTCACTAGCTTAGCTTGTTGGCCGTAAGGCTTTGCTAATGCAGATATCGGAATATAGCTGAGCGAGGGTGTGGTACAGCGTCCAGATCTTGTGCTTGGCCTTAAGGAGTGCTGCAACGTTGTGCGTTGTGGCCTGATATCAGGATGTGCCTTCTTTGGTCTAGCGTCTAGTTGCTCCGGGATTTGGCGATTCCACAAGGGCCGATGCTGGGCACGTAGAAACATTCTACAACAGACAAGGGGCGCTTGCCAAAAGTCAACGTGAAGTGGCTGTTGCGGCACAGTATTATTGGCGCGTGCTGCAAAACGCCATGAAACGCCAAAGCATCTTCCACGTTACATTCACCGTAGTTGTCCATGTGCAATGAGAGTCCTTTGCGAGGGCCCTTTTTGTCAGTCCATCTTGCGCATCGCACGTCTTAGCGATTCCTTTGTCCTCGCTGGCATCGTGCTGTTGAACTTCGAGTCTTCATCGGCCCGCCCCTGTTCAAGAGAGGATTGCGGCTCCCTCCAATCCTCCGGCCTTCCATTCCATCCAGTGTCATCGACGTTCGTGGATGTTCTTTGCCCTTCACTGTCGGGAAAGCCCTCGGCCCCATGATGCACTCAGTCACCCCTCCAGCTTCGATGCTGCTGAGCAATTGTAATACGGATCCCCTTGCAGGTACGCCTCGCATTAGCTAAGTTACAAGCTCGACAGCGTCCAGACCCTCTTGCAATCTGCCTCGTTGTCGCACCATCACCGCCTCTCACTGCAGCGATGCAGCGCGCCCCGGAGACTAAGACGCCGTGGATGAGGCCTGCCCTCGTTGCAGCACATTGGCCAGTCGCAGAAATGACAGCAACCCGCAACCAGCAGCAGCGGCAGCAGCTGATGATAATGGGGGCTACAGACCCGGAATTCAAAGTAGGTAATGGAGATGTGTTGGCTTGTAGCGACAGCGACTGACTTATAGGAATCTGACCAGGCACCGGCACTGTTTACGGCGGCAGCGACAAAGCAAATAACAACAAAAACGACAACGACCGAGACCTCTCCATAATCGAAGAATTGCTGTTCACCAAGCTACAAGCGCAAGGCTTCACAACGGGGTTTCGAGGCCCAGACAAGACGGGCGGAGTTAAGGAGGTAGCTGCGGATGAGAGGGGTGGCTCTGTCGACCAGAGCAGGTCAGTGCAAAGCGATAACTCAAGCGGGAGTCTAGGTGAACCGCGCCCACTACACCCTCCATTGTGGAAATGGACGGCCAATTTTTCTGACACGGTGCAGACGATCCAATTGTCCCACTGGGCGACGGCGACTTGAGTGCCTCCAAGCCGAAGCCAATGGCGTTAGTCTTCGCGCCGAAAGTGCAACAGCACCAGGCGCTAGACTTTTCGATAGCCCAGAGACAGTCATCGACTCGACAACTCCGGCCCCTACTTCCAGTTCCGATGGGTGGCACGATATTAATGACTACCCCGAGACGACTCCGCGTATGCGGCTTGCGGAACAAGGAGCTTCGACGCTAGACTCCGTACATCCTCATACCCCTTCTTCGCGCCTCTCGGGCGAGCCATTGCACGACAGCATCAGTACAGAAGGATCGCGCCATGCCAGATCCGAGGCCACGACCTCCTTTTCGAGCCCACCTCCACGCCATTGCAGAGCGTCGCCAGAGACCTAACTCAGTCAAGAGTGTCGTCTTCGTACCGGTCGAGGCGTAGCAGACGAACACGGGCTGGCTAATCCTGCACTGGACACGTTCCCCATTGATGAGGGTGAGAGGGAGCAGGAAGAGCTGGAGCAGGAGAAGGACGAAGGCCATGGTGAGGATGAAGACGAGGGACCGCAGCAAGAGGTGAATATTGTAGCACCGGCAGAAACGGCCGAAAGGGTTGGTGGAAGTCCAAGGCCGGCCAACCGAAGGCAATCGCTTCCCAACCTCGAACAATCCCCAGAGCCGAATCATAACGAGGCAGGAAGCCGAAGCGATCATGACAGCGACGACGAGCTCAACAGCACCGACTCTGCCGAGGACGATGAAAAGAAACCACGCCCTGCCAAATATCTCACGATAGCCCAACACGCAAGAAGCGCAGGCGCCTTCTTCAGCAGAGCTCTTCCCGCCAGCGTAGACCTCTCTCCAAATCCCGCCGTCAATATCCTAAGTCGCACTCCCCTCTCGCCCAGAGTTCAAGAGTCGCTGCGAGCTCGAGTGCCAAGGGTCGATTGCCTTCACCGGCGCCTTCTATGTCACAAAGCATAGATAAAACGATGCCGCTTGACGACTCTAGCCTTGGCCGATCATGCAGAGCTACCCCACCGACGCTGACCGAGATCACGTTCCGTCCGCACTCCGCACACTGCTACTCCTTCACGGCGGTCGTCCGGGACGGTTGTGACGGGCAAGGAGTCTCTCCCGCCCAGGTTGTCCGACTTATCGCGAGCACCGGCCACGTGGGGAAGATCGACGACTTCACCATCAAGCCGATGGAGCAACATTCGTACCTCTTGAGTGGCTTCAGCTGGCATGCCTCATCCCGGCTCTCGTCCAGTGGCACGGCTCTATCGACTACCGCGGAGGCAGGCCGTGACCACGTCGATGCGACGCGTACCGGACCCCAACATGGCAGAGCCGTTGATGCTAGAGCTCTTGCATCGCGAAGGTGCGAGCCGCCAAGCAACAATGACGATGGTGGTTTGAGCGACAGCGATCCCGATGTCAGCAGCGACGATGACGGGTGTTCGAGCGAGGCCGAGAAGCAGGGCGGTTTGAGCGTGAGGATGAATATCCCATGGGACCCTGTAGACGACCAGCGCTTGGTGTCATGGAAGAAGGAGGGCAAGCCTTGGGACTAGATCTTCAAAATGTTTCCAGGCAGGACTCATCCCGCAATACGCATGCGCCGGAGCATGGTCCGTCCCAGAAGCGAGTAAGCTTCCTCCCACAGGCGGACAGAGAGCAGCTCAAGCTCTGTGTGCCTACTTGCCCCTGGGCATCTGCTGGGACGAATATCTAATGAGGACTTTGTCCTTCTGTCGGCCAGTCCCAACGCGGGAGCAAGTACCGTCGAGGGAAGCGACGTTCAAAGCGAGGAGGATTGGGGGGTTCAGATGCACATCAAGGGGTATTATACAATAAGCCACCGTTCATTGGGCATCCCTGATATCGTTATATCGTACAGTTTTCCCCAGACCCTTCGCAGCCAAAACTAAAAATACCTCACGTCTTCACTCTCCCGTTCACTTCTCTCAGTGTGACGAATGTGATCGATCATTCGGCAGTCAACCATCACCACAGTGCATTCTGCTATTATGCATCCCATTTACTCTCTTGATAATACGATCAACAGCTTATTTGAATCTCAGTCAACCGTGACACGGCGACAGTGCGATGAACTTGTTGTCTCTCTTATTGGTGCTTCAAGTTCACAACCTCTTTCTGTGGTCGTATATCTCGCCTCGCCTATGCAGTTGCTTGCACCTCTTTTCCCAGAGAGCCGATTGCCCTGTCGAACGCCTTGATCATCCCATCGTACATTATATTGTTGTCGCGGAACGTTCCTGTAAAGATTGCTCCGTCCCTAATTGGAAAGAGGACATTTCGGAGCTCGCGAGCCAACTGTTTCAGGCCCTCGAACTTTGGCGCAAACTCCGCGATGACGTTCTCAAATCCATTTTTATCCATGTGGCCAAGTTTCGTGTCGGAAATGTCTGCATACGTCCCTGTGTACCATCGCCGCAACCTACTTGTTGCCAATAGCCCTTTCTTGCTGGCTTGCCCGTTATCCATGTAATCGTGGCCATAACGAATACACATCCATGTGAAGACGTAAAAGAATGTCTCAAGATCGTGTCGGTATGTGTGGCCCTTGCCTTGGAGAACCTCAATCGCCATAAACTGCATAGTGCCAATCCGGTGACTAGCTCCACTCGGCACACTGTCCAACTCCTTCGCCAAGTCCAGGTCAATCAACATCCCTTTTAGGTCTCCCTTAGCGGCAGCTTCTGTGATAATAATATTGTTTTCGGAAATGTCTCGATGAAGAATCTTCCCATCCTCAAGAAGTGACTTGTGACCCCGGATAGCATCACGCAGTGCCTATAAAAGCTCTCCAACTGACCTGTATGCGTGGAGTGGCTGGCCCGCTGGGGAAATCACTAAGCAACAGTGGATCTGGTCGCCGTAAGTCTCACTCTCACGGCCTGCTAGACTGTCAGGCTGGGCTTCTTGAATGCTGTGATGGCCGGTTGTGTCTGGCTCGATTAATCTGGATCTCTTCCTACTATTGCCATCGACGAATTCTCCATCTCTTTTTCTTTTCTTCCCAGAAGATGAAATTGTGGTACTGCTTGTCCTAACTCCCAGACCCGTCAAGCGAGCCGCACTGCTCCTTGACCTTCTAAGACTTCTTGTTCTCGGATACGCCCGGCTGGACTCCACACTACCATCAACCCAAGAGGCCTTGCTCGAGAGCTTCCGTGGTGCCCCAAATTTCATGCCTCTTCGGAAATGAGCGATGGTGTCCGGGTTCTCGTCGATAGTAATCTGCTCATGATGGAACCACTCAGCAATGCCTTTGACACCCCTTTCCTTGGCCAACTTCAATAAATCACCCTCTCGTTGCCGTTTATCAGACGGCCAAGCGAACTTCACTACATGCTCCCATGCTCCTGAGTCTCCTCTCCTTCTTCGATAGCATGTCGTTCCTCGGCACACTATAGCCTTTTGCGAGGCAATCGGGTGGTCCTCCTGAGAGATCCTCACTCCGCGTACGACGATATACTTGCTGTTCCCATCACGCTTGATAAACGTATTCAACCCTAACTCCGCTTCCGTCATTAGCGCATACCCAGCAATAACCCTGATGAACCGCTCTGGCTCCATGTGGATATCGAACTTCTCGGAGTTGTACGGTCCAGATCTGTCGAACACCCAAAGCCGCATCAGACTTACGCACATCGTAAAACCAGGCACGAATCGCCGATCCGGTTGACTTCCAAACACTTCCCGCGCCTACCCCGCCAACTGTACCAGCGTTTTTATAGAACGATCCTCGTCGGGATTCTGTTTGTGTTCCCCAATGACAAGTACATTTGACCAATCGTGCTCGCCGTCCGGCAAGGTAGCGTCGGCAGGGGTGAGGAAAATGTCAAGCTTGCGATCCGCCTCTGAGCCGCTTAATGCTTTATTCGCTGATGTGTAGTATTTGCGGCGAAGCCCGCTGACGGAATCCTGGAACTTCATGAACCACTCGAAAAATGGACCTTGAAGTGAAGGCTCTGGCCACCCGGTCCAGCGACCCTCTGTACACTGGGCTCTTGACTCTTCGTAGATATCCCTCGCGGTGTTCGCCCAGCACTTCCCTTCGAAGTATCGCTCGTAGAAGCCTCCAACATCGAAGTAGACGCGCCCTGTGAGTTTCTCAAGTATCCGCTGGTCAACTTCATCGTGTGTTTGCTCAATCCCTCTCTGAGAAGCCGAGCTGGATCGTAGTGGCGTGTCGAAGACGGCTTTCTCGAAGGCAGTCGGTGGCGTCGGAGGATGCGTTCGCGCAATCAACTCAAACACCGTACGCCAAATATCCGCGTCATTCGAAGTCGGTGTGCCAGGTTCATTCCTGACAATCAGCTCCACTAGAGGGATAGCTAATGCGATATCCAACTGGTTCGAATGCACGCACCCGTATAGCAAAGCAAGGTCGCCATAGACAGTTCCGTCAGCTATTCGGGAAGGGAGAGTACGAGCAGCTGGTTCCATCTGCAGAGCTTGGATGAGGTCGAGTACTAGGTTTTTGACAACTATGTACGTTAACAAAGAAGCTAGCTAGAAGAAGTTGAGCCATACCTAGGGTGGCAGCCGTTGCAAAGACAGTTTGAACGGCACCGGACGACAACGCGACACCAAGATCAGAACGTGTAGTTTCAAAGAGACGACGGAAGGCACCTAGCCGTTCCTTGATCGGGTTACACCTCATTTTATCGAGTTCGGAGGCTGTAGCCATGATCGCAGATTGAAAAGAACATGAATGGAATATTGAGGACCTGTGATGTGAGATGCAGGTTATCGTGAATTCGCTTAGGCGGGTGCGATTTGATTATGCTGATGAGGCAAGTCAAAAAGGATCCAGCGTCGGAATAACCCGTCCCTAAATTTACTCAGGTTGAAATTGATGTGAACTCTGATTTCTATAGACGTCTAGCTAGTTGTATATATACTAGGGGAAGGAAGGGGGCCACCCCCAGGGTGGCGCGCTAGTAAGTTCAGATGAGCCCTGCACAGCTGAGGCTTCAGCTCGGTTCTCTACAGCTGAGATTTCAGCTGGGTTCTCTACAGCTGATGTTCGGAGAGTAGCTTTCTGGCATATGAGTTGTTGATCCTAGGTTGTAGTGCTGCAACCTGAGTAATTTAGCCTCCTTTTGATGGACGTTAAGTTTGTGGGGTTGTAGAAGGGGAGGTGCTTTATTAATAGTGGTTGGTGGAGGAACTGAATTCTCCACACTGTACTCGGGCCCCGCCGGGTTGTTTTAAGTTCATAACGTAAGTGATGAGGTTATTACGGTGGAGCTAGTTATTACGGTTTTCAGCGCCAAAATGCGGGCCGATGCCTTCGTACCTAGAATTTGTACAAAGGTATGAGGGAGGGATATTGGCACACCCCTAATCACTCCACTCACTCCATGCACACCTTGTCGCTTCACTACCTTCTAATTGGCTGGAGCGGCCGGACCGACTCTTCGGAGCTTCCGCTTGTGCTCCTCTTGGAAGTGAACGAGCGAGCGCAAGCGGCAATGCAGGCGGCAGTGCAGGCAAGCCAGGCTTGATGGAAAGGAGCCTCTATTAGGCGATGTTTTGATAGTTTTGGCATCCTCCTAGGCATATAGGCACTGCGCGTATAGCTGTACATAATGCCGTGAGTGATGCTGTACGTGATGCCGCGAGTAATGCTGCATATAATGCTATATACATGGCTATATATACGGCCTCTCTTATACGGCCTCACGTACGGCTATATAGTCTTTCCAATTTATATAGCCTTACGTATAGCCTCACGTACAAGCTCACATACGAGCTCACGTACGAGCTCGCGTACGAGCTCGCGTATGAGCTTACGTACAAGCTTACGTACGGCCTCGCGTATAGCATCACGTGCAAGCTTACGTACGGCCTCGCATATAGCATCACGTGCAGAGAGACGCAAAAGTGAATGCCCGGAGGAAGCTGCGTCCCCTCCGAGCCAATTAAAAGGCGGTGAAGCGACAGGGCGTGCGTGGAGTGAAAAGGGGGTGTGCGTAGAGTGATTAGGGGGTGTGCCAATATCCCTCCCCTATTTTTTATTGGTTAGATCTGGTCACGTGAACTAAAAACGACTGAAAACACTATAGTAGGTAACCTTAGGAATAACGAGCGGACCTAGGGCGCGATAAGATGAGCATCTCCCTCTATATCCCGAGAGAATCGCTAGTCGCTATCTTTAATCCCGTCCATACGAGGGCGCTTATGGAATAATCAATCGCTGACTTTCATCGTCTGCAGTACGTGCCTCCGTCCCCACAATGACTTCGCCGGGGATAGTCATTTCTTTGACGACAAGATTAGTTCTTACAAGTGTGGGCGGGATCCGCTCGTCAATGGATGTCCGGGATGACGGGCAATTGACGAGGACGCGCCAGGAGTTCAGATGTTTCAGAACTTGAAGAGATGTTATACGTAATAAAGGCTTGGTGAGTATTCTTAGATCTTGAAGTATGATATGCAGCTTAGTCACGTGAATTACATTTGCGATAGAAAAGGAGGAGATTAGCATTGCTGTATATCTACCTACAGGCATAAGTCATTTGGCACTGAACTGATGCTATTCAGATTTACAGCCTGTGTTAAGAAACTCGCTCCCGCAATCTTGTCTAGTAACGGTTTTTAGCCACACAAAATTGATCGCGCTTCGGAGTTTCTTGTCAGCTCGAGCTCATCCGTCATCCTCCTACTTCCTAGCTTTCTTCTTCGGGGGACCGGATATTTTCTCCTGCTGCACACCCGCACCTTCGCCGTCATCTTCTTTGCTGTCGTGGTTCTTGCGCTTCGTAGCGGTCACCTTCTTATTCCGGCCGTCCTTGAGGCGAGACTCTTTGCCGTGCTGGTCATCCGAAATGTCGCCATCGTATTGCTTGCTGCCGTGCTTGCTCCGCTTCATAGCGGTTGTCTTCATGGGACGATGCTTCGCTTGCGATCCGTCTCCCTGTGGCCAAGTCCGACCTTCATTCGTGAATGCGGGAATTGCATTCTGCCGATCGTCCCGAGCAAATAAGGCGGGGTCCTCAAAGCTGGCTCCAGGAACCCAACTCGATTCGCTATCCATGATCCAATGATCATGTCCCTCCCAGCGGACTTGGTAGGTGACCGTGCCATCTGGGTTACGTCGGTGACCCACAATGGCCTCGACGACGTTGTAGTCCGACGATTGGTCATAGCCCCATTGATAGTGGTTATGATTCTCTACGCCGAACTCCTCAAGCATCTCTTCCGTCCACTCCCGGAGGCATGCGGTGATCCATGGCACTGGCTCATTGTCATTCAGATCAACATTGTCGAGAATGTTGGGAGAGCATGAGAAGCGGTTCTTTGGGTCGGGCGCGAGAAGCTTCTTGCCGTAGTGCTTCGTAGCTTCCGCTTTGCTAGCAGTGTTGACAACTGGGTCGATCATCCTCACAAATGTTCCTGGGGGGTGCATCTGTTTATCGTGTAGGCGGAGTTTGTTCTTCAGGAAGGAGTAGAGTTTCTCCTTGACTTTCGTTACCAGTCGGAAGATTTTCGGGTCGTCGTCCGCGAGGGCATCCAATTTCTCCTTCAAAGACTCCCACATGTCGTCAGCCTCGAAAACAATGACAGTTCCCGATCGATTACCGCGCTTCCGCTCGGCGAGGGCACAGTCTTTGCAAGTATCGGGCTGCGTGTCCGGCATGTTTCCCCGCCAGGGCAAGTGATGTTGTCATCGTGGAACCAGTTGCTGATGCAGTTCTTCCCTACAATATGCTTCGCATCGCAGGAGAGGCGAACGGGGACTTCAATATTTCCCTCTGCGTCAGCCGTGAAGAAAACAGCATCGCACATTTCGCAGCTAGCTCCTACGGCTAACTCGGCCCGGGTGACATCTTCAAGGGTGTGGGGGCATATCGGTCGATTCGACATGCTGAAGGGGATTGTGGAGAATCCTGTTGGTGTTGCTGACAAGTGTATGGGAGATTCTTGAATGTGGTGGTTGTGGAGTTTGACGATTGCGGTGTTGACAGGAGATGCGGTGATGATTCCGTTGACGCAGAAAAGGGGGAGATTAAATACTGGCGCTCAAGTGATTGTTAGCACTCTATGGAGTGATTGTTAGCATTCTATGGAGTGAATGCAGATGGGGCCAGGTAGACAGCATCTCCCGTGAAAGCACCACGATGAGAAAGCGGGCTCGCATTGTGAATCGTGAACGCTTCAATCACTATCCAGTGATATAGAAACTTACCATGAACAATGCTTCAATCCCATTGCCCTCTTCCCGTCTTGTGCGAATACAATCTAGAGTCAAACCGGCTTCGATTCCATTCAGTCGATCTAGCCTGCGGGCTTGGCCCTTTGAGGGTAATCGGTAACCATACATAGGAGCTCCCTGGAAGTCGATTCATTGGGATTCGAACCTTAGCAGCGTCACGATAAAGGCTTCGTCTTCATCACCCTCCGAGCGAGGAACAAGATGCCTTGAATTTTAACGTCTTCCGTTAGACCATCATGAGCAGGGGAGCATGTCTGATATTAGCGAAATTGCTGTGGTTGGAGCTAGAAGTATTTCTCAGCATCCTCGTGAATTTCCAAAGTGAGTGGCCGAGGTGAATTGTCTAACCACAGCGACACATACGGATCAGTACGGCATTCGGAGAGCTACCGGAATGCTTGCCGGCGGTTGATGTTAGCCACTGAAGGAGAAGGAGGGATAGTGGATGGCGCCTTGGATGCGGCGCCAGGGCGTGCTCAGTTCGAGGGATGGATATATCGGATTGCGGCAAGACGCAGACGTGGGAAGTGATCCGATGGAGAAGATAGTTGGTCGGGGTGGTTGCTGCTTCGACTGCTGCTTGACAGGAACATGGCGTTTGCTCGCAGCTGTCAATGTCCAAGGGGCCGCAATAAGCTGCTTGTCTTTGGCCAGCGAAAAGTCAAGCGTCCCATCTCCCGCCTCCAAGTCGTCGGACCCGTCATCGGAGCCATATTCAGAGCGGCTCTGAACCACGCTTAATTCCAAGGATGCCGGATTAGCATACCAGTCCGTAGCCCGCGTGAAGGAGCGAGCGAGACCCGGGGTGTCTTTAATTGCTAGAGTACCGCGATATTTAGAAGTAATGGACGTCATAGTAGAGAACCCGGAGCGCAGATCATCATCCTCGTCCTCTTCGACTTCATCCTCACCCCTAGTGTTATTGTCATCATCCTCTTTAGGGGGCTTTTAGCTTTCTCGAGTTCTCTTCCCTCTTCCTCTTCTTTCTTGTCCTTGGCGCCCTCCAACTTGCCCTGTCCCTCTTCTGCACGCTTTGGGTTCTTTATAATAGCATCGAAGAGGCCGAGCAAGCGTCTCCCACAATCCCTGATGATATAAATACTCCGATGCATGTACTGCTCAACCAAATCGCGGCAGTATTTGGAAGCACAAGATAGCATTGCGAGGTCGGATTGCGAGACATGGGCTACGGACCTATTGAATGGCGGCAGTACTTGGAAGCACAAGAACATGGCGATGTTGGATTGCGAGAGGTGGGCGGCGATGTGCTCCTTAATGGCGACGAGCTTGTCGGGCTTAGGAGAGGGCCTGTCCTAGTAGTCCAGTTGATACTCGTCGCCTTTCTTTGTTGTTGGTGTGGTTTTCTGTGTAAACATGCTCTCTTTGCTTATGAAATAGGGATGCTTTTTTTGGTGCGCTGGCCTACAGCGTCAGCAAAGATGCCAGCTATATTGGTGGCAGTTTTGCGGACTTTCATCCTCTTAATTGGACGTGGTAATTGAGTTACTTCGACCACCGGTGCAGTGCAAGAGGGCTGTTCAACTGTTGTGGACCGGTCGCACATCAGCTAATTCAGCGTCTTCCGCTTCGACTGTGGACAGTTTCCGCTTCTTCGAGTCAACGGGCTCGTCCTCTCTGGAGGCGGCAGCTTCCACAATCTCGGATATTAACATTCCGGTCCGTTCCTTTTGCTTTTCATCCACCGGTAGCGCGACTGTAGCAGGCTAGCCCGGTGCTGGGACAGGATAAACTAACTTTTGGTGGGTGTCGAGCCCGTTTAAATGGCCGAGTGATCCTTGGCTTAGCTTGAGCGGTATTAATTGCGTATTCGCTATATGCACAGGATTAATTATAAAAGAGGAGGTTAACGATTACTTAAGAGGTGAGTATATACCCGTTCATCCCTATCTGGGTTTCCAGGTGGTCTAAAGAGGGACAGTTGGGAGAGGGGGCGGAAGCTGTTGAATATTTAGGACGGCCATGTTATAATAGTGTCTTTAGGTGAGGGTTATAGAGTAGAGGGGCTGGGCGATGGCATTCTGCGATAGCATTGTGGGTTGAGTTGGTAATAGAGGCTGAATAGTGCGGAAGAAAGAGAATAAGAAGCAACAGGTAGGGGAGCTTATGGAAAGATAGAATTCAAGTTTCTGGCGATATGCTTGATAATGTTTGCGCTGGACTTGTCCTATTTGCATCACCAAGACGGTCCGCTGTCTGGCATGTTCTGCATCGAGGCTAGCGCAGAAGGTCTATCTTAACGTCCAGCCCGAACAGTACTCAAACTTCCAGGTGGAGTCGAAGTGGTCTCGACCCGCGCTCCATCCACGCGTATTAGAAAACACGGGTTTCGGATTCCCGTCTGCGTTGCTGCTTGTGCTCATGTGGTTGGAAAAGTGACGCGAGAAGAAATTTGAAAATCTTTATCCGCCCCCCCAAAACCTCCTCTTTCTACGTGGCCAGGCACCCGCCTATCCGCGCACTAGCTGCGTCAGACTGCCTCTCGACATCTCTTAACGCTTTCGCTTCATGCCTACGCAGAGAGAAGCCGCACATGGCGCCCTCATTGGTATCGCTGTATTCTTACCCCCACTCTTCAACGGACAGCGCCCTTGCTTCAAGACCAGAATGGTCGGGGCATCGGCGGCGGATGGCCTCTAGAGACAAAGGGGCGATGTAAAGTTTAGGTCGTCCGACCTATCCGGGAACAGACATACTCGGGACCGCGAGAAGAACATATCGCTCAAGTCACGCGTTCCGTCTTCTTCTCGCAATCGGTCGCCGTATCTCTCGGCTCCTGCTTGACACGACATCGAGCATCGGTATCTCGAATTAGGTAGAGATGCACCGCCTCTCTCTGTCCAGCGTGACCTCGCACCTCCACTCCTTGAGTTCGACATTGCATTTCCAACTCGTCCTGCTGGGCGCCGCGTCTCGATGTACAAGGTGGCCCTCATAATCACGTTGCACATGGAGGCAACTCTTCTCATCCTTCCGGATCTGGCAATGATCGTTTGCCACCCTCTCCCCCGACCAAGCTCTGCTGGCGCCCATAAACCGCGACTCTAGTCGCTGGCGTTATCTATTGTGGCGGTGTTGCTGTCCGGCTTGAGCACATAGGACGTAACTGCAACCCTCGCGACGACACAGTCTCGTACGCCCAGGTCTTGGATGGCTCGGATGCCCGGACTACCACCCCAACTACCACCATGATGCGGGTCTGAATACAGAAATTTGCCACTGGACGGGGTGCCTCGGTGCACTTCCGAGAATCCATGCGTATTTATGGTCTTTTCGCCATCGTCTTCCAGCTCTTTTGCGTCGGAATCTTCTTCGCCCACATGACTCGCCTTGGTGTATTCTCGAATCGACTCACTATTATTCAGCTCCGCATCAATCCTCTGCTAAGCGCTGCAAGTCCCCTTGTATACTTCGCATGGCTCCCTGTCAGCGTACATGGTTAGTGCTGGGAACGAAAGATAATTAAGAGTCCGCCCGCCCAAGCCCGTGCAACGTTTTGCAGCCCGCGGAATTATTAGCAACAGAAAATTGGTGTGGTGGTTTAGGTTCGTTATTGTAGCGCAAAGGCAGAAGATGGCTACTCACCGGGTCGCAAATTGTCAGCATCAGTCAGTATTCCCCGTTGAGCTCGTCGACACGATGCGCCGCTTTCCATGATGATCCGGTTCAGCATTTCCTTGTGATTCTCCTGTGCACCAGCCCGAGTTGCTTCGTTCACTCCATCAGGAGTATGGAGATTGACCCAATCGTCTCAACGTTGCTTTAGCAAATAGTTTCTCCAAGCAGGCCTTGATCTCCCAGGCGCGTTTAGAATGGGCCTTTGTGGGCACGCGCTGGTGCTACACAACCATGCCGTCACGGGCAAGTGATGGGACTAGCAGTTCGCATCAGATTAGCTCGTTGATGGAGGAACGGAAGATGTCGGAGATAGTCTCTGCACGCGGGTATGAGACAATTTTGCCGCTGCCGAGCTTACACTCGCCGTGGAAGTTGGGATGTGTGTAGAAGCGCTGTCGATGGCTTCTTCAGTGTAATCGCCCTTGGACGGAGCATGGAGATGCACGGGAGTGTACAACGAGACGAGAGACTGCGCTCGATTACGGGTGCTTTATGCTTCCACCGTCTTCTTTCGCGGTCTTGGTCTAGGACAGATTTTGCTGGGCACGGTGCTGGCGGGAATCGTGGGTTGGAGTCGTGATGCGAAAGAGGAAGATTGGGATAAAAATGGGCGCGGACAGGAGGCAAAAGAGGCTCTTGATGGGAGCATCCAACGGTTTCCCGCTCCACTTTTCCCGAAACGTATTAACAGCCGGGATGTCCGCCCTGAGTCTCTCCTCCTGCGTGCTGTACGCCTTGGGCGTCAAGTTGATCAGCGTGTGCAGCGGCACCTCCATCCGCGGACTCCACTCCTGCGGCACGTTCATGAGGTACGCGTAGATGCACCACAGGATCGCCTGGTGCGTCATGATCAGGACTTTCTCGTTCCAGCTCCATGATGATGGGCTCCAGCCTAATAACCACGTCGCGGTACGATTCTCCGCCGAAGTAACGGTAGTTGTACTTCTCTCCGGCACGTTGCTTGAAGTCGCTGGGGTATTTTTGCTCGATTTTGCCATGTGTGAGACTGTCACAGACACCGGAGTTGAGATTGTCAAGGGCCTTCGGTTCAATCTTTCCCAAGGTCAGGAGACGTGCGTTCTGGAGGGGGCGTTTGAGGGTTAAGGCCCAGACGATGAGTTTGTGCCCATCACCGACGGATTGCGCAACCGAACCGCGGAGATCCTCTTGGTAGGTGGGCCTGGATGCCACGCGTGATTAACTGGTCCCGAAAAAGAAACTGCTGGGCCATCTGGATCGCAATCAGAAGATGGTAGGTCGCGGTGATTGCGGCGGAGGGGGTTTGGTGTGGATCCTGGATGGGGCAAGCCGTGTGGTATTTCCGTTCAAGGAGGGTCTGGGAAATGAAACATGTGTCAAATCAAGATGACGATGGGAGTGTTGTGTGAAACAGCGATGTTGACGCATCCCCACTTCATACCTTTGTACCATGGTGATTTCACGGGAGACTCAGTCACGTGACCAGAGTTTACCGGCACGTATTTGCTGTTGGAGCATGTCGGGCTGTCTTGTGGCTTTTGATTGGCCAGCTTCTTTCCACCTGCCCAGGTGGGCAGAGTTCCGACCTGACGGTGGCTTTGAGTGAGCCCGAGTCTGGGTGGCGCACGATGCTTGGCACGAAGCAAAGGCATTCTAGGCATGGTGGCATGATAGTGACACGTTCACAGACGGCACCCGCGAAGGCGACAAAGGCCATGCCGACTCGACCGGTGGACCCAACCGACGTCGACGAAGTCGTCCTTCAGCGTAGTTCCGGCGAGACTACCGTCCTGGACGGGCACCTCATGGAGATTTTACAGGCTCGACTGTGTAGGCTTGTTACTTTTTCCTTGGCTGCAGCATTCGACGTCTTTCCCACTTACTCGACACCGACGATTCGAGATGCTCATTCTGTGAGCAAGCAGTCGTTGCTCCACCCCTCGGGGTCTTGTGGAACTGATCGCAGTATTAGGGGGGAACGAGGTTATGATTAGACGTTTTGCTGCAATAAACGTCAGACGACTTCAATTCTCTGGTATCTACCCTGGCACATCCCAGACTGCGCTGCATTTTTGATAACGCGGAGAACCGACCGGTTTAGGGGTTGCTGAGGAATGGCCTTCAATCGTGAGTACCGCTGGTTTGTCCTTGTACGCGACGTCAGCTAACGAGAGATAGACGCTCCATCCGACCTGTATCTTCTTCTCATCTTCTCGGCCTATGGACAGGGTGTAATGTGGAGGGATAATGTTGTGTTCTTTGTCAATCACGGAATTTTCGCATTCGCCTTTCCCAATACCCCCAGGCTCGTCTTGCCGTACACAAACTCCTTGGTAATGCGAGCAGCACGTTAGCTCGACTTGTTCGTTCTCACCCTATATAACTTATTCGGGTTCCGTAAATCTTATGACGAGATATTAGTCGGGTCCTCTTATTAACTGGCAGCCTTTAGTGGGCCCCAGCATCTACTCCTAGCTTGCTTTTTTCAGAGCCCAACACCTCTGCTGCAACCTCTGCGCTGTCTCCTCGGCCTTCTCGAGTTTCTTCTTTTCCTTATCATCGGCCTTTCTTGCTTTATCTTCGCGTTTCGTCTTTGCTTCGTCATCGGCTTTCCTGGCTGTCTCTCTACCTCCTCATCAGTTTTATTTGCTTCCTCTTCACGTTTCCTCTTTGTCTCCTCATCGGCTTTTCTTGCTTCCTCTTCCTCCTTCTCAAGCTTCTTTGCCTCGTCATCGGCCTTTCTTGCTTCCTCTTCCTGTTTTCTTTTTTCCTTCTCAAGCTTCATAACATCTTCTTTCTCTTTCTCGGCCACCTCCTCTCCCCACATGATAGCAAGGCGCTCCTTGCACACCCCAAAGCCCTGATTTGTAATCCACTTCCGAAACTTCTTCAAACAGAGCCCATCGAGATTCGCATAATTGTGAATCTTCCAAGTGCTATCGTCGGTGAGAGAATACCTTTTATACTGCTTCTACATGAGATGAGGAGCGCCTGACTCAGTTGGCCAAGCTAGCGAAAGAAGAAAAGGACAGGAAGGCTGAAGTGGAAGCGAAGCAGGCCCGCGAGACAGCGAGAGAGAAGGCGGCAAAGAAGCAAGCCGATAAAGAGCAAGCTCAGAAGGGCGAAGCTGGACAACAGCAAACTCGGGAGGACCAAGCGGAGCGTGAACGTGTGGAGAAGAAACAGGTGAAGCGTGAGCAAGCTAAACTCTCTTATCTGACTTCGCAACCACTCGCGCGAAGGTCTCATGCCCCACCAGCCAAATCCCAGTTCGGGCTTGAGACCGCTTCAGCGCCGCAAGAGGCCCAGCCAGATGGGCGCACGCGCCACACCGCTCGTCCAGCTCCGAAGCCATCCTTCTGCAGAGATTGTGGACATGATCTTTTGAGCGAACAAGCGCGGGAGAGCCACCGCCAGCATTGCTACTCCAGGGAAGGAGCGTCACCTCCACGACAGGTATAGAAGCACCACGTCTCTCCTCCAACCTCCCGCCACATAAGAAAGTAGACTCGCAAAAGCCCTCTCAGCTTCCTGCGTCGAAGTCTTACGGAAATGACCGAGTCCCGCCTCGTCCATCAGCTTGAAGAGGTTCTCGATCTCGTCGGGGTCTCTCTCCAGACGGAAGGCTCATCCGGCACTAGGCCCGTGGAATACTCCCTCTTCGGCAAGCATGCCCACGACGAGCAGCCGATCTATGATACTTTGGCGCCTGTCTCGGACGCTCTCGGCTTCTTACTTGGAACCATCCTTCGGCTGGTCAATTCACGACCAATAAGATCGTCATTGACAAGAGCGTCGACGGCACCAAAAACGAGAACCCCATCCAGTCGCTCCATCTCTCTCCCATTCTCGTGCCCTCCACAACCAGCCCAGCCGCCGCCGACAGCGGCATCGGCGGCGACAATGACCCCTCTACCGACGGCGATGGCACGCCCGTCCTGAGCTCCTCCCACCTCGATCCCTCCATGCACAACCTCTTTTCCAGCATCCTCAAAGCCCCCCTCCGACCCTCAACGAGCCGCGCATCCGATCGCGCACCCCGCCTCGCAAGCCGCAGCCCATCTCGCTCGAGGGCGAAGGCGAGGACGACGTGGGGGTACGAGGGCGTCGTGCTATCAGGCGGCACGTTGTGCCTGGGCAGGTGGTGGGCTGTGGATGGGGATGAGAACCTCTACTCCGGTCCGTTCATCCTTTGGAACGTCCATCCTAAGACGGCTGTTGCGGAGGCGTGCTCTCGGCTCTCACGAGCTCGCAATCTTCCTCGACAGTCCTGCCGGCCCGTCAGTGCCCTCTGCCAATCGATCTCGGGTGCCATCGTCTGCCTCTTAACCTGTATGGTGGTGACAAAGATGGAATATAGGCACGAGGACTCCTGTTTCATGTTAGTGGCCGCAACCACGTGGGTCATACCGCCTCGTTGCAAAACCTCATATACGTTGTCCCCGTTCGTAGTATGAATCTCTAACAAACCCTTGGCATACGAAAAAGATCTTCCTGCGTTTATCCTGGGTGGGTGGGAATTGGGCTCAGAGAGGGAACCGCATGTTGAATCCGCCATCTAGTTTACAATCATGTATTTCTTCTACCGGGACCGCCAGCCCCTTTTACTTCTATCAACCTGTCAACCAACGGAATCGCGCCACTCCAATAGCATGCGTTTCTCTTTGATGTTGTATTCTTTTGGTCTAGCGCCTTGTAGGTCACACTAGCTCTTCTGGCCCAGACAGCTCCAAAACTTATCCTTCTGTCCCGAATACTGATGGCTTCTTTACTGCCAGCATTGTCGGCCCTGCGAACCTCGCGCCCACACACGTCTTCGGCCCCCAGCAATGTTCCACGGGTGCCTGCCAGATCCTCCCCCACCGATACTCAGTTTGGCGCCTTCAGAACCCTCGCCAGCGGCCGCGTCAAGAACCCATCCACCCCCTCCACCTCTGCGAATCTCGCGCCCGCACAAGTCCCTGTCCGCCAGCAATGTCCCACAGACACCTGGTAGACCCTGCTCCTCCAGTACCCTGCTTGCCGCCTTCAGAACCCTCATCGGCAGCGGCGTCGAGAACCCAGCCACCCCCTCCATTTCCAGGACTCTCACATCTGAACATCCTCCAGCAATGTTCCACAGGCACCTGACAGACCCTCATCCACAAACGCCCTGCTTGACGCCTTCAGAACCTCGCGGCCGCTGTTGCGGTTGTGATGTTGCCCGAGTTCGGCCGTACTGAGCGCCTGCCGTTTTATCCAGAGCTTGCGATGGAGCAAGAGGGTTGACGGGTCCTCCAGATGCAGGAATGCCCTCGTCCTATCGTGGCAGACCTCCTCCACCCGTATTTTGTCGAGTCCCGTATCCACCATCGTCAGCTCCACGGGTGGCCATTCTGGGTATTTGAGGCGCTCCCTATTATTGGTACGTATATCCCAATATAGTATCCCTCAGCTTCCACTATCTAACGCCAGCCTAGCTGTGTTCATTCTATATTTTGTGGTCCAGCCATGCCATTACCTACCAGGTGAATATTTCGGTCTCTGGCTAAATCGAAAGGCACTTGCCCAGGAAACCACCCAGTCTTAGCAAAACCTCCATCATGCGTCGGTCCTATTGTTAAGAATGCTGAGGTGCTAAATGCCCAAATCGCACCAAAATTGGGGTGGCCAGGATGCCCGCATGGCCAGCTTGCCCGCAGATTACATTAAGTAAATTACACCGTAATGATTATGTGGGACGTACCGGGCTGTTTCGATGTTGGTGATCGCTTCGGTTGGAGGTACTGATCGGCGTGGCGATCTTGCATGAATTTACGCGCAATAGCAGCCACAAGGCTGATGACGACTTCCTAGCATGGTAGTGAGGCTCTGAGGCTCGGATAAGGCCGTTTTATGAGCATCAGGAGTGATAAGAGCTCGATAGTGGTGCTGTGGTGAAGGAATTCTGTTACGCCATGAAAGAAGGCTCTCCGCAAATCAGGCAGGAAGGCGACGATGCAAACATAATTTTCTAGGTGGGAGGGGTCCCGAGTGTTCAGGAGTGGCCACAGCACACGACTTACACAGAACTGTGGGAATTATCAGACTAAGGATTCGAGCTCTCCAGGCTATTTGTGAGCTCGCCTTAGCCGAGCACGTGATGCGCCTGCGGCGCGCACGGAAAGCGCAGTCTAGGTAACTTAGTCTATGCCAGAATAGTTAGACTACCTAGACCGCAAGCCCTGAGAGTTATCTATCTACTTGTAGGTGCTTCGGCACCTCACACTGCCCCCCCTTTTCAGAGGGTTATCATCAACCCTGCGCAGCCTCAATAAGACCCATAAAAACCTTACAAAGGAAAAAAATTAATTAGGAAAGAGCGTCCGCGCGTGATAGGAGAGGATGCCTTGCGTGTATTAGGAGCCTGAGGCTTGCCAACCATGAGAGGACGTGTGGATTCGAACTTCAAACATCGCTGAGCGTATTTTATCTCCTTGAGAGAGGTCAGCAGCATTAAGGGTGCAGGTTACCCGCAAGGAGTATATGGCCCGCGTGCAACTCCATTATATCCAGACTCTGAGCTGGCATGGTGTTGCGCGTGGTCACCCTCTCATGATGCGGTTGCGCCCATCATCCGCGTGCTTGATCCGAAGCTCCAAGATCAGAACTGCGCTGCCGGGGCGTGTTGCTGTCGGCGTAGGTGCTTGGCCTCCTTGTGATCTTGTGTGAGAGCAGCTCTGCGAGCCGCTTGCCCCTTGCATTCGACGAGCTGTGCCCTTGCGAAGCGTTTGAGGGGTTCCTCCGTGATAAGGTATATCTATGAGGTATTTCGAGCAAGCTTCCAATCTGCAGTACGGGATGCGAAGACGATTGCTCAATGGTGCAGTTACCATGCTCTGCTGGCAGGTTGGGGCAGTCGAAAGGACGAAATCCACGTCTACAACAATCGCTGTCGTCGAGTGGTGCTTTCCAGCAACCAAAAACCAGTCGTGTTAAAATGTGATCACGTGTGTGAAGTATTTGCGTATTATTGAAGCTATCTGGGCTGGGGCCTCATCCCCTTTATATGGAGGCCCCAGGTGGCTGGAATTCCAGCCCCTCACTGCAGCGCTGCCCAGCTGCCTTCTGTACCGAAATTCAACACTCCCTCTCGATCAGAGGCACCGGCAGCCTAACAGAGTACCTAAGATAGCCCAAATAAAAAGCTTCTAGCCTCAGTAAAATCCCAAAACCTCATAGGAAAATAGGGAAAGAGCGCCAGATAAGAGACCCAAAAATTACCTATCCAACCTGACCTTATTATGAAACATAAGATCTGTCTTCCAGTCCACCCCAGGTGCATCAGCAGCAGATTGCCATAGCGGAAATCCAGGAGACTAACAGACACACATATCTTGACGTGAGTGTGCTGTGTCAGTGCGTTACCAAACCCTTCTCAAACTAGTTCTAGTAAGGTCCTTTTCGACGTTTTGTTGGGTTCCCTTTCTCAGGTGGCATGACCATAAAGGCCCAAGCATGCCAAGGGGCCTCAGACCATTCCGCAGCAGTCTTTCTCACCCAACTGACTACCGGAGCGCTAAAGCAACTCAGCTAGCACTTCTTTCCCTCGTGGTTTGTCTTCCAGAATTCCGAAAAGGTTGCCCTGCCTTCATGCCCAAGTGTCACTTGATTGGCCTTGCAGCTAGCCCTCTGCCTTGCATCCGTAAAGGTAAGGGGCTTCTTAGACACGAAGGCACCGTCCATAGTCTGAACGTGCTCAAGAAAGGCGGTAAATTGAGCAGGAGAGAGCTTGGTGTCTGAAGGAATATCATTCAAGGAGATAACCGAAAATGGGCGGAGCTCCAGGCTTGAAGTCGGATTTCTCAAGAGGCCAGCGGCTAATTTCCTTGAAAACGTTACCTGGTGAGGTAGTGGTGGTCAGTCAAAGGTGGTGACATTTCGGGTGCTTGACAGCAAGGAAGCACCACAACTCCGTAAGGAAGAGAAAGGGAAAGTAAGGGATGCCTAGGGGGTTGGTGTGCAGGCGTGCACGCAGGTGAACCGTATGAGTTGCTGATCCTAGGTTGCTGCAACCCGAGTGTACACCAGCTTCTCTACTTTCCTTACACGCAACTATTCGAAGCCTTTCCACCACTTGAAGCCTTCCCACTACTTAAAGCCTTCCCACCACCACTCGAAGCCTTCCCACCACCACTCGAAGCCTTCCCCACCACTCGAAGCCATGGCAGGAGTCAATCCCCCTCAGCTCGGCGGCCCACAACCAAATCTTGGGCTCCTAGCACACGGACTCCAGGAAGGCGCCACCGAGTTGGCAAATTTTGCCAATCTTCCTGTATTTGCTCAGGGCGATGCAATCATGCAACTGATGCAGCAAAACCATCGAGAAACTCAGCGGCAGATGCAGCAGATGCAGACACAAATGCAGCAGATGGAGCAGCGGATAGTGCAACAAATACAGCAACTCCGCACCGATATTACCACATTACGTCAGGCAAGGTGAGTAAATACTGTTTGATGTCCTGCTTATCTGCTAACTAGTTATAACTATACAGCGTGTACAATTCTGCTGCCCGCCTTGAAAACTCTAATATCAGAAAAACCGACACCGCTATTATCGCACTCCATGAACCTACAACAAACGCCAATATTGCAGGTTTTCCTGCCACACCCGTTCATCTTGCGAATAGGACAGGTCCTGCGCTAGATAGGGTTTTGGCAGCACTAGGCCAGCCTACCAACGGCACGACCGCGGATAAGAAGCAACGGCTGAGGTTCTACACTGGATTGCGGAACACTAGCGATGAGGGAGGTTCTGGTATACTGGAATAGTGATTGTTGGCGGAGTCACTAGGAGTTCGTCAGTGTTAGGTGTGCCTGACGAAGGCAAGGTAGGAGCTGTACGGCTGTGCAGCTCCTACAAGTCTCTTCTCTCTCTCTAGATGGTCAAAAAACTCATAACAATCAACACTTCATTCACGTACAACGTGTACCACTGTACCCCTCCAGAGTTGGAACGTCAACAACCACATGATTCGAAGACATGACCGAGCTCATATACTCGACGTCCACATACCTGATCACCATCCTCACGGTGCCCACCACATCCACAACCGAGGACAGGACATTCATCAGCGTGGGCGACCTCTCGATCTCAAGCTCGGCAGCGAACGTCTTGATCCCCCCAGCGTGGTTAGTAAACCGGCCAATCCTCAATCAGATTGACGGTCGGTTTATTAGTATAGACTCTAGATAATCCAATCAATCAAGCCTCTAGCCAATCAAACCTCAAGCGGAGATTGATCCGATTGATGCGATTGGTGTATACAAATCAGAAAGGATATATACGAATCGGAAAGGATGCATACGGTCATGATTTTTACGGATTTTTATGGGTATAACATCGTCATATAAGCTTACTACGCCCATGGATGAGGCTACGGAGTGCCCCAGAATAGAGGGCAACGTGAGAGTACCATAGTGGTGAGGTTCTAGGTGAGTAGGGGCTCAGGATGTCCCTTGGGAACGTCGGGCGGAGTACCAAAGGGGGGCGTATTTTTGAGGCCTAGAAGACCCAATGATTCGCTTCAAGCATAATTCAACCTGTAGAAATCGATTCCCGTTATCCGTTTGAGCTTATCTCGTCACGGTGGAGTGCTAGAGGAGGGGCTGGGGCCGTGGTTAATAAGGCTAGCAATACGTGTTCTTCCGTCTCCGCCGGCGGAACCTCGGGGCGGCAGAACGCAGTGATTCTATTGGCTCGTTAAGACACAGTGAGGGCCTCAGCGCACAGATCTCTTAGCGCGACCGTATTCACTCATTTGTCAATCTAGATCAAACTGTTTAAACCAAAATTCTAATCAATCCAATCAATCAAGCTTCATCCCATATATAACAACCCAATCAATCTGCTCTCTGGTTGAGCCGGCCGCCGGTTTAGTAACCACGCTGCTTGCTTGCAACCTATGCGAAGAATTACATGACTCCTAGAAGCGGAAGGCGCCTAGATAGCCACCTCTTAATTGCTGGTTGAAAGGAACGCCGTATACACCATTATACTAAGGTTTCACACCCGAATATCCTTATGCTGCACCGGCTCCTTTACTACGAACAGCCTCCTCCTTAGGAGTAGATAGAGGGCCATCCTTAAGGGCTGGTTGACTGTTGGGGGCTAAGGAAATAGAGCCCTTGGTCACTGTTAGGGTGCTGGCTTAGCTGGCGGAGAGATCCGGTGCGGTATTGGTGAATTAAAACCTGTTATTAAACAATATTGTCGCCTAAACGACAGCCTAATTAGTGGAGCAAAGTTATTACGAGCCGGAGCTAGGCTAAACCTAGGGGGCGTTATATGCAGCAAAAAGGGGCGTTATACGCAGCAAGAAGGGGCGTTATAAGTAGTCTCGTCTATAAAATATACCGTAATGATTATTTGGAACGTACGGGGCTAGCCGGTATTGGTGATCGCTTTGGTTGGAGGTACCTTTGTACCGATCGACGTGGACTCAGGTTGCAGCACTACAACCTAGGATCAACAACTCATATTCTAGAAAGCTACTCCGAACATCAGCTGTGCAGTGTTCAGCTGAACTTACTAGCGCGCCACCCAGGGGTGGCCCCCCTTCCTTCCCCTAGTATATATACAACTAGCTAGACGTCTATAGAAATCAGAGTTCACATCAATTTAACCTGAGTCGTGGCGACTTTGCATGAATTTGCGTTCGATAGGGGCCACAAGGCTGATGACGATTTCCTAGTATGGTAGTGAGGCTTTTAGGCTCGGATAAAGCCCTTTTGTGAGTATTAAGTGATGGGAGCCTTATAATGGTGCTGTGGCGAAGGAATCCTGTTACGCCATGAAAGAAATCTCTCCGCAAATCAGGCGCGAAGGCGACGATGCGCACGTAATTTTTATCCACAATTTGATGCTGCACAATGCCATAGACATTCTCAAATCATGTTGATTTTGTGCCCAAGGACCCCAAACCCAAAAAGAAACCCGAAAAGCCACCCCAGAGCCTGCACCTGTGCCTACATTCGAGCCTCTTCAAATACCTACCGGACTCAATCAGCACTCTGGCCCTTTCCGTCTATTTTTTTCCGTGGAGAGGATGGTGGTTTAGACGAACGAGTACGCCGAACCCCACCCCCGAACAAAAGACGATGCACCATTGAAAGTTGTATGGATATTTTGGAGAGGTTATGTATATGGGAGTCGTCGTACAGCTAATAATTGAGGACTATTGGGGCCCCGAGCGAGAGAGGGGCGGCGAACTATTTGAGGCAGTCCATATCTAAGGACCGGTTCCAGCAGATTGATCGCTTTATTTGAACCAGCCCGGTGCCTTAGGTTGGCTACAGGGTTACATTTGACAGTGTAGATGAGCTCTCCGAGCATATTCGGGTACTCTGTCGTCGCTACTGGACTCCAGTCTCGCACCTAGCTGTCGATGAAATTATAGAGAGGCTCAGGAGCAGCGGGGGCGCATCGCTGAAAGGGTAAATCCACAGGTGCGAAGTGGCCGGTGCACAGAATACCCAGCGCTCCTGTGTCAGAGCGCTTTCCTGGAGTGGTTCTGGGGTTTTCAGACCAGATTACTTCGCAGAGGGCCGCGGATGGGCGTACATCCCAATGGTACATCTCGTTAGCCCTCCAACTCTTTCAAGTCATCTTGTGCTGCCCGAAGCATGTCTTTCATCATTAGGCAGGGTCCTACGAGGGGACGAGAAACACTAACTTCGATGCCTAGATCTTCATAGGTTGAATTGTGAGAGATGCGAAAGCCATTCAATCCATCTCCTATTGGTTTGGACATGAATATTTCTGACCGCGACAGAGTCACTCAGGTTGAAATTGATGTGAACTCTGATTTCCATGGGTGTCTAGCTCGTTGTTTATATACTAGGGGAAGGAGGGGGGCCAGCCCCGGGGGCATAACGTGGTATCTCTTCCTGACGCGTTACTTGATTCATCCTGTTTCCTGATACAGTACTGATACCGTGCTGCAGCACTGCTGTTGCACTACCTGTTACTTCCTCCTGTATCAGCATGTTATCCTGATACGTTACTGCATATGAGTTGCTGACCCTAGGTTGTAGTGCTGCAACCCGAGTGAGTCACCATTGTTGGCAGACGTGCAGGAAGTCGTGGGCTGCCCGGACGATGTCGCGTATGTGAACTCCTGTAGAATCCAGGATCGTAGAGAGAGCTGAAGTGCGACGTAAGAAGGAAGTTTGGAGAAAGAATGAAAGCAGCGGTGGCGCGACAGCCTCGTCGGCTTGAGAGATCTGCCGAACACCGGCGCCTCAACGTCAACCGCAGAGACATCTCCACTCGGGCATCTTGGTCAGGCGATGGATGGCGTCCTTACACCAGGGAACGAAAGGGTGTACCAGTACTAGTCCCCTTCTTTTAGCTTACATATTTCATTTATCTTCTCTAGATAAAACCTACTAAGAATAGTAACATCCACCAATGCTTTAGCTACAAGGGGGGCCCTGGTATTGTACATGTTTTCAGCAAGTTCCATTGAACTAAGTTCCGCCTGTCAAGTCAATCCTAAAGGAATCAACGTCTAGTAAAAATCAACAAGTTAACAACCAAAAACTTTCGGCAAACGCTCCCGCAACGCATCTTCGCCATCTTCCCAATATCCCCGACCAAGTCGGTTCAAGATGACCTGCATCTTAGACTTCGGAAGCGCCTCCCCTAGCAGCTTTTCCGTAAAGCTAGCCAGATTTCCCGGTCCATACAAGGCCGAGTGTAGTGCGCAGGCAACGGCGCTATTCTCTGTATATTTCCAATCTGAGTTTTCGCCAGCCGCATCCCGCATGGCTTGTGCGTAAATTTTCCGATATTTCTCCAGCTCATCCACAGAATGAGTCTCGAGGTGGTTGTCTGGCCAAACGTAATCAGACTGCCAGTCTTGGCGGAGCCAAATCGGCACAGCGGCGTAGCCGACGCAACGGGGAACGGTTTGGACGCCGTCCCAGTCGATGATGCCGGTGATCTGCTTGCCATCTGGCGTGACCATGATGTTTTGGTAGTTGAAGTCTGGGTGCATGAGCCAGAATTTCTCGGGTTGTTGGTCGGTCGCTTCGGCGGGTGTTGCCGGGGTGAATGGTTTGCCGTCGAGGGCAAGGTTGCAGACTTTACGGGTAACTGCAGATCGCCAGTCGCCGGGACGAAGCGATTCTGATTCGAGTTCCGCCTTGTAGTATTCTTTTGTGGTCATGAAGGTGGGGATCGTGGCTTGTACTCGGGCGATCCCATCGTCTTCCGGGCGTCGAGACTTATCTTCGGATTCGACGAAGGTGTGAACATCTCCAACGATGGGATTATGTAGGTCATCGAAGTGGAGCATTCCGATTTTGTCGAACTCTAGGTAGCGTAATTCAGCCATAGCTCCGGCAAGAGAGGTAAGGATGTTTTCACGAACTTCCTCGAGGGGAAGGTCGCCCTCTTCTTCGGGGAACCAAGCATCGTACGCTGAGATTCCCTCAACAAATTCCATCATGATGTAAGGGCAGCCGATGGGGTTGTTGAAGGTGGTGTCAAAGTCCAACACCTTTGGAACAGGAAACTTCGTTTTAAGCCGGATGTAATCCATTGTGAGAGCTTCCGAGCGAAGATTCTCGGCGTCCACGGGCATCCAACGAGCGGCATGTCCGATGGCGGGGACCTTGATGGCGACCTTTTCGCCGTTGAAGTGTTCCAGGATCCAGACCTTGTGATAGGAACCTTCTGAATCCTTCACGACACGTATGCCTTCGCCATGAAGGACATTGCCCGGATCGAGAATCGACGAAGTCAAGTCAATCAGAGCCTGATGTGAGGTGTTCTTGATTGGACCCCAATATCGAGTCTCGAAGTCCGCTTCTTCGCCACCTTTTCCGTCCTTGGGGAGTGAAGCGCTGTAAGGTTGGCGGAGGTATTCTAGAACTTTGCGTATGAGGGTCGACTTCTTTCCATCGTCCTTTGGTTTCTTATCTTTAGGTCCTTTTGCAGATTTTCGCGTCGTCTTCTCGCGTATCTTCTCGCATACATGCCTGAACATGCCGGCGACCATCTCGAATTTACGAACTTGCGCTGAGACAGAAGTAGCGTGCTATGACTGAGAGAGTGGTGGCGTGGAAGTCTGAATAGGTAAGGTGTTGGGAGGACGGTTGAAGAGATTCAGGTATTGATGACGGGGTGAAGGCGCCTTTATAAGGAGTCAATCAGTGAAAGAAACACTTTACCGTGTCACTTAACAATGTTGTTGCTAGCCACAAATCCTAACAACAACACTTTCACACCATCAGTGCTAGACTCAATGTGCAAATATATCGCCCACGTGAATGCACGAGTGGCGATTTCGAGGATGGATTTAAAGATCTCCTACCTCCTTCATCCTCTTGATCATCTAACTTCTCATAACATATCCCCACCCTACTACTACCTTCACTGCTCTTTAACACACACCCCGTTAGTTCGATGCCCACATCGAGTTCTGAGGCCCCCATTTCCCCCTTCCATTGCTCCCCCTATCTCCAAGTCAGCCAAAGCATCCGCTTGCTATGAAGTATATCAAGAACGCCAAGTCCGGCGCGACGGGCAAGCGCATTCACCACTGCAATGCCTGCAATGCAGCCATTAAAGATAGTTGTATCGGAACCCACGTAGAGTATTGTGAGGAGTGCGGGCACATATTTGCCCTCAAGCATGGATGCTCCCAGCATCCATACTTGGATGGACACAACCTCGACAAAGAGGCCGCGTTCAAGAATCGTCCTAAGAACCGAGTAGTCCAGCTCTGCGGTTTCGGCAAGAAGAAGGTCGAAGAGCCTAAGGAAGAGAAACCTGGGCCAGCGTTCGACACCGACTGGCATGCCCCAGAGGGAAAGCGACGATTCTATCGTCGCAAAAAGAATAAGGATGGGAACAAGGAGGATGAAGCGGCGGATGGAAAGCAGAAGGCTTCCACGGGCCCTCCAAAGCAGAGGAAGAAGGGTGCAAAGACCCGGAAGGGCGCACAGACGGCGGCCTTTTAAGGCCGAACCCATGTCTTCATCGTGCGTAGTGTCTAAGAATTCAGACATAGAGGGACTAGGCTGCAACCTCTGAGGACTTACTGACTTCTAGGGAACCGGATCGTCAAAGTTCTACTGATGCCATCAACAGAAGCCGAAGCACCGTCAACTTTCTGAAAGCAGATCTATTCTCCCAGATTGTCGCGGAGACCTCTAATGACTTTTGTTGACCGGACTTGTCAACTGGAAGGCCCTTCTATTTTGAGTACGCGGACATAGCGTTGATTTTCGAATCATTCCTGCTGGCAGTAGGTCTCCTGAAGGCCTCAGACTATATTAGTTAGCTAGCATCCCTAATACTAAACCCCTAGAAATCATCTTGCCTACTTTTTTAATAACACTACGCTACGTGCGATTAGCACCTCCTGACTGACTGGTTGTATTCCCTCTACTCTTGCAAGCCGCTCCATTATTTCTGGGGCGTGGGCTACATAGCCTTCGGAAAGCATTGCTCCAAGATCGAGGGAGACGCCTTTCTGTCCTAGGCGCATCCGATAGTGGGCTAAAGCATCTTGATGGGTATTGCAAGCGTCGTAGTTGGCTTGTCCTCCACTTCCGATAATCCCCGCTAAGGAAGAGAACATGATGAAGAAATCAAGATCAGAGGGAAGGAGCGAATGGAGGTTCCAAGAGCCCTGGACCTTTGTAGCTAGCGGCGCGCTGAAATCTGCATAGCTCATGTTTTCGAAAACGGAGTCCTATAGTAGAACGTCAATTCCAATGGCATTGATGGATACTGCCACTTGCTGCCGTCTCACGTACCTTGAGGACCATGGATGCCTGGATGCATCCTCGAATAGGCAGCATGTGGGAGCTCACTGATCCCAAAACAGCACTCAGCGCGCTTGCGTCGCTAATGTCGCACCGTCGGCTCTCAATCTAGAGGCCTTGCGAGGTCATGTCGCGGATGAACTGGGCCGCCTCCGGCTGCTCTCCCCCAGAACGAGACAGCAGAAGCATATGCCGCGCTCCCCTCTTCGCCATCCAACGTGCGATGCTCCGCCCAAGACCCCCAAGACCTCCGGCAATAGCATGCGTTGCAACCTCGGCAAAAGGCTGCCGCGTCCAAGACGAGTCGCTGCCTTGGCTTAATTAGTATTCCTCGCTAATCATGCACTCTGTTTGTGCATACCTCCACTGTGACCCCTTTCTCGACCTTCACAACGACTTTTCCCATCGATTGGCCACTCGGTAGAAGCCGCAATGCATCCTCGATTTGATTGACCCCATAGATTGTCGTGTCCAATGGCCGGATTTGCCCCTTTTGTACCATGTCAGCCACCTTCTGCAGCAGTCTACTCATCTCTTCGGGGCGTTGTCGCATCATCGAATTTAGGTCGATTGAGGCGAACGTCGAGTTTCTGGCAAAAGGCCCCATATTGAGACGTGACCTCTGCAGGATGTTTTGCATTCCTATGTCGATGAATCATCCAAATGGAGCTATGCATTCCCAACTGGCGTGTAAGAGGTCGTCGGCAAGAGAATCAAGCACTACGTCGACGCCTCTTCCCCCTGTTGCCTGACTAATACTGTCCTTGAAGGATTTTTCTCTACTAGAGAAGATATAGTCAGCTTCAATAGCATAGTTCTCCATTAAGAACTCCTTCTTGCCGGATCCCACGGTAGCGAAAACCTTCGCACCGATATGCCTGGCAAGCCGTAGTGCCGCTTGACCCGTACCGCCAGCTGCAGAATGTGGCAGCCAGTTAGAATGCTCCTACGCACACCGGCCTACGCGTCTCAGCTGGACAAGGTTCACTTCTCAGCTGGACAAGGTTCACCTTTTGTCTGCCACCATTGCTGCCTGCAACCCCTGGTCTCTCTTCACTATATAGCCACTCGTTAGCACCTCAATACAACTCATGCTTTCCTCACTGATCCTTTGCCCTTCCTACGCCAGCTGCCAGAATGAATCAGGACTGATTCTCCACACTGGAGCCGCGCGATCTCACTGAGAGCGCGGTATGCGGTCATGAAGTTGACCGGAATTGATGCTCCCTGTACGAACGAGAGGCCCTGTGGCAGGACAACAGCGTGATAGGCTTTCACCCGAACGAACGTCCTGTATGCGTCCAGACAGATGCTCACTATGGCATCGCCCACTTGGAATGTGGAAGCGCTGGAGCCTGTCCTGTGGATTGTTCCAGCGACCTCAAGGCCGATGAAATTCGTATCGACGTGTCCGATGGCCGTCAAGCCGTCCCTGACGTTGCACCCTCCTGCTCTTACGTGGATCTCGACCTCGTCCTCTTCTAGAAGCAGCGCAACGTCAAGATCGGCTTCGAAGTGCAACGAATGAAGACCGTATTCAGACCCTGTTACCAACTTCAACGGCGCACTGTCCCCAAATAGTCGAAGTCGATTGTTGTAGCCAGAGATCTTGCAAGCAATGTAGGCATTGTGGTAAGGTGCTTCCGATACTCTGTTCGTATGAAGAATTCCGTCGATCTCTACGTATTCAGGCTCGTACGACCCATAGTCATTCACTTGTACCATCTGGCGGTACGCAAGGACAATCATGCCGGCGTGCTGATCCAACAGGTCTTCTGGGGAATCCAGCGCAAGGATGGTGAGGCGGAGATTGTTTTGCTCTCTCCGGACGGTGCGGGACAGTCCTTGGACGAGACCCTGGTCAGGTGTCAGGAGTTGTCTTCCGCCTCTGTCTGTCATCCAGAGAATGGCCCCGCAGGATTGTGTCAAGGATCGAATAGCCAGAAAGGATTCTTCGGCCTCCAGTTGTGGTCTGGAGCCATTCCGTATGCCCAGAATGAGACAGTCTCGTCCAACACAGGCCGGCCTTGCTGCTGTCGTCTCTAAGGAGCCTAATATGCATTTAAGGCCGAGCGTAGTCTGCAGCGGGATCCAAACGCGTTCTGGGAGCGCTATTTCCGTAGCATCATGCATGTTTGTTATGATCAGCGGCCAGCCCTTCCCAGGGTTAGGAGCCCCAAGCACCAGAGAGCTGTCCATGGCGGTAGAAATGATTACACTCTTCTCGTGGCACTCCTCAGATGCAAAGTCTCGGAACTCGGTGTCGACTCCGGAGAATTTATTGCTTTTCAAGGCCGCATCCCACTGCTCTTTGTCGAGACACGGAGAATTCTGCCGATATTCCTCAACGCCCAGCCACCATCCAAGGAGCATCCCGAATGCAAATCCCACTCGAACGTTATCCGGCCTTACGTTCTCCATGAAGAGCAACCTGCCTCCAGGCTTGAGGGAGGCTCTCACATGCCGCAGCGTCTTGCAAATGTCTGCTGTTGCATGCAGAACATTCCCGGCAATAACGATGTCGTAGGTTCCAAGCTCGAAGCCTTGGTTTTCTGGATCTTGCTCGAGGTCCAGGCGACTGAAGTGCGTCTTGGGATGTGTCGACCCGAATTCCTCCTGCGCGGCCCCAACCAGCGATGGTGAGATGTCGGTGAAGTCATACCGCGAGTACCTACACAGCCGGGCACTCTCGGGCAATTCCATGTCCTCTTTCGTTTTCAAAGCTTTCAACGCTAGTCTCGTCATCGATCCAGTGCCAGCACCCACCTCAAGCACTCGCATACCCGGATCCTTATGAGCGGGCAGTTCGAGGTAGTTTACAAACGCGGGCCCGCATCGCGAATCATGAGACCATTCCTCTTAGATGTTTGTCGCATGGTCATCTCCAAAAAACAGCTGCAAGAGGTCCGTTGTTCTGGTGAGCATGCCGATAGTGTTGTCAGCAAATGCGATGTTGAAACGCCACACAGTGTTGGTATCGGCAAGATCTCTTAGCCTCGACATCTTTTGTGGGTCTTCTTTATGAGCCAGGTATCGGTCACGGATGGCCGGATAGTTCCCTGAAAGGAAAGCGTGGGTCTGAGACTCCATCCACTGCACGTACTTCTCGAGGAATGGTTTGGCAAGCGGAACTGGGTTTTTGACGAGCCTCTCTTGTGCCTGAATTAGGGCGTGGAAAACAAATGCGGTGAGGTCCTGCTGAAACCTGAGAAGGTCTTGCTCCGATTGTTCAAGCCTTACACTGGTCTAGCAATGGTGAAGTACTTGCTCCGGACTCATGAGGCTGATATCCGGATTGAGCGTCTAGCACCATTATCCTGACTCTCTCCAAATCCCCTGCTAAGACAATTAATCGAATTACATGACTGGCTATATTCAAGGGGAGGGATAATCGTACACCCCCTAATCACTCCACATACTCTCCCTTTTCGCTCCATGTACACCCCCTCCCCACTGTCACTTCACCACCTTCTAATTGGCTCGGAATAGCGCGGAGCTTCCTCGGGAATTCACCCTTACGTCTATCTGCACGTACATCCTATCCGTTTCATAAGGCCGTACGTGAGGCTATACGTGATGCGGCACGGCTATACAGCCTCTCCGTTTTACAGCGCATTCTATCCCATTCCTTCAGCCGTATATACGGCCGTGCGCGAGGCCGTACGTTAAGGCCGTAAGTAATGCTATATGTGATGCTGTATATATAGCTATACGCGCAGTGCCGACGTGACTAGGAGGATGCCAAAACTATCAAAACATCGCCTTATAAGGGCTCCTTTCCATTAAGCCTGGCTTGCCTGCATTGCCGCCTGCATTGCCACTTGCGCTCGCTCGTTCACTTCCACGAGCGGAAGCTCCGAAGAGTCGGCCCGGTCGCTCCAGCCAATTGTTCCGTGGTGAAGCGCTAAGAGGGGGGTGTGCGTGGAGTGATTTTGGGGGTGTGCGCGGAGTGATTAGGGGGTGTGCCAATATCCCTCCCCTAATTTTTGGCAGATTAAAATGCCCAGGTGGAGTCGATTGTAAGTAAGCCCACTACCGCCTTCTATAGAAGCTGTACAACTCAGGTTGAGATTAAAGTGAACTCTGTCGTATTGTAGATGCCGTAAAGGCGGACTATATAGAGGAACGAGATGAACTACCCCTTGCGCTCCCTTGGTCGTTCCCTTGACAGCAAGGAAGCACCACAACATCGTAAGGAAGAGAAAGGGAGAGTAAGGGATACCTAGGGTATGCAGGCGTGCACACAGGTGAACCGTATGAGTTGCTGATCCTAGGTTGCTGCAACCCGAGTGTACACCAGCTTCTCTACTTTCCTTATACGCAACTATTCGAAGCCTTTCCACCACTTGAAGCCTTCCCACTACTTAAAGCGTTCCCACCACCACTCGAAGCCTTCCCACCACCACTCGAAGCTTTCCCACCACTCGAAGCCATGGCAGGAGTCAATCCCCCTCAGCTCGCCCCACAACCAGATTTCGGGAGTCTATCACAAGGACTCCAGGAAGCCGCTACCGAGTTGGCAAATTCTGCTAATCTTCCTGCACTTTCTCAGGGCAATGCAATCATGCAACAGATGCAGAAGATGAACGACCAGATGCAGCAAAACCATCAACAAACTCAGCGGCAGATGCAGCAGGTGCAGACACAAATGCAGCAGATGGAGCAGCGGATAGTGCAACAAATACAGCAACTCCGCACCGATATCACCACATTACGTCAGGCAAGGTGAGTAAATACTGTTTGATGTCCTGCTTATCTGCTAACTAGTTATAACTATACAGCGTGTACAATTCTGCTGCCCGCCTTGAAAACTCTAATATTAGAAAAACTGACACCGCTATTATCGCACTCCATGGACCTACAATAAACGCCAATATTGCAGGTTTTCCTGCCACACCCGCTCATCTCGCGAATATGACAGGTCCTGCGCTAGATAGGGTTTTAGCAGCACTAGGCCAGCCTACCAATGGCAAGACCGCGGCTAAGAAGCAACGGCTGAGGTTCTACACTGGATTGCGGAACATTAGCGATTAGGGAGGTGCTGGTATACTGGAATAATGATTGCTGGCGGAGTTACTAGGAGTTCGTCAGTGTCAGGCAGGGCCTCCGTTCAATCAACTCAATCAACCGGCCTCTCGATATTGATTGAGTTGAAGGCTTAGTCAGCAGAGGTCCAGATTAATTGAGTTGATTAACTAATATTAATTAAGGGGACTACTAATCGTACACCCCCTTTTCACTCCATGTACATCCCCCCCCCTTCTAGGCGCTTCACTACCTTCTGATTGGCTCGGAGAGCCCGGAGCTTCCTCTCTGCATTCACCCTTACGTCTCTCCACACGTGATGCTATACACGAGACTGTACGTGATGCTATACACGAGGCCGTACGTAATGCTCTACGCGAAGCCGTACGTGAGCTCGTACGTGAGACTCGGGTTGCAGCACTACAACCTAGGGTCAGCAACTCATATGCAGTAACGTATCAGGATAGCATGCTGATACAGGAGGAAGTAACAGGTAGTGCAACAGCAGTGCTGCAGCACGGTATCAGTACTGTATCAGGAAACAGGATGAATCAAGTAACGCGTCAGGAAGAGATACCACGTTATGCCCCCGGGGCTGGCCCCCCTCCTTCCCCTAGTATATAAACAGCGAGCTAGACACCCATAGAAATCAGAGTTCACATCAATTTCAACCTGAGTGTGAGGCTATACGTGAGGTCGTACGTGAGGCTATACGTGAGGCTATACGTGAGCTCGTACGTGAGCTTGTACGTGAGCTTGTACGTGAGCTTGTACGTGAACTTATACGTGAGCTTATATGTGAGCTCGTACATAAGGCTATACAAATCGGCATGGCTATACAGCCTCTTTGTTCTACGGCGCATTCTTTCCAATTCATGCAGCCGTATATACAGCTGTACGTGAGCTTGTACGTAAGCTTGTATATAAGGCTATATGTGAGGCTATACAAATCGGCATGATGTAATTGCTTGTGTTGTACATGGCGGCATTTGGAGAGAGCATTCGGAATTAGTGAGCGAGTTAAGCGAGTGAATCGGAGGCTACGGAGCAGCCCTCCGAGCCAATCAGAAGGTGGTGAAGCGATAGGGGGGGGAGGGGGTGTACGATTAGTAGTCCCCTAGATATAATAACCTAATATCTTACCATGACGATACAGTGGCGTACAGTTTTGCCGCAGAGGATATGCTATACTTGAAGACCAATAGGCGGCGCCGCGGCTGCCCGCGGCCACGAAGGACATTGTTCGAGAATGACCAGGCGCGCTGCTGCCTTGCGATAATCGCAGCGAAAAGAACTTCCTATTTCCGGGCGTAACGTACGAAGAGCAGGCATTTGCTTCGAAACACGGGGGGGGGTCGAGTGGGTGCTTGACTCCGTCCAGAGCGTTTGGCGGCCCGCCACCACCCACACCACAAGTTTCGAGGTTTAGAGTGCGGCACAGCGAAACATGCCCAAAAGCCAACCAGCCATGCGGTAAAACGTCCCCGGCCTTGATGGAGTTTGCGCGCCGTAGACTCAACCACAGCTGGTTCCTGTATGAGAAGATGCCGTTCGCGGGCATGCTGCAGGACAACACACGAGTGCAGCTGCAGCTCCGACCCCTGCGGAGCGAATTTCTATCAGCGCAGGGCACGCGTACGTCTCATCAGTAACGTCTGCATTAGATAGTGCTCAAAACGGCGGTATGCAGGAATATCCTTATCTTGAGAGCCGCTGGGGGAATGACCTGCGCGCCAGAATAATAAATATATATCCCATGCTCGCCTCACCTCTTCAACCATCGCTCTCCGCTCACTTGATCAAAAGCCAAAGGCCGGGGTAGTACCGTCCGTACCATTACATCTTGTAAGCAATGTTGCCGTAGTCTGTCTCGTGACATCTTGCTTATGCGTATCCAGATATCACTATCCCAGCTTCTTGATATTACAAGTATGGGTTCTACTATGGGATTTGCTGCAGCAATGACGACGGACGCGGAAAGAGAGGCGGAGGAGGCACGAAGAGCGGCCATAAGAAGTGGGCTTGCCTCGGCTCTTTGCGACCAGCCAACTATACAGCAACTCTCAAGTTCTAGAAAAGCCGCTCAGGACAGGAGGGCAGATACCGCGAGGCAGAGGGCAGAGACGAAGGCACAGGCGGAAACTGAAGCCAAGAAGACACAAGGGGAGACTGGGTAGGGTGGAGGCACAATTAGGTTCTCAACATGCTTTGGCCCAGTTCTCTCTAGGCTAAGGTCGTCTAGTCTACTTGTCAACCTCAGCCGCGAATCTTTTGCGGAGACAATTTGAATACTCTTCTTGATCCCTTACTTTCTCGCGCAAGAACTCCTCCGTGTGACGGGTCCAGTACGCGGACACAGTCCGGTTGAATTCGGAATTTTCCATGGGAGCAAATATCCCCTGAATATGTGATATGTAGAGATGGTAGAGCCCGTTCAGACAGTCCAAGGCAGAAAAGTACCAGAAATTCCCAGTTTCCCAGCCGTTGCGCATAATACGAGAGTGTGAAATCCCATCCTTTGTGAATGAGCGCTGCTCTTCTTCTTCAAAGATTGCCATGAACTCTGCATGTACGCTTTCAAAAGCTTCGAGTTCTTCTCCAACAAGCCTATCTATCGACGCCCCAGTCAGCCAATATGGTGGATGCTGCATCTCTATCGGCAGAACACAAGCCCACTCAAGGTCAATGATCGATGTGATGTGCCAGTCACGGTTGACAAAGATATTGCTTTGATGGAGGTCAGTAAGCATTAAGAAAAACGGTCCACTTCGGAGCTTGCGATTAGTAAAATGTCGAACAAGAGCTCGCATCATCGTTAAAGCCGAAAGTTGCTCTTGGCCGTCCGCTATATCGAGTATGGAATTTGGCATATACCGAATTCGGTTATCGTGGCATGCAAGAAGATCCAGCAGGTATGCGTCGGTGGTAACATAAGTTAGGTTCCTTGGGATCTCTGTTGGGATGTTATAGTTCTCCAATTGCTGTAGGGTACATGTTAGGGGCCGGTTGGTAAGGCTTAGGACGCCATCGTTGTCAATTGTGAAGGATCCGATGCGCGGAAGTGGTACCCGAGCCAACGATAGCATGATTCGAGATAGACCAGTAAAGAGATTGGTCCTTCGGTCTTTATTCCTACGCTGGAAGTCCCAGGTTACAGAGAGCATCTCACCCTCTGTAACGCAGTCCACAATCATATATCCAGTATTCATGGAGACTGGTGATCGTTGGCGGATATATCGGGACGGAGCAGGATATCCAAAAAGCCACGATGCCGCGCGTCGAAAGGACCATGCAATTCGTGCCGAAAGAGACGCGTTTTCCGGCACAGTAAACTAAGCAGAGCATTTTAGCATGTCCTGTAGGAGGCATATTACTAAATTGACATACACTTTGACCATCAGAAAAGCCGAATCCTCTAAGATACGGTATAGGAATATCCGGACAGTTACTCTCAATCCAGATATAGGTACCGACTTCACAGCGGAGCTTTTCCTCTGCGTTACCAGGATATGGAGACTCTCCAACCTTGTACGGCAGAGGGAATCTAATGAATACCTTCTTGACGGGGTTGGGATGCGTGTCGTTGAGATGGGTATCGTTCAGAGGGTCACGGCGAGGGTCATCGGGAGAGGAGGTAGGATCAGAGTTGTCGTCGATATAGACAGGTATACAGGCATTGAAGCTGCCTCGAACCCACTCTCGAAAATCTTCTGCGACTTTGCATGTCTCGGTAGGAACTCCTAGGTGAAATGAGACAAGTTTCTCAAGATCCTTCTGATGCTCCCAGAGGTAGAAGAAAAAGTCAAGCTGCTTCTGTGGGTAATCTAGCTCGAAAAGGATGTTGCGGCTGTCCTGGTCGAGTGCTCCAGAGAGTGTGGTATTCCCATGTAAAAGGGGGAGTTTTGTGGACCTATCTGGAAGGGGGAGCGTCATTCCAAGAAATCGTCATTCCGAGGGGTGATGGAAGGTTAGAGACGTGGTTTTGGATGAAGCAGCATGGAGAGAAAGAGAGAGTTGCAAGGAACGCGCTCCGCTGAGTCATCTTCCATCCCGTGCCCAAGCCCTGCCTGCCCTGCCACCCTGCCTGCCCAGCGACCACCGACGATTGTGGCACAGCAATCAACGAGCACATGCCCGGCAGCATGTCTACAAGGCGAGTACTTCAACTCGACTGCGTCTTCGAGCAGCCTGTCTTGTTCTCCACCGTTGTTAGCGAACAGTGCGATTGCATTGAAGACGAAGGTTATATGCCTATCGACGGTTCCCGCTCACTTCATGGTGACGCTGCGCACAACGAATTCTCCCCTGTCTAACATACGCGCAGACTACTTCCCCGGGCTGTTTCTACGCTCGTCTTCCTGCCCTGCTCTGCCCTGAAGCGCCTACAGACGACGACGCGTACAGATGCATCTGGCTCGCAGTTCCAGACTCGAACCTAAATACAATCACGGCGCTCGGCGCTTAGTAAGACTCCAGCGGCGCGGCGCGACCGGCCGCCGAAGCCTGTTGTTCCGGGGCATTTGGAAAAGGGACGCTGCAGGGGTGGCGCTAATGCAGATGCAACTGCATGGGCGACTTCGACCTTTGGGATATCCCGGCCCAACGCGGTGGTTTCAGGCAAGCTGAAGTACAAGCAAGATCTCGCACCCCAAATTTCAACATGTGGATTGTACTCTCTCCAGTGGGAGATGTACAGACGCGGCATCGTCACCAAAGAATATCAAGGTACTTCGTATAGAAGGGTGATGTGGGATATTCGATGGGTTAGGGTAGTGATGGGACGCGATGGATGCGATGGATATATAGTTGGAGGGTGATGAATATAAATTCGATAGATATTGCGCTGGCTGGACGGGCATCGCGATTCGAGGCATATCCCCCCCCCCCCCCGGCTTTCAAGCAGCTCCAAGAGTGTGTGTAATAGGCTGGATAAGCGCTCAGGGATGCACAGACGTAAGACTAGAGGGTGAATTGGAGATACACGTGGGTATGTGACCGGAAGCTTCAAGTCTCGAGATGAACGAGATGGTCATCTTACGTCTTAAGACGATAGGGAAGACAGTGCGGTAAAGTCGATAGCCACAAACACGGCAAGTACATCATCATGTCAAGCAACCTGGAGACACATCGTGGGCATGCACGCCATCTATTCATCTTCACCGCACCTTACCCCCCCCCTTTATGGTCACCTCCACATCCCGTCCTCTTCCCCATTCCATCCCTCTCCGCTTCCAGCTACTTATACACCTTCCCCAGCCCACTCCCTGCACCCTTCCCCTCCGCTCTCCCTTCTCATCCCCATAATCCGAAAAAAAGTTCAACGCCTTCAAATAAGCTCAAAGCATCCAGCATACAAATAACCCGTCCAGGTCCCCCGGCCTATGCCCGCATCCATGATAAATAAAACAAATATATATCTCCCAGCGTCGTCTCTAGATTGGTTAAGATGCGGTAAAAGAAAAGACGCTGGAACGCAGGCAAAACAAAAGAAAGAATACACAAAGGGGATGATGAGAGAGGTTGGATTCGGTGGTATTTTGAAGCCAACCCACTCTGCGGAGGATGAGGAAAAGGTTCTTAAGATTAGACTTTCCTAGCCTCGAACAGCCCGAGCGAGAGGGCTGTGTCGTTCCAACCGGCGACGTTCGCGGATTCGGGCAGTATCTCCCACCGGCGAAGCAAGAACGGCATCGGTCTGACGTCTGTTTTATCCTGCTGCTGCTGCTGCGATGAGGTCTGGGCTGTAGGCTGCGGCGTACTCCTGCCAGCCTGCTGTAAGTTCGCTTGGTTCCAGAAATTCCCTGGGACGGTCCCGGTAAGGTTAGGCGTGGTCCCATAGCCCATGAACATGGTCTGCGGCTGGTTCTGGAGAGAGTTCTGGGACTGGTTGCCCATGGGTGAAGCGCTGGCTGAGCGCTGTTGGGCCAATTGTTGAAATTGTTGGATTTGGAATTGCTGCGGAGATTGCGGGTGCTGTGTGGCGAACCGCTGTAGTGAGGGCACGCCTTTGTTTTGTTGAAGCGGTGAGGCTGTTTTCTGGAGACCTTGCTGGCTGAGGGAGCGGTGCATTGGCACTGGACCTGGCGACTGAGACTGTTGTGGTGGCTGCGATGTACTTGTGGTTGCAGTTGCAGAACCTGCAGATGGAGTGATGAGACCCAGCCAACAATCCGGGGGAGGGGAAGAGCCAAAGACGAAAGACGACCTTGGGTCTTGGGAGGGTTTGGCTAGATCTGCCTTTGCGAGAACGGCTCGAACATCGTCTGCCAGGTCGTCGGAGAAGTAGACGCCTACGTCGAATAGATATTCAGTGGTAGAAGGGTGATGCTGCAGGTGAGGATGGCCAAATAGTGTCCGGAGTAGCCACAAAAATGTGGCCTGCGTCTGATTGCTTGACTTGCCGCTCTGGAAAGAGTTTTTGTGAAGTACAGCTAGGTGCAAGACAGCATGAATCCTGCAAGAGTTAGCACCCGGCAGAACAATTGGTAGGAAGGAATAGTAAGTAAGCGACATACCAGGAGCATATATCGGCAGTCGAAAGGACAGGTGACGGAGTATCCATGCTCATGCTGTCTGCATCTAGAGATTTTCCAGTTGCGGGATTGAGCAGCTCCACGATTGATTTGAGCTTCTCTACCAGGATGATGATCATGTTAGGCTGCCCTTCGGTGACAATACTAGTCGCTGTGAAGTCGACAACTGTCAGGTATCTTCTGATATAGGTGTCATCAACGTCGTTGGAAGGCGGCGAGTTGCCGATTTTTCCTGGATTTTCAATCGTGGCCAGAATTGCGCGTTCGGCATGCTCACGAATCTGTTCATGTCTTAGATTGAAAGTTTCAATTTTGGGAGACTCAAAATACCTCGCGTATTAGACTCCCATCAAGACCACCAATGAGATCAGGCCAGTTTGACCGATCATTATCAATGGCCACCTTAATAGCATCTAAAAGTGCCGCCGACACAGTGTCGTCGGAGGGTTCTGCGGACGGCGTGTTCATATCGAATATCTGCCAAAGCTGCAGTTGGCAGAAGGGAAGTGAGAAATCATCCGCGATCTCAACAATCGTAGAAACCTGGTCTTCGAGGCTTTTCTGGGCGAGACCTACAGTCGGGGAAACTTAGCAATGGACCAAGTGCGAAATACCGATCTTGACATACCTAGGGTATCCTCCGGATCCAAGATTGCGTTCAACGTCTTCATAGCCGAGACGGCATTTGCGGGACCTGACATGGGCCCAAGCTTGAAGGCTTTTGCGATTGCCTGGAACTCATGCACTGCCATTTGTCTTAATACACCTAGCAAACGCTCACTCGATAGAAGTGAAGTCAAGTGCACCTTAAGGTCTGCAGAACCTTGAGCAGAGCATAGCTCGACTACTCGGCGGAGTTGTTCTAGAAATTCTGTTGCGTGCTCTGCGCAGAATCTCTGTTGTTCCAATCGGTATCGGTAGGCGTCCTGGCCGGGCGTTAATGATAATCGGGAAGCGTTCCAAGATACACTTACCGGTATTTGACAGAACCAATTCAATTCTCCGTTGGGCAAAACTGCGTTCAATGCGACCAGCGACGTTTTCGCAGCACTGTTTCCCCCTGTGTCGCTTACGCTCGAAATGTACGTTTTCGAAACTTCCGCAAAGCTGGCTAATGTGAGGCAGCCAGCACCTATCAAAGTGGGAAGAGTCGCAAAAAGTACCTTTCCTTGGTGGTTCATTAATAGGTTCATCAGATGTTCATTCATAAGTCGTTCGAACGGTTTTTCGTCAAAACTCCTCAAGCGGTAGAACCAGACAACAAATACGTTCGACCGAGTGACGTCTTTCTTGACATTTTCATCCAATTGAGCAGTTATTTTCTTGAATACGCGAGCCATTATCTGCTCGTCCATGCTCGTTCCGCTTGAGAGGATATGATTGATCTCCTCGTCGGTGTCCATTTTCGTAGTTTGAAGGATGTCCATCATATTGTCTGATGCGGGCGAACAAGCCGCAAGGGAGTTCTTCTGTTCGCATCTAGCTAGATCGTAACGTAAGAGTTGCATTAGCTGAGAATCAGCCTTGGCCGTCCGGGCAAGATCAGCCAGAGAAACAAAGAGCTCACGCTCAGGCGGCCGTTCCGATCGAATTGAAGCGTATCTTGAGGCAAGGCGCTGGAAAAGTGGTTTGAAGGCTCCAATGGCCACAAAGATCTGGTAGTGGTAGTGGAGGGTGTCGGAAACAGCGGCAAGTATCGAGTAATCGCATGAACTCAACGCCATTCCGAGGATATCGGCTAGAATTGAGTAGTCGCCTAGCATTTCTACGATCTCCCGTATCGAGTAGAATTCGGAGGGTGTGAGAGTCGAGACCGAGACTGATCCGTCATGCGGAGCAGTTTTCAAAGACGCTGAAGTCGTGGATCCCACCCTAGAAGCCACCTGCTGTCGCAGTAAGCAGCATAGACTCAGCCTAATAGAGAGATTGAGCCCAGACACGTCTAAGTCCTCTTGCGATACTGGTGCAGGCCAGGACTCGAAAAGACTCGGGATCTGCTGTGCAACATAATCCTCAGCGGTATTCAAGTCATGTTCTTCGTTTTCGACAGCAAATCCGATACCCTGCAAAAGGGTATTCCTTAGGTTGAGGACGTGATCCGAGAGAGTCTCCAACGGTAGCTCCGTGATGAGGCGAAGATGGCTAGGCCAGTCATCAGGTGAAGCTTCATGTCTATTCGTGGAGCCGGTTGCGATTAGCCACTGAAGGTACCGCCCAACCGAGAAATGCTTCGAACGGACAAGTTCGGCAACAATACGGAACACATTTCTCGTTTCGAAAGGTTGGTTGGCGTTGAGTGAGAATAGGAAAGAATGTACAGTGGCATCAGTGTCGATCCCCAACGCGTTCCATTTTCGTATCAGTCGTGTTGCAAGATACATCCGGTGTGCTCCTTCACGGTACACGGAAGAGGCCCAGCGTAAGACAGTTGCGACGAGCTGTTGAGGATCCAGGATCTTCTCCAAACAGGCAGCTGATATATGGTCGATGCTGAGATCCACGTCTCGTTCGGAGGAGTCTAGTAGCTTTACAATATCCGTTATCGGAGATGTGGAATGAGCATGAGAATCGTGAGGGGTGCCAGAAAGCCGTTTATTTCGACTGTCGAGGTCTCGTGAAATTCTATCCAGCGATGAATCCGGATACCTAAGGGCAATGTCGTTGATCACTTCTTTCCGGGTGCCCCATATTTTGGGAAGAAGCATGCAACAAGGCTTATTCATTAGCAGGGTTGCTATTAGCTTTTCAAGATGACCAGATATAGTTCTAATCGTGTCATTATTGGGGTCCGCGCGGAGAATATGGGCATGCCCTAATAGCGCTTCCGCAAGTCGCCGACCCCGCCGTCGGAATGCAATGAGATCCTGCCAGTAAATTTGGGCCATGAGAAGCCAGACAGGCAGGCGCTCTTGGGTGCTCCCATCGAGGGAGCTCAGAAGCCAATCCAAATAGTGGTCCTGGTCAAGCAGACGATCGCAGTAAAGATGTGAAGCAAGGCGAGTCCTGAAGATGTTAGTGATCATCATCAGCATGAAGTGGTGATTATGCGCTTACGCATAGTCCATCCTCGCCTTCCAGTCCGGCTGTGCACAGGAGGAAATGGTGTTCTCTACAAACTGTTCCACACAGATGGTCCATTCCCGGTTCCACTTCAATTCGGCGCCCATACCAACTGTTCCTGAAGCGCCTTTCCGCTTGAAAGCACGCAGTTCATTGGAGCCAATGCATTTCGCAAGCCAGACAGCCCTAGCAATGGGAATGTTCTTGCTCAAGCACTGTTCAAGAAGTAGTTTGCCGCGGATTCCGTGGGGGATGGTCCGGCTGAGTCGACGTAGTGCGATTGCTGGGTTCGCGAGGTCACGCAACCACGTCTCCCGTTTGCTATCAGTCAGGGTGACTCTCGGCGGGGGTTTGAAAGTGGATGGAGCTGTGACGCGCCCGCATTGCTGTCGCTTCTCGAGTGCGGCAACTAAGAGTGTCGACAGCGTTTGGAGGCCGGACTTGTTTTTCAGGCTGGACCACAGGGACGGTCTGGCTGTGGTTGTCTCGCTCATCATGCCCGATCTGTTGTTCACCCCACCCTTCACCAGGGCATCAGTCAGAATGTTCTCGGTGCTGTTCGAGGTCCACGGATAGAAGTCGGCAGTTCCTGCAGAAATGTTAGCTCGGAGAGGGCGCAACGGGGGGATTTCCATACTTCCGTTGGGGAACAGCACCGAGGCTGCGGGCGCGTCGAATCCCGCAAACTTTGCGTTCCTGTCATGTTTGACTCCGCTTCCGCCGGGGAGGATTCGTCGATGCGGCAGTGATAGATCGTCCAGGACAGAGGAGCCCGGCCTTGGGGGCATTGGCATGTTTGCGACTCCAGACAGTGCTGCCGTGCCATGACGGGCTTGCGGGGGGAATCCCCAGGCCTCTCCCCCGTCGCTCAACCTGGGACTGAAGGCCAGCTGTGGTTTCCCTCGCGGCGGCGGTCTGCTGGGTGCATCTTGGACGGGTTGTATGGTTTCTAGAGCGCCCAGCGGGGGCTTTGCAGCCGCCTGGGAAGCCAACCCCGGCGTCTTCAGCAAGGCGTCGTCGGCAAATCGCGCCTCGCCATCGAGGGTGAGGTCGATCACGTCCTGGGCGCGCCCATTGTTCGCGGCGCCGGCGTGCGCTGAGGGGTGTCGTCGGACCTGAGGCCGAGGGGGCGGCGGCCCGCTCCCTGTGCGCTGGAGAGACTGGATGCCCGGGGCAGGACGAGAAGTCATCGCACCTCAAGCGCATACATGGCCAGCGGGAGGGAGGACTCGGCGGGAGCGGCGGTAGTGGTCGGGGATTTTGCGGCAGAGGGCAGAGGGAGAGGGCGGAGGGCAGAGGGCAGAGGGTTGAGGCAGAGGACAGGAGGGAGGGCGCATCGGGGGAGGCGGCGGTGGAAGGGCTCTGCCAGCGGAGTCTGGAGGAGAGGGCACAGAACCGTGGTGGCTGCGATATCTTACGACACGATGGGTTGTTCGGGCAGGACAGGGAGTGGGCCGCTGCGAGTGGGCTCCGGGAGAGCTGGGATGCTGGGACGCTGGGGTCTGGGCCAGCCGCAGCGTGCAGTGCTGTGGTGCAGTGCTTCTAGCTTCTATAACTGCCACCAGGCACGATAAAGCGCCTCGCTCAGTTCCCGATTGCCTTGCTGCCAGGCACCGCGAGGCGCAATGGGCGCGCGTTGCCGGCCCGCGAGCACCGGCGCACTGCCTCCTCTGCACGCTCTGCACGTCTCCTGGTGCTGTGGGGGGCTCCAGGGCGCCATCCCAGGCATCAGGCATCACGGCTCTTGGGCAAAGCGGCTGCACGGTGCCGGCCCGGGCAGCCTGGCGGGCTCGCGGGTACTGTCGCCATCGACCCATGCTCACCTCTGCTAACCTCCTTCTCGGACCGCACCACATCCACATCCACATCCACATCCACCGACAGCGACAACGACAACGACAACTCCCCATCGCACCGCCAGCCCCAGCCATCTTCTCCTCCGCGTTGGCGCTGCCGACCCCATCCACCGCCCGCCCCTGCCGCAGCAATGGCGGCGAAGAAGGACATGACGCGCGCCGATTTGAGTACGTCGCGACGCAGCCTCGCCCTCTGGCTTCCCTTGTGCCACGTCACGTGCTCGCTGACACCCCGTCCAGTCGTCCCCTACGTGGAGCCGGCCAAAGACAGGTCGGATGGCGACATGACGAGCACCATGGCGTCCACGCTTCCAGTGCTGAGTGCCCCGCCTGGCGCGCAGGCCGCTTGCTAACAAGGCCTCAGATGGCGGCCATTTTCACCCGCAACAAGTAAGACTCGTCGACCGCAACGAAATGTGAAGCATGCAGTTCTGACCCAAGTGTGCCTGCGCAGGATGATTGGCTGGTAGGCCGCGCGCTTTCTCGCCGCACTCCCAATGCTGACTGCACAGGGTGGCCGTCGTGTTCTCTCTGCAGTCGTGGCTGGCCGAAACTCCTGAGCAGGCCCAGACGGCGACGACGCCAGGCTACTTTTCCGTCGGCATGGCCTGTGAGTCCCCGTTGCCTGCTCGAGTCACCTGCACTGCTAACGTCGAGCAGTCATGTCTCTCATGGTTGTGAGTTCGTCCACGTCCGAGTGCCGTGGCACAGTGTCTCATCACCTTCTCGCAGGCATATATGCCCTTGTTCATGCCGCCCCCACAGAATCGCTTCTCGCCCGGATCGGGGACTGAAGCTCCCTCCGCCGTGCCCGTTGCTTGATTCAACTCTGTATTGTCAGACTCCCGGGTACGAATCTTCACTGACGGCTAGCTGTGGTGGGAGTCAGCAGAATCCAAAACGTCTCTTCGGCCGTGTTCTTGTAGGATTAACGTGGGGTAGTGCGACCAGGGCACAGGGGGAAGGTCGTATGGGCGGATATCAGAAAGCATTATATTATCTCCAGATCTGCTTTCTACTCCCTTATGTTGCCGGTGCTTGCTGCAAACATGTCTAGACAGGACAACATATAGGGTGATGGTCTCGTCCCCTCACCGCAATCCGACCCGTTAGAAAACGAGAAGGCGAAAAAGCACTGCGTCGTGACACTCGATAGGATCTTCCATGTGGTCACACCGCACGACTGATTTTCATGCACATTCCAACGGCAGGCCGAACCAAAGCGCGCGGAGAGCGGAGCCCGCCTTCCATTCGCTCCACGGGTGGCAAGATCCGCTAAGCCCGATGCGTGCAGGCAGGGTCTGAGTCGCAACTCCGCCCGATATCCCATCACGAGCAACTTCAAAGCCACCGCAACCCAACACGACCAACACTCCGCTCCACACCACACACAGCTATCCTCAGCGGCACATCGATCGCCCTTCTTTCACAACCCCACACAGCTTTCTAGAGTCGTTTGACACACATAGCTTGTATGTCAATAGAAAACCTCAAGACATTCGGTGAGTTATCGCCCCGCTCAGCCTTCCCCTCGCTGTTCTGCCTTGCCCAACGCGCCGCTCACCGCGTCCCGGCATGGAACGCATAGTGCTATGAGAGCGGGGGCAGGTGTAGTCTCGCGCTTCTGCTGTTCTGTTTACGTGCTTGATTGCTAACCGCCGCCCTTGTCAGACCCGTTCGCCGAGGCCGACGAAGACACTGGCGACACCAAGCAGTCTCAGAACTACATCCATATTCGGATCCAGCGTACGTCCTGCCCCTCTACTCCGCCCTCGGCCGCTCTTATCGGCATTCTCTCGCCTCCACAACCAGTGACTAACCTCCAACGCAGAGCGCAATGGCCGCAAGACCCTGACCACAGTCCAAGGCTTGCCCAAGAAGTTCGACCAGAAGAAGATTCTCAAGGTCATCAAGAAGAAGTTCGCCTGCAATGGCACCATCGTGGTCGACACCGAGATGGGCGAGGTGATCCAGCTGCAGGGCGACCAGCGCAAGGATGTGCAGGATTTCCTGACCGATAAGAAGGAAGGGTTGGGCTTGGATGCCAAGGACATCAAGGTGAGTCAGTCATTGGCCCTCAGTTGCCGTCTGTTTTTGTTGTAGATTTGTGCATATTGCTGACTCGGCTGCAGGTCCATGGTTTCTAGGCCCCCAGACGTCTCGCCCCCCGCCCCGCCCCGCCCCGCCCGCTACCCATATTGCGGACCGTCGACTCTCCGAGGACCTTCTTTCTGCGAATACTCCATAGATCTGACGAGATGAACGCTGGGTCAAGCGGCATGGCTACAATGGGGGGGGCGTCGGATGATACCCTTCTCTCTTTAGAAGTCTACAACGGCTACATGTGTTTTTGGTTTTTGCTTTTATTCTAGTCGAACTCGACGATGCGAGGGGGATCAGAGCGATGTCTTCTCCCGCTATATCAAGACGGCGTCGGACGGAGTGTCTCCTTGTCTTCTCAAGTCGGTCATTTTTGCTCTCGAAGGATATGCCTAGTTTAGGAAGAATGGATCTTCATACCAGTGCTAAGCTCAATACTCAGTTTATGAACTAGTTCCAAGCGAGTTACTAACGTCCACGAATGTATGCATCTTCTTCACAAGTACAATAGGTGCATCCCGAAGCGTGTTGTGCAACGCAAGCGATTTCACAATGGCTCAGCCATTCAAAATAGGAGGAACAGAGGAACTTCCACGAAGAGCTCGTGATGCTAGGATACAATCAATATGCTACAATACTATACAGCTCCAGAACCTCTCACCTCCCTCTTGTTTCTCCCGTGTGGGGGGATCTACCTCTAATCGAGCATCAAGTAGGCCCACGCCCACGTCTCTACGCCTGCAACGAGCTCTGCGCCCTCTGATATTCCTCCAACTCCCTCGTCATCTTCTCGTCCCTCCTCCTGACCTCGGGCGTCGACTCTTCCGCAAACCCCCACACCATCCACGCCTCCTCGACGCCCTCGAGCATCCGCCGCTGCAACACCAAGTACTCCGTCACCTCGCTCTCCACCGTCTCCACATCCGCCGGCACCTCGACGCCCTCGCTGAGCGCCCTGTGGACCTTGTGCAGCGAGATAGCGTTGTGCGCCCCACTCACCGCGGCGCTCGCGGCCTTCTTCGCGCCCTCCCTCTCCACCGCCAGCAGCGCGGGGCTGACCTCCTTGCTCGCGGCTCTGAGCGCCTCGATGCGCGCCCTCACGGCGGCGCGGGCTTGCTCGTCGGTCCAGGTGGCGAGGATCTGCTTAGACGCGAGGCGCACCACCACCTGGCGCACGCCCGAGCGCTGCAGGCCCGGCAGCGGGGAGGCGCGGTTGGAGACGATCTTGGGCGACGCGGTGTAGGAGGCGAGGGACCACGTGACGTGGGTGCCGAGGGCGCGGTGGGACATGCGGGCGCGGAAGTCGGCCGCGAGGCCGGAGCAGCAGAGGCGGGTGATGGTGGGGGTGTCGTGGCTATTGGAGCGAGTAAGTGTTAGCGAGGGGTTTCAAAAGATTGGTGTTTGTGGATAGGGCTGCGCGCCGCGCGGGTTGAATATTGTGGATAGAACTGGCTGCGAGGGTCGGCGGCGTGGGAGAGGGGAGAGCACATACGCGGCAAATGCTGTATAGATCTGGCTGTGGTAGTCTTTTGCGAGGGGGACAAGGGCTCTCCGCTCGAGCTTCGGGCGTGGTCTGGATTTCCAGCCTTTCAGGAAAAATTTCCACGTTATCAGACTGGTGTGGTCTGGTGTTAGAATTGTGGTTTGTTTGAGGGTTGATTGGGGCTTGCCATACCCAAATTTATCCATCGTTCTCCGTTTGAGCGATTGCCATTCGATGTCTAGTCGCTCTCTTGGTTTTCGAAATATGCTGGGCAGGTTCTTGCCGGTCGGTTTGATCATTGTGCCTGGCACGCGTTCCGTCAGTCCGTGGTTCTCATAGACGTTGCGTCAAGTCTCCATTAAGCTTGTCTCTACATCAATGCATAGACTAGATATCATACCTGGCAGTAGGCCCATATCATTCGGCAGGCCCCGTAGCCCCGCGGCCCCCTTCTGTTGTTCCTTCAGCATCCTCGTTGGCGATTTTGCTGCTCTCTGAATCGGTGGGCGCATGCCGCGCGTGGGAGCCTGCCTCGAAATGCCTGCATGCCGGCCAGGTGTGGTCGCGAAGGTACGACGGGAAGGTCGGTAGAAGAGGCATTGGCGCCCTATCCGGCGCGGTAATGGAGGCGGCATCGTGGTGGTCGTGGGAGAACAATCGTGAGAGAGTTTGGTGCCGGGTTCAGATCTCAGAAATCTTGGTCACGTGATAGTAGACGCATTCCACATCAATATCCTCTGACTTCAACAACGTCCCCATCGTCTTTCTTTCTCTCTTCCAAGTTTGCCTGGAATACAAAGGACTCGTTTTGCCCGCACGACTCGTCGTTTCCTGTTATCCGCCTTTTGTGGCCTTCGGCAGGCGCTTTCAACAACGCAGTACATGGCACTTTCTCCGACAAAACATGCGCCGGAGGACAGCATCAGCGACCCGGACCATCCATTCTGTAGGGCTCGCTTCTATACAGCGAAAACCCGCATTGCTAGACTAATCGCACCGCGTCGCCGTAGCTACAATGAAAGTTTGCGCCTCTCTAAAAGACGCCGTTACTTCAACATCCATGAGCTCTGCCAAGCCGTTGCCAGGTCTACCGGCCAGTCCCCCGACGATATCACCCAGTTCACCAAAATTGCGGAAGGAGGTTCTTATCGTGTCTTCCAAGCTACGTTCCAAGATGAGGTGAAGGTCATTATCCGCCTTCCATACCCATCGATAGTCCCTCGCACATATGGCATCGCTAGTGAGGTTGCGACTATGGAATTTCTCCGCCTGCATGGAGTTCCAGTTCCTAGGGTCTTCGACTAGAGCTCGTCGACATCGAATCAAGTAGGGTCTAAATACACCATCATGGAGAGAGTTCCAGGCAAAGAGCTAGAAGATGTCTGGTACACTATGACGTTACAAGAGAGGATGGATGTAATAGAGAAGATTATTGATATTGAAAAGATACTCTTCGCCATCCGATTTCCTGCCAGTGGTAGTCTGTATTTCAAGGATTCCTTGGGCGATGGTATCACGAAAGTGGATTTGCCACCAGATGCTAGTCATAGAGAAATAAACAAGTTTTGCATTGGACCTTTAACAGAATTCCTTTGGTGGTATCAACGGCGAGATGGACTAGCCGTTAATCGGGGACCCTATAAGAGACTCTTAACTTGACTAACGTATCCTACAAGCCAGTGGCACCGACAAGCGAGTGGCACCACCCCACCAAGCCATCACGCCGAATAATGTGAATCACTCAACAACGAACAATTGTATTTTATGCAGCTATATGCTAGCTAGTTGCCTGCCGCCTAGGGCACGTACGGGCATTGTGTTCTGTCGAATCGCACATGCTACACTTAGGTTTTGCACGTTGCCGTGGCTCGCTCGCTGCTGTTGCTGCCCCCTCTGCTGCCCTTATTTGGGCATCTTGTGCACGAGCGGCCCCTTCTGCCCCTAACAGAACACATTCCTTAGCCATATACCTGAGCTTCTTTGCCCTCTTCTTTTTTTGGCGTTGGTTCTCTGCCCGTAGCTTCTCAATTTCGCTAGCAAGCAGCACGGTGGTTGACATTGACATTTCGCATGCTTTTGAAAGCTAGCTAATTACGCCGTCTGTTGGGCTTGGTGGGCTATACGTGCGCCGTTTGAGATAGCGCCTTAGCAGGGCCGTCTGCTTTTGTAGCTCAGCGATATTGTGGGGTGTTTCTGGTGCCCAGGATGCACTTGATTGTGGACGTTCGGGTGGTGGTGGTGTCTGATATTCTGCATGCAGCCGTGATAGCACGCGATCGGGGTTGTATGGCACAAGGCCAGTAGCTGCGAATCCTGCCTGGATATTGCTTTGATGCAGGGCTGTTTTCCTGGCCTGCCTGTATAGGGGCAAGAATTTGGTAGCTGGCGTAGGAAGGGAGAATCAGTGAGGGAGACATGAGTTGTATTGAGGTTCCAGCGAGTGGCTATATAGTTGGAAGACGGTAGGAGTGGAACATGGTGAAACAAGGAGAAGTGACAGGAGCGTAGCAGCAGCGTAGCAGTAGCGTTCTAGTACAGTATCAAATACACTAGTTCTTACGCACTAGGGGGTGCATCCAGCTGCCAGAATTCGCGCTTATCAATGTGGTTGACACCACGGCCCATAAGTTGTTCAACAAGGCGTCCATATACTTGCTTAAGCGCTGAGAAACAGCCTACATCAAGTGGCTGCAGCAGATGCGATGAATGCGCTGGCATGCATACAACAATAATGTTGTGATCTATACAAAATTAATCAAATTCAGGGTTGATATGGCTGCCGTGGCCATCCAACACTAGCAGCCGATGCGTGCCAACGGTACGATCCTTTGTATACTAATAGAATTGCTTTATCTAGACAAGGCCAATCTTATTTATTGTCCAACCATTTTCGCTGACGCCGATCGACCAATCGTGTGGAATAATATCGGCCTTGTACCAAGCAGCTTGGTGCATTACGGCCTGGAAGATAATAAGCGGTGGAATATTACCCCCTAACGCATTAATACATTCAATGATTATAACCTATTCTTAATTGCCTAGTTGTACTGTCCTAGGCCGGCCAGCATAATCTGTTCCAGTAACAACCTTTGCTGCTGTTGCAATAACACCTATTTGGCAGCTAGTCTCATCAAAGTTCCAGGTATCATCATCCAGAATCCTATATTATGCCTTTGTATCTTGTATATATTTAAACCAGCTTCGAATAAGTGTAGGATCTTCGCATTTGGCCCGGTTGTAATTGTACTTGCGATTAAATTTGCATTAAAGGTCCTCGTGGTGGCGCTTGATAAAGTTCCGCACCCAATGTTGGCTAATTGGTTTAGCGGGTCCACGCTGCGCAACTAGTAATGCAGCCATCTGCCGTACAGTATCAATTCGCGGTGGCATACCGCGTTGATCCTGTGATAGAATCCATTGCTTCAGGCTCTCTTCTTGTGCAGGTGTTAAGTGGCGATTTAGTGCAATAGAACCGCGCTGTGCTGGTATGCCGTTGGCGCGTTGTATAGCTGTTCTTCGAGGTACATCGTATGCTGCTACGGCAGCCCGAAAGGATTTAATATGACCTTGCTTATGCGCATTGATAGCAAGCTGAATTCTGCCCTCTTGATACAGGGCTTCTTGTTGTTGTGATGTAGTCATTGCGGTGGTTGTGTTACGCGTCGCGTGCTTCGCGCGATTTGGTGCCACTCGCTTGTCGGTGCCACTGGCTTGTAGAATACGTTAAGTTACTGCATTTTGTGATGACTAACCAGTAGATTACAGGGGAAAATTCCGAGGATCTACTAAGGGCCGTTAGCCGGAGAGAATTGATGTGGCTCCAGAAATTCGGCGAACAACGTTTTCCTAATGAACCGCTCTACAGAGAATTTTATAGCCATCAAAAGTTGGACCCGAAGGTGCAAATAGACAGTTTGCTGGATTATCTGAAAGTAGCTCCGCATATCATTCCCGAGGGAGAGGAGTTGAACCAACCTACCATCCGACACCCAGATCTCTCACCTAACAACGTCTTCATTTCTAGATCCGGCGACATCACTACCATCATCGACTAGCAGCACAGCACGATTCTTCCCATATTTCTACAAGCCAAGATGCCGAAGCATTTTCAGAATTACGGCGACGATGATTCGGAGAATTTTCAACCTCCAAAGCTTCCCGAGAATTTCGATTCGTTAATGGGAAGTGAGAAAGATAGGCAGGCAGAACTGTACCGGCGACGGCAGCTCCACTATTTCTATCTGGCATTTACCAATCGCAACAACAAGCCCCATTTCCAGTCCATGGGCACGTATGATCTTATTGTAAGGAATCGGCTCTATGGCACTGCTAGCAAGCCATGGGAAGGCGATAATACTTCGCTCAAGGCGGAAATAATACATGCGTCGACCCGCTGGCCCGGCATTGCCACTTCAGCGATGAAACGGGCGGACTTTCCTGCAAAATACTCCGAAGCAGAAGTCGTAGAATGCCTCGATATCGATATAAAGCAGAAGAAGGTGGATGAACAAATGTAGCAACTGCGCGATTTCTTCAGCGTTAACATCGACGGTTGGATGCCGACTGAATTATACGATGAAGCCAGGGAGAAGGAGCGACATGCTAAACTCCAAATGCTCGAGGCTGCTGAGACCGAGGACAAGAGGAGAGAGCTGCATGAAAACTGGCCGTTCCAGGATTATGAGGAGTTGGATTAAAGCAACTTCGTTCGCCTTGGTTTGACTTCTGGCAAGTGTAGATAGCATACATGGACGGCGCAATGCTTTATTTCCATTGTTGCTTTGCCGTTCTGGCACCATATACAGCCTCTCTAAACATATTCCTGATCCACGCATCATCCAGGAAAGGGTTTGTAGAGCAGAGCGTTGTGGATGGGTACTACCGACGGTTGTAGCCGAGTTGGGCGGGTTCATGGGTGATAGGAGAGAGAGAATGTCACGGGTACGTAGTAGTGGTGGTGAAATTTGATGAGGTGCTCCGAGAGCGCAGCGAGCGAGCTAAATGTGCGAACGCGTGTATGCTAAGTAGCTGCATTACCTCCAGCAGAGGACCATATGATATGCGTCTTGGGGCTTGGGGAGTAATTCTTCATGCGAGTATGATAGCCGAATTGCTGAGGATGAGTGCATGAGTAACGAATTACAACATCACAGCATCTGGAGTTTCGGACAAAATTGGAACCTGTTAGTCACCCGTGACTCTAAGTTGCCCTTGGGATGATAAAGTGACGCAGCCCAGCCCTGGGCTGTGATATAGCTCTACATACTCACATCCGGTGGCCTAGCGCGCAAATCAAGCCATGAAACAGCCTCAGAAGAGAGGGTAATAATCGTGTAAGTAACGTCTAGAGATACCGTGCTTTTAAGAGACTAAGCTCGGAAGCGGTAATCATCGGTCCGGAAATAGGGTACCCCTGATAATCAGGCTCTCGTCTCTCTCGCTCAGCCATCGGCATCGCTCTCCATGTTCCACCCCCGCAAGTGGCCTCTTCCTTCTTGTAGATGAGCGTTGTGGAGTTTTGGAGAACTAGTGTAGCCCCTTCACGTCTAGCCCCTTCACGTCTAGCCCCTTCACGTCTGGCCTCATGGTTCCCCATCTACCTTCGCACAGCTAGGTCAGATACACGTGGTACCTTTGTACTATATATACTCACAATTTTCTCGCAGGGAAAGAGGATGGGAGTGGCAACTCTTCTCATCTACAGTCGAATGCATCCCTCGGAGAAAGAGCGAGGGACGGTGTGGTAGATATGGCGTGGTAGATATGGCGTGGAAGTAAGGAGCGAGAAGCCAGAGAGCGATGGCTAGAAAAGCAAATAGCTATTACTCTCCTCAACACGTCAAAGTCTCTCATGGTGACTCCAGCTGAACACTCACTGTAACCTCGGGCGCTGGAAGCATGCATATGAAGATACAATACTTTGGGGAAGATCCGACACCTGCTGTCGGTTCTTCCCAGAAGTTCAACCTGTGGTCACCTGCAAACTCGGGAAACTGTTCATAAGAGAAGGCACTGCAGAAGACACTTGGGAGTATTAATTCCGGGGACTGTGCTGAAGGGATAGCAATGGGCAATGCTGACTACTATGCTGGGCAAAAGGCTAGATAGAGTAGAAAGGTAGTTGAAGGCATCATAGGGCACTTGAGCAAGCCGGGGATACAGTACAAGGAGAAGGGAACATGGTATGGAGGTAGAACTCAAGCTAGCATTAGCCGCTCACGTTGACCTACCCTGCGCTAAAATCGTCACAGGGAAGCCTGGTGTAGCCAACAAGCTCCTCAAAGTCTTTACTGAGACTGATGCTGCACTTGCCACTGTCTAATGGGATGGACTTTTTATGCATACACAACCAATCTGTTCACCAATCACCCCCGCTCCGAGTCTACTGAGATAAAGAAACACGACGAAAGATTAAAGCTCCCGCGGACTCGGGGACCACAACCCAGGCGAAGAGTCGCCAGCAGCCCTCAGATGAAAGTGTAACTCTGACCTGCTAGAATTGAGAGCCCGAGTCTGCGTCCTAGAGATGTCAATCGATGGACTTGATTGTCCCTTCGCCGCCGTCATATCCAGTCTTGTGCAGAGGGAAATCCCTAGGATATACTGCGTCGCTGTCATACTCAGCTATGTGCTCCTTTTGGTTCCTGTGGTGACATAGACAGTATTTGAATTTCACGCCGACAGCGCGGAATTTGCGTCGCATATCCTCCAAGAGAGCCGCGGTGTAGAAATACTCTGTGACATTGTAGATACAGATGCACCGAAGTTGAGGGTAGAGACCCGGGATTTTGAGAAACGACCTATACTCTTCTTGGAGTCGAAAACCGAAGTAACAGAGCTTCAACGTTGACACCGGCGGTGGTAACATTCTAGTTAGCTCCGCGAGACTCCATTGAGTAGAGTCAGGGATCTTGTCTGCACCGAAGACGAGGCGCGCGTCGATGTCGAGGAGGGACAGCTGGGACAGCTTTGAGAGGCTGTTCCAGCTCTTTGTGCCAGGGAACGGAGTGTATCGACTGTATGTGTTAACGATGTCATTGACTGTGTAGTAAAGGTATAGCTTCCGGAGGGCAGGGACATGCTCCAATATGGGGCCAATGACATCCTCAGATTCGATCCAGCCAATGTCATCCGACATACTACGGCCATCGGCATAATCGCCAGTGCGGTGTGTCAACGTTGTCAGACACTTGCAGGACTGCAGCAGCATGACAAATGTCTCGGGGTGGATACGGCACCACTGTAGATGCAGCGCCGTGAGTGCAAAGTCCTGAATCATATATATTTCGCGGATGGTGAATCGTACCGCCGAGAAAGTGGTGAGTGTGGGAAGTTGCAGCCATGGCGAAACATATGCCGATTCGAACGTGCCAAACATGTCCTCGAACCGTAGGTCTCTGGCGTTGCCGAGCATGGATACGACTGTCGGGTGTAGGCGGATACTATCTCCCTTGTAGAGGGCGGCGTCGTATAGGAACCTTGGCAATTCATCACTTATTGAGAGGCGGATGACTCTCATATTCGGCAGAATTTAAAGCAGAGTGCTGGTGAATCCATCCAGGATGTTCGATGCCGCTAGACGATCACAAGCCTTCCATATGTCATGGGTAGGATCTCAGACCTCGTCGTCTGACATGGGTAAATCTAGCGCGCGGATGTGCCCACATCAGCTCGACCTCCATAGCCGCACCTGGTACCGACACATCGCCGTGGTAGCGTGGCAATGCGAGAAGTACGTCGAGAACCCTGACATACTTGGCCAGCGTTCAATTCTCGAGGATTGATCGTAAGAATCGATAAACCGCCCAAAAGAACACCTTTATGCCGCGGTGCACCGAGAAAGACTTATATGGAATTGGAGTAGCCTCTTTACGGAAGACGCTCGAGACGAGTATCACATTCCGCAATGTAATGGTGTCGCCGGCGAAGCATTTGAAGATCATGCTCAAAATCTCATTAGGAAGCAGCGAGCTGGCAACAGAGTTCCTGCTGCTATCCTCGTCACTGGGCGACTGCGGATCAGCGGGCTGGTCGGCCATGTCTGCTTGTAGTGGCGTGGGTGTGTCGTTAGGCTACTCTGGCTACACTGTAGCCAGAAACATCCGCTGATCGTCGTCCGATGGGAGGTGAAGAGAGGAAATGAGGCGGGCGTGGTGTTGAAGAACGAAGCTCGAAACGACGTCCGCAGTGAGGCCTCTATCGAAGCTGCGGCTTGACTAGAGATAGAGAGAGTATAGGGCGAAAAATGGTGAGAGTGGCACAGCTGTCTCGAGAGATGGTGGCGAGGAAAGGCGGGAGGGAGGTGGTGAGTGAGGCGGCTGCGTGGTGACCTCAAGCTTGGCAGCAGATCAGCAAACTTGAGCCCCAGACACTCCAACCACGCTCTATGATATGTTCAATAGCTTCGAATGGGCTAGGCTACATGGTCTCGGGTGCAAGGGGAGTCGTGTTGTCTTTCTCCTAGCCTTCAGGACTTCAAGTACACATACCAAATTCCGCCTACAGGCGTGAGGTCTCTATTTGACTATGTCGATCGTTAACCGTAAACATCGTGGTTCCGGCTTGAAGGCATTCTCGAGGGATGCCTGATGACCCAGGATTTGCATTCGGGAAGCGATTCCTGGATTTTCTGTTTCAACACCCCAATGTGCACCCTACCCGGCCCGCTCTAGGCACGTGATCTGACGCCACTGTGGCTGAGTTCGGCTCAGACCCGGCTCAGCTTCGGCTCGGTTCTCCTCAGGTCTGCTCACCCTTGCTCACCTATCACCCTTCCCCACCGGCTACAGCACAGTCTCAGATGTACCTCACTAGAAACTGTCAAGTTTTAGCGAGGGACCTCAAATCTGTCCCCGGGTCACAAATCAGGGACCCACACCGTTTTATAAGTCTCACAAGCTCAAGCTACTTTCCAGGGAACATTCCCCGCCCTTATGTTAAGAACTGCCCGTTCTACCTATAGATTACGCTGAAGGACAACGAGAGGTTAGTCCGAATCGATAGGTATCTTACTTGCCTACAGGTGGACTACGTCAAGGGCTAACACGTGACGTGAGGATCGAGGCGACTGAGTAAGACGTTGGAAGGGAGCTTAGGCTTCAGTAGTATTGGAGGTGTGTAAAGTAATCAAGAAACTTGTATTGAGAGTTGCCCCACTCAGCGATCCAACCGAGCCTTCACAAAGGAGTACTCGCATGAATCTGAGCGGTTTTCACACACACACCGCGTCAACAGCTCAGCCCCTTAGCTTTGCAGGGAGGCAAGTCGGCTCATCCGTAACAGCCTCCCAGCCATCCGTCAAGCCAGCGCCCCAGCTCCGTCATGTCCGCCACAAGCACGGCTGTTGGGGGCTTCCATAGCTTTCTTCATGGTTTCTGCCCTATGGCGTAGGCCAGTGGAAGCCCAGCTACAACAGGAAGCCTTGGATCGAGACAGCCCTTTACCTCAAACGGTGCCTGCCTCGGCTTGTATCTTCAGCGTTGGTGGTTGGTCCCCGGGTCCCGAGACATGCCCCAGTATCAAGCATCCTTCATCCCTTGTACAATAGGATTCCTCCAGCCACGGCAGCTGAGTGAAGCAAGAACTAGGGGTGGCATAAGATTGCTAATGGATCTAGCTCTAGTAAGGACCCGCTGCGGCACAGTCTTAGACATACCTCACCAGAGACTGTTAAGTATTAGCAAGGGGACTCAGATTTGTCCCGGGAGAGGGAGGGGTTGGGAGGAGTTTTTAGGGGGTAAAAAAAGGGGAGGAAGGAGGCATGGTTTGGTGGCTTTCTTCATGGCTGTATTTATTACCTTCACTTCTCTCACATATGCATTAACGAAATCTATCTTTCGGCAGAGGTAGTAGCAAGACCTAAGAACCTAATTTATGCACATCCGCAGCCCTGCCTAATTCCTTCTACCACAAGCGAAATCTTCGTTGCACCAACCCTTCATCGCAAGCAAGTTTCCCGACTCTGGCTCAGGCTTGCTATTCCTGTCACCTGATTCCGCAAGGACCTCGCGCTGTCGAAGTCGAAGTCGATGTCGATTTGAGACGGTTCGATTCCGTCCACCAGGTTCGCGCTTACCATCCCCTTCATGTCGTCAACCCGAGTCTTTCGGCCGCCAATTACCCAGCCACTTTGAAGCGCTCGTATTCTCAAGGTCTTCCGCGACGCTGTGCAGGCGAGTTTTAAGCCGCTCCGGCTGCGGCAACTTACTATCAGATAAATTTGATCTCGGCCGCACCTCTTCATAGCGACGAAACGTGTCAGCGAGCCTATCGACGCTATCAGGGAGCCGCACGAGCGCCAGCGCCTTATGCCACAGCGCGAGCGCCGCCAAGTTCGGTTCGTCCTGGGCGACCTGATCAATGTCGAGTACCGACAGCGCGACGAGCATCCGCAGTGCGTATTTGGCAACTTTCTCTTTGTCGGTCGTTTCATGCGCAATAAATTTGTACGATGCGCGCGCGACCTCGATGGGCAGTGAGGCTTTGACGCTGCCGCCGTAAAAGCCTTGCACTTCTGGTGGCAATGGAATGCGGCTGCTGGGTTTCAACCCTTCGAGCCAGGCGTCGACGATTTTGCTTGACATCTGGCCGCCAAAGTGGTCGTCGGCAATGATCGCACGCAGCATGCCGATGTGCTGGTCGTAGCTTTGTTGCTGTAAGCTGTGTTCCGGCATTTTCAGCGAACTTAGGTAGATGTAGGCTAAAGTAGGCTTGTATTGTATTGGGTAAAGAAGCTACAAAAGTAGTAGTATGGACTGCCAGAACAAACTGTAGATGGCAGGGTATCGGGATAAAAGATCGTTAACAAGTGGCAGGAATAGAAAGGTAACGGCGATACGCAGGTTGAGGGCAACCTCGAAGTTAAATAACTTCACGACTGAAAGTTTGGGCAAAAAGGAAGAAGATATCAGAGCAGTAATCAGCCGCACATGAACTGTCAATGCGGGGCTCGAACATAGAGTGGAGGTAGCGATGTATCTGTACGAAGAACGGGGAGCCTGGAGGACTCCGCTAAGAAGATTTCTTGGTCGAAGATTACGGACGCTAGTCTTAACCGGGGATGCGCACAGCCACAGCTCCAGCTCAGGCCGGAGCATGAGCAACCCCTTAAGCGGTAAAGGAAATTGCTTGGGCACACATTGAGATGTTGTACTCATTTCTATCAAATTTCTTCTCTCATATCAGCCACAGCACTGGTACAGAACGTCTGGGACTTATTCAACAACGCTTCCAAGGATAGATATTCTCCGTGCTACAGTTTTATTGGCGGCCTAAGGTCCCACGTTCCTTAGGGTTCAGCCTTCCGATTTATGTCACGTAACACCCCACATCCTAGAGGTAGTCTACAGACAGTTACATTCCTAAGACAGCATGTTCCTAAGACAGCACATTCTTAAGAAGGCATGTTCTTAAGGCAGCCATAGTCTCAGAACAGTAGCATCTTAAGATAAGGATGGTCTCTAGAGAGTCCCGCTCTTAAGATAGACCCGTCTTAAGATAGTTTTATTCGTAAGATAGACATGCTCACAAGACAGTGACGTACCAAGATGGTGACATTATTAGGATAATCTTGTTTATAACTCCTTGAGCTACGTCTTGTTCTTCAACCTGCCTGCCCGCTGCTGCGTAGAATACGTAGTAAATACAATTGTCATTCCTGTCTGCCTATCCGAGATAGCTAGGGCCTTCCTGCCGACTAAGAACCACGACAAGGGGGCTCTCTCTCAGTATATAGTCGCCTCTATTCCATAGTTAAATTAATAGATAACTCCCCCTTTCATGAGATTATACACTAAACTAATAGAATCTATCAGCTATTCATAGGCTTACCCTTGTATGGATAATAAAGTAGCGCAGATCAGCCTTAGGCAGTTTTTCATCCGTAGGTAAGAGTACTCAATAATTAGGGCCCTAAAACTGGAACCTGGCAGGTCTAAGGGCCCGGAAATGGGCCTTCCGAGGCAGGGTGAGGACCCCAGTCTCAACCCTCCCTGTCGAATACAGGGCCCAAAACTGGGCCCCAGCGAGCTGCTCAGTCCCGGCTCAGATGCGCTCGGTCTCGGCTCAGATGCGCTCACCTAGCACAGCCACAGCTCAGGCTGGAGCATGAGCAGCTCAGGTTCCTGAACGGGAAAGGAAATTGCTTGGGTGCACATTGGGATATCGTACCAGCTGTTGCACGACAGAGCATTAGCATGACCTTGACGGATATACATCTTGTCTTTGTACGGAGAGCTAGCTTGAACCTGTTGATAATTACGAGCGGCTCTTCCTGTACATATACAGCGCTCCCAATATCAATACCATAACGCTATGCATCTCATCAATTTTCCTGCTGCCGTCTCCAATGACGTTGATGCTTCTAATCCAGCCGCTGACTCTTGTTGGAGCCTACACCTTCATCATCCTCGCCAGCGATCTGCGAGTTCATGGCACTGGCAGGTCGAGCTTGCTTCCAATGGTCCGGAATAGGATTCAGCTGCTCGAGCGCACGTCGGAGCTTCGTCTGACGATAGCCCTGGCAGTGGTCAAATAGGTTGAGAGTCAAATGGTTGCATTGCTGGACCTGGCGAATAGTGTCGTGGCTTGCGATCCAAGACATGTAGTGTCGTCCATCCTCAACGCTGTACCAGTGGACGTGCCAGATGACGTCTCGATGAGTTGCGTAGGCCGAAAGAGCGATTGTATCCACAATCGACGGTTCTTCGGATGGATAAGCCTCCCGAAAGTCCCAGCGTGCAGCGTTGACACAACATGCGCCACTCCCTGCAGTTTGGTTCTCGCCTTGCCAAAGCGTCCCCCCCATAGCCTCGGACTTCATCTCTAGCACGAAGTAAGGGAGACAATTCCCTTTGCCTGGTTGTGTAAGCCGTCTTGCCGCTGGATGATCGATGACTGTGTTTTCCTTGACCGTCCAAGTCGAGCTCTGACCCGTTGGATAGCCGCAGTGGGCATCTGCCTTCGCTGTTGCTAGGGGTATTCATAATCGCCGTTTCTTAGCAAACCATCGTGAGTCCAGGGCGTATTGCCGCCACGTCCGACGTCAGAACGTTTGGTGGGGAGCGTCGCCGTATTGATAAGGTCGTAAACATTACCTTCTGGGCTGTCTGCGACGTCGACGGTAGTCTGCACTGCGTCGGCAATTGCTTCAGGAGACAAGTTTGTGGATCGCTCTTGGAGAATATACGAGTCGAGGAAGCTGCGCAGCTCTGGGGGAATCTTCTCGCCCGTGCGGTCGAAAAGGACGCCATTGTTGCGTAGTGTCTTGCGGTAGTCGATGTGAGACGTGGCCGCGAGCTTCGACCGGACGCGACCGAGGCTCCCCCAAAACTCTGTCTCTGTGCTTGCGACATCCGTTGGAGTGTTTCGAGCAAGGGCCCCTGCTCTTCACCTCCTCCGTCTTGTTCGGCTTGTCCACCTGGATCGAATATTGCGTGCGGGTGCTGCATTCTAGTTGTGGGGGGCAGCTGCTCGCGCGATGGGGAGGGATTTCGGCAAGCCAGTCGTCAATGCGATCGCACGCGGGATTGACCCACTCGCGAGAAGAATTCGGCGGCCGAGGGTGGTCTAGTGGTATTGGAGAAACGGTCTGGAGGACGCTTAGTCGAGAGGCTTTGTCGAGGGAATAGTTAGGAGTCCGAGGGTTTGCTAGTATGTGCTGACGCTTGGTCGGTCGGAGAGATGCAAAGTCGCTCTGTCGGCCAGGCTTGGTTTTCGTTCCAGTAGTCAACCCGAGCCTCTTTACGAAGTAAGTGTCTTCCACCTGACTGGTTTGCTGGTTACAGGTACACATATTTGTACTCGTTTTGCAAACAGCTCGAGCGAAGAGTGGGCGGAGGAGACTTCGTCTTCATCTCGAGGTCGCTTTGGATAGGATCGGCACCTTGGAGACGTAGGCTTCTGCGTCTTTGTTGTGACGTTGTAGCAGGTACAGTATGACAAAAGGTATGACGATGTACCTTTCTTTACCTGGTGCCCGACCTTCGGCTTTTTCAATATAGGTTGCAAAGTATCGGTTAGCTCTGCGCGTTGACGTTTGCGCGTATATGAGGCTTGAGGTTTGGGCATGTGAGGGTGTGTGATGTTCGAGGGTGTGGGGTGTGACGGTCGATGTTCGAGGGTGCAGGGCGAGGGTGTGGTTGAGGGCGTCCGAGGATCAGCCGGCTCACCACCACGAGATTGCATCACCGTCGTGATTTCGTCTCGCATTAAGCCTCAACGCCAGGCGAGCTGTTATAGTGCATTAGGGGTCGCTACCTAAGACTAGATAGCTTCATCGAAGGATCAAGGAAGGAGCGCGGAGCGGCAACCAGCGCAAACCGACAACGTTCCACGCCAAGCCTGGGTCAGAAAGTGCAGCCACTACACCTCAACCGTTAGAGTGCGGCAAAGCAAAATCCTACTCGGGCCCCGTTGGGGTTTTTCACAATGATCGAAGATTAACCCGTACTATGTACGGGCCTACACCCTTAACTAAACTCCATGTCAATGTCCGCACAGCAGTTCTCCCCTTCAATTTTGTAGAGTAGTGCACCTGCAGTGATCCAACAGTTCTCCCTAGAAAAGAGGCCTTGATCCGTTCCCATGGTAGATTTTGTACCCCCTTTACTTGATAAGCAGTGCGTCTTCCTTTCCGGTGAACTTGGACTTAGGCCTTAGCTTTTGAGACTGCTCGACAGGCTCTATACATAAAGAGGATTGAGGGTGAAGGCAGTCCAGGGGAAACTCTATACCGCCACGACCCCCTCCACAAAGCCAATCAACCCTCGCAGGCTGACCTGGGCCAAAAGCAGGCCCCCGAGACCTAGGCACGGCACTGCACTTATCAATATCACCTAGAGAAGTCTGCGAGTAAGTTTGTGTGCCCTCGTAGCAATGTAGAGTCTGCTGGATTATGACGATCACCTACAGCAATCACTGCCGGTAGCAAACGGGGCGCTTTCATATACATAATGTCGCGTTCTGTCAAGATTCAGATGCTACGGCCTGCAAACCAACAGTCATTGAAGCTTGCTGCCGCCACGTGACTTCCTCTCAAAACAGAACTTAGCGAGAGAAGGTGAGTTAACTTATATTAACCCACGTAATTCAATCTCCGCCCGTTGCATTTCCCGTGCAAACGCAGGACATCCATCCCTTTCCTGCTTAGCCAAAGCTCGCTCTATTCCTCTCCTCTTCTTTCGATTTGCCGAGGTGGCGCCCAGTACAGTTCGTGGCTCCATAATCTCTGCCCGCTCGAAATCAATCACCATAACCCGACCTGTCTCCTCATTCCACAGTACGTTGCGAGGCATGAGATCCTTATGCAAGACCCCTAGGTCATGGATTGCTCGGGCTGCGTAGCTCAACTGCTGACTGACGCATTGCTTATTCTTAGCGGTAAGGTGCCGAGAAATAAGCTTTCCCCCAAAACTAAGAAACATCATGTGAACAAGCTCTGTTATCCCTTCATAGAAATATGGAGTGTCCAGGTCAATGTTACCCAAATGGACCGGCACATATTCCCTGGATTCGACGGAGGTGCTCGTAGATGGTAGCCTCTCGTTTCAGACGACGAAAGAAGTCGATAGGGGTGCATTTCGCGGCTATGATATATCCGTGTGATTTCAGCCTAACCTAGAATAGGACACCGCATGCTCCAGGAACACCTACAGGCTTGCAGTCGGTATCCATGTCTTCTGAGAGTTGTCGGCGAATAAGATCAAGGAAGGCAGGTCGGTCAATCCGATAGCGGTTCTCCCCATGATCCCGCACATTCGGACACGACGCGTCGAGAGAACCCCCTTTGACTAACCCAAGCAGGCATTTTTGGGTGCAATACTGTCCACCTTCTGCTCTTCGGTGGGAAGTACGACCGGACGACGAGCTGCCCGTAGTTGCCTGGGAACGAGACGGGCGCTGGGGTAAGGATCGCGGTCGGCTCGGGGTGTCCGGATCAGGTTCCTCGTCACTGGGTCCATGCTGATCCTGTGGTCGACTGGAGTGGGGGGAGCCAGTTTGAGCTGGTCTTTGTCGGAGTTTGATAGGTGACATATGAATGAATCCGTTATTCCGAGGTGGCCGGTACTCTGATAACGGCGTGTCCTGCAGAGAAACGGTATTCAACAAGTCGATATATATAACCTCCCAGCTCTGCAGTTGAGCGGCGGCGTTGGTGATCCACTTCTAGCTCCGAGGCGTCGTCTGCAGCGCCTGAAGCGTGAAAGCCAGCATCTGCCCAACGGCTGTTAGATGCAGGCAATTTGCCCTGTCCGTACTTAGTGCCCATCCTGTGTTTTCCCCAACGCCACCCTTGGGGACGGATAGGAAGTAGTGGACCGTCCTAGGATCGTCGGGCACCCCCGAGGGCGCACGTAATCAGGGGTCACCTGATCTATGGCACGTGATTGTGCTTGTGCCAGGGGGACGTAACAAAAAGGCTTATAAATTCTATCTAGCTAAGAGCAATCTCTTCCTAGAGTTCCTATACCGTATTTTTACCCTTATTAGCTACGCTAACCACGACGGGGCTATGCTCTTGGCATAGCGGGAAAAGGTCCCCGTAAAACGGCGTCACAAACGTCCATTTTCGGAGGGGTATTAACTAGAAAACTGCGTTTATGTGTAGTTAAACACAACTGCAAAGTCGCAACATCGGGAGTAACTGCTAGAAGGAAAACTCGTAAGCCTGGAGAAATGTACAACGGAGGTTACAGGTAGACTCGTTGTGAGGCTCTGCCAACTGTAAGTGGAAGGCGCCTCATGGATAGCGAACGACCTTCACCATCTCCACGCAAGAGGCTTGACGGCTCTCCCTCTGAAACACCAACCCCACTTCTACTGCCGTCGTCAATTCTCAGGTTTTATGTCCTGAGATAGCCTGGAAGTCATCGGAAAGAGTGCTCCGCGGCAGCATATGCCCGAATCTACTCAAGAGCTGGCTCATCCCGGACGATCAGGCACACCTCCACCGCCCTATACGACTCCCACCAACCCTCGCCGATCACCCCAAGGCCCTCCAAACTATACGCCCCGAGTATCTCTCTCCGTCCCGAGCCCTTCTCCTCAAGAATCCGATGCTTCTACTTTAGCAGACTCCCCCGATCCTCCCAGGCGAGCAGTCTCAGCCCTGCATCCGCAACTCGCTGTCATTCTGAACGTGCCAAAGCGCTGGCATATCTGGCTTCAAGCGCTCCGATGGCTTTCCATAGGTCCTGCTGTGTTCTGGGATTTCTATTGCGCCTGGGCTCTTCTGAAGGGGATGAAAACCCACTATGCCAATGGAAGGCCCATCTCAAGCTGGGGATTTGAAGAGAGGATGTGGTTCACTGAGATCACTCTTGCAATGCTTTGGGTAAGCTTGTGGACTCCTGCTGTTATGGATATACGCTGACTTTGTATGTCAGTGCTCATCATCTGCATATATCAGTTTCTTCTTCATTGATTGTCTTATGAGCCGTTGGTAGGTCCTCCATCTCTAACATCAAGCATTCCACATGTCGAATCACCCCTGTTAGCTCTCCGGCACCTTCTCATTCATTGCTAATAGAGTCTCAGGCTCCTACACTATCCAATCGGGTCCGCACTCTTCCGACTTGCCACCATGGACCTCTTGAACATGTTTCTCACACACCAGTTCATCGAGCTATGTGGAGCAAGGACGAATTCCCCTCGTCTCTTTGTAGCTTGGATCTGCATTGCCAGTGTAAGATACATTTGCGTTCTTTTTTCTAAGCGTTACGTTCCGCGATTTGTTTCCCTTTAGGTCACTCACGAGGTGCTTCAGGCCATACCCTGTGTGCTCTATGCCGGTTTCTTCTCCGTCTGCTACTCCGTCAACCAGATCTGCCGCGCGCTTGTGAGCCCTCGCCTGGAAACTTTCCTCCCTTCCCTTCTAGCAGCGATCACCATGTAAATGTTTCTTCGAACTTCAATTGGCCCACTAGACGTATCTTTTTATGAGATCGCTCCAGCAACATCAGCTTACCTTTGGTTCACTCATAGACACTCACACTTCTCTACCACATCACCCACCGCCGCACCAACATCAAACGCGAGACAACCGCAGCCGTTCGCGTCTTCTCACCCCTCGCTTTCCTCAGTTTGTGCCTTATCCTGCTGCAGTATCACTGGCCGACAGCCAGCAATACGATTGCAGGGAGTCCAGACGCTGTTCCCTTCTTTGTGAGTATCAGGCGCGTGGGTCAATGGATTGGGGATATGACGCGGGAGTTATGATATCCACAGGCAAATTCATCGCTGTACTTTACGTGTCACTGGGTGGTGGTTATGATATCCCTGGCGCGGAGTTTATGGTGAAGAGCGGGTGGGGTTCATTTGAGTCGCCTTTTCCAGGTCTCGCTTTCAATATTGCAAACGTTAATTTATCTCTGCCTCATTGACCTGGTATGAAGTACGTGAACCGCCTTTCGTCTGATCGGCACGATGATATGAGTCGGGACTGGAGGCACGTTTGATTAACTATACGACTCTGCGAAAAGCGGACTACGTTTTAGGTCTCTAGTTCACGCTTTGCTCTCACTCAACATCTTGCGCAGTTTGCTAAGCTGGATATCAAATCTACTAGTTGATACTGCTGATAGCACCATTTAGACTCCTCTCGCATTGAAGGAACTGCATCGATCTCCACATGAACATGCGATCTATCAATTTTCTCGCACTCTCCCATTCCGAATTCTTCAGAACGCTCTAAGACACGTGAGGTTCCCCCATCACTACCAGATCCCTATCGCTCAATCCCACCCCGCCACCTTCACCGCCTCATGGCTCCCTCTCTCATACTCCACGCCGCAGAACAAAATCACCCCTTCTCCAAACTATATACGAGGAAGATGGATGTAAGACTCTGGTCGTTCTTCTTGGCGTTGTCCTCCACTCGGCTTATATTCGCCTTACGATTCGCGACTTCACCAGCAGGGAGCATTATATCGTGGGTGACATGCAACTAGGCGCCTTCTGAGCCGCATTGAATCCTGCGGGGAAGTAGTGGCTAGGGGATAATCCCACACACCCGTCGCCGAGCAGTAAGTATTGAAGATATGCCGGCGCTCAAAATCCCAAACAGGATTAGATGGAAACTAGCGTGTTTGAAACAAGTGGAAGCTAGCAGTGTAGTACTTATGTTATATTGAACTTAATAATACGAGCTGAAAGGGTATTTCGAGAAGAAGATGACAGAAAACGAGCCAAACGCCATATCATTCATCCTCACGCAAACTAGAAAGTACAGGAGAACCACGCCAGATGCAAGAGCGCTAGCTTTCAGATCTCTCTTTGAGTGCGAGAGAGCAGAACAACCCCGTGGGTCTTGTACAACCTGAGGAGGAACTCGAATACCAAGGGAACCGCTAATTTAGAATGCTTCAGATAACAGTTGAGGCAAAGGACTTGCGCCAAGTGGCGAGGGATTAGAAAGGGTGGGAGCCTCCCAGCCAGAATCGACCAACACCAGCAATGGGGAACTCCAAAGCAGAAAACACCGCCCCTTATCACAGTCCCCAATTTGTAGTCTCCCAGACCCTGTGTTCGGTACTTATTTGCCGAGCGTGGCGGTCGTGCGATCACCCGAGGCTGGAGTGCGCACACCAAAGCAGAAGAAAGTCGGAGTAGATTGCAATCCCGAGGAGTCTACCATGCGTGACGGTCCCAGTTTGGATCTAGGAAGGTAAAGTATCAGGTTAGCTTCGATGTATTAACACAACGCAACGCGCGCACTCACCCTGCACGAAGGCGGCCAGCACTTTCGATCCCGTTTGCAGGAGAGGATGGCCAACGACTATCTGGAGAAAGCGTTGCAAGCCCTCGCGGCGGTGCTCGATCACATCGTCTGAGAAGCGGCTTGTGATGACCTTGCCCGGTAGGGGAGGGATGGTGACGCGGGCGGATTCGCGCTCGAGGATGTCGCGGAAGGCTTCGAACTCGCTGTAGCGGCGGCGCACCGAGGACGACTTGAGCTTGAAGGCGGGGATGTTTGTGCTCATCCGGATCTCGTATGTGGTATACATGCCGCGGCCCATGCCGTGGGTCATCGGGTTGCAGACCTGGGGACAAGTTTGTTAGAGACAGTGGGGGGACGTCGGCGTCGCGGGCGGCACTCACTTCGATCTCGAGGAAGTTCTCGGGAGGGCCATAGAGCTCCTCGAACGACTGCGTTCGGGCGTCAGGGAGAGACTGCATGGCGAAGGGCTGCGACTCTCAGAAGCCTCGTAGCAGGAGTGTTGTGGTGGTGAGGGCACTTCTTTCGGCGATGAGGTCCTTAACAATCCTCGCCCCGCGCGCTTTGGCCAGCGGGGTTCATCTCCGCCATTCATCTGCCTCGTTTGCTCATCGTACATACATTCACCCCACAAATCCGCAAATTGTTAGGGTCGATTCTCAGGCTCCCTCTATAGTTGCAATTGAGATCCGGTAAGCTTCCAAGTTCCTTTTCTCTATGTAGGCCTGCCGTTCTACTCAACCAACCCCTTTTTCCTGAGGTTCAACTGTGAACTCCAGTCTATATCAGAGACTTTGAGGTGTAGATGCTCCTTCGATGCAAGTCATTTTTACATCCAACCCAATTCTATCCCTTCTCATGAACTTTTACACGAGAAGATGCCACTTTGCGACATGTTTCGTATAGTCGGATAAATTGGATTTCATTTCACTCATATACATTTTGGTGTCTATTCTGACGCCTCGTAGTATTAGATTCACGAATCTAGAAAGTCACGCGTCCAAACCGCAAAGACTCCTTCAGAAAAATGGCGTCCAAACTCCCTACTTTCCCTCGCACAGTCTTCACAATCATCGAGCCCCTCTCCACGTAGGCCCCCTTTTCCAAACTGCCCTCAAGACCATTCCTGAACCCCCATCCAGTGCGGCAGGATATCTCGGGCCCCTCCTCGCACCGGCATCCTTCGTCTCCTCCCAAAGCCCCTTTGAGCCGCCTCACCCGCTCTACCTCACTGAACACGTGCTCGCCCTGCAGCTGGGGAACTGCTACGGTCTACTGGCCTTGCTTGGTCTTTTCATCCTCAACACGACAGATGAGCTCAAAACAGTACGGGCCTATCTGCTCGCACTCTGGATCGCGGATATCGGTCACATTGTCGTGACGCTGTGGGGACTCGGGGCGGATGGGTGGAGCGTGAGTAGCTGGAACGGAATGGCGTGGGGAAATGTGGGGTTTACAGCTCTTCTGTTTGCGGTGAGGAGCATCTACTTCCTTGGATTGTTTGGGGGGGACGACGACGACGACGACGAGAAGGCAGAGAAGGTGAAGAAGGTGTGATGTGTTTCGGGATGTAGAAATTGCGTGGAGGGGAGCGCACCGGCAAAAGTTCACTTAAGATTGTCATTGAACCGAATGCACATGAAGTAAATGTATAAGACAAGGAGCCTACTACTTACACATCCGCAGCTATGTACAGGGGCGTAATTGAATATTGTTTAACTGCCATTCGAGAAATATGGTGAAGAGTAGGCGCTGCTCGAAGTCCGTGAACGGCAGGTAGCAGGGGTATTTTAGCGAGTGGCCCGTGCTGCCTGCCCACAATCGACTTCTCGTCGCCACATCTTCAAGACCTCCTCTGCTTCCGCTCCTTTCGAGAACGTCAACGTCGACATCGCCATCCATCCAAGGACCACGACAATCCTCTACATCACTGCAACACCGTCATCATGGTGAGTTTCCCTCGCCGCCAACCAGTCGATACTCCGCTCCCTAGGCTGCCACACGACCGGCGGTCTGCATCGTCAATTCGAAGCCCTCTCTGACCTCGATGTCCTTAGGTTCTCGCACAAGATCTCCTCAACCCAACTCCCCAGGCAGAAGCCCGCAAGCACAAGCTCAAGGTCCGTGTTCTCGACCCCCGAGGCTGGGATGGATGGATATTGACAAATGACGGCAGACCCTCGTGCCCGCGCCCCGAAGCTTCTTCATGGTATGGCGCATACCTGTTCACCGCGATGGGCTCCTCTGATGAAAATTACAGGATGTGAAGTGCCCTGGCTGCTTCACCATCACAACCGTCTTCTCACATGCCAACACGTACGAACCACCCCCCTTGTCCATTACCTACACTAGCTAACATTGACAACAGCGTTGTTACGTGCCAAGGATGTGAGATTGCCCCACCGCTGCTCCCAACGAAACCGCGAACTGACCAAATGTGATAATCCAGGCTCGCAAGTTCTGTGCCAGCCGACCGGTGGCAAGGCCAGGTTGACCGAGGGCTGCTCTTTCCGGAGGAAGTAGAGGATCTGCGGGTGCGAGCGATGGCGATACATGGGATGGCTCACGACGACGATGTATTCGAGACGATGCGGTAGATCTCACGGGTTTCACTCGAATCGACTAGCGGGATAGAAGAGGGATCTTCGTTCGAATCAAGCCAAAAATTCAAAACGGGAGTTCCGGATATCTAGCGTTGATCCACCACCCTTACCTCTCTTTCCTGTTGGCTGGAATACTTCATATTGGCTTCTTTCACTACCTCTGTGTACTTACATGCATGTGGGAGGAGAGATGGCATTTCACGAGCTCTGGGCATCGTCCTCGGGGTGAGGACCGGTTTGCGAGCATCGAGGATACCTCCACATGCTAGCGGTCTTTCTATAAAGCTCAAAATCGGCTCTTTATCACCATGCTACCCCTCACATATATCGCTAGTGACACCACACGCAACGTCGAAACTCCCAAGCGACAACACTCCTTGATAGCACGCAACCCCTCCATAAACATGACCATTTATCTTGAAAGCATTTGAATACATCGAACAATTCTGAATCTAGGGAGCCAATCAAACAGACATCCAACCAGAGCTGCATCTTGTTCGCATAATTTGGCAGTGCACCAAGCCAATAGCAATCTGACTTCTGAGATGATCCATGTCAATCCAGACGCAACTGTCCACCTGCCTTTAGGAGGCACAAGACCACAGAAATGGCGGCTCCGGCCGTCGAATAGCTTTATATCCATTTATGAGAAGCTGATCTCCAATCAATCCAGATTTACTTTCACGCCTACGAGTCAGGCACAATCAGATCAAGCATCATGACGCCCGAGCCCTCAACACCCACCACTGACCTCGGTCTAGCTGCCTCGCAGCTCTCCAAGGGACAACCCCAAACTCCTACCGCAAACTTAGAAGACATGGTGATGACGGACCGGTACACCAATGCCGAATGGGCTGTACAGATTGCAGAGACGCAGAAGAACGTGGTGGCTAAGCTGGAGCCGAGGGCGGTACCAAAATTGAACAGCAGGGAATTTGCGCAGACAATCGACCACACGCTCTTGAAACTGGATGCTACGGCAACGCAGATTGATGCGCTGTGCTCCGAGGCCAGGATTGAAGGCTTCAAGGTTGGTTTCTTTACCTTGGCACTCTCGTATCATCTTGTCCAAAGTCTATGGCTTTCATCTCGCGATATTCTTCTCCTACTTCTCTTCGACCGAGGGTTTGTAAATTCCAAATGCATGATCCCTCCAGGGCATCCCAATATCAAATTTCACATACAACTCGAACTGACATGCCTCCCAACCCCAGAGCGTCTGCGTCCGCCTCCCCTTCGTAGCCCGCTGCGTCTCCAACCTCAAAGGCTCCCCCGTCGTCGTCGCCTGCGTCGTCGGCTTCCACGAAGGCACCCAAGACTCGCACTCCAAGTTCCGCGAAGCGCAAGCCGCCGTCACCGCCGGCGCCAGCGAGCTCGACATTGTCCTCAACCACGCCATCCTGACCAGCGTCTCCCCTCCCCCAGGCAGCCACCAATCCGTCCCCAGCGACGCCACAACCGCAAGCATCACAGCTTCCAACACAGCCTCCAATAGCAGACCCTTCTCCTCCAAGGCTCTAGCAATAGAAGGCCCCTACTCTGACCTCTCCTCGTCCGCTGCCTCCTCGCTACTAGGATCCTCAGCAGCGCCTCCAACCCCGAATTACAGCGCCATCTACACCGAGCTCGCCTCCCTCCGCTCCCTCTGCCCCGCTCCGACTACTCTCAAGCTCATCCTCGAAACCGCCGCCTTAACCCCGTCCCAGATCCTCGCCGCCGCCACCCTCGCCGCGGCCGCAAACTTCGACTTCATCAAGACCTCAACCGGCTTCGCGGGCCGCGGCGCCACCCTCGACGACGTCGTGCTCATGACGGCCGCCGCGAACTACCTCAGCACGCAGCAACCAAGCGGGGGTGGGTCGCCGGTACGCCGCCGGCGGATGCAGGTGAAAGCGAGTGGGGGCGTGCGGAGCTTGGAGGACGCGGTGAGGATGCTGGAGGCGGGCGCGACGCGGCTGGGGACGAGCAGTGGGTTGTGGATTATGCAGGAGGCGCGGCGGGTGGTTAAGGAGAGGGAGTTGAGTCCTGAGGAGAAGGCGAGAGCGGAGAGGCCTGGGGGCGGGGTGACGAGGTTGTATACTGATAATTCGGTGGATGGGTATTAGGGGGGCGCTTGATGGTATGGCGAGTTGGAGGCATGTGTGGGTTTGCTCCCACTGCGGAGAGTGGTTCAGCGCTTTCAGATGTTCCGGGACAGGTCACTATGTCAGACGGCGCCATCTATAATAGGAGTAGGATGATTATATAGGGATGTTTGAACATAGATTGAAGCACGTGGTTGTGGCATTTCGACTTAGCACGGCACACACTGTTAATCGAGGCTCAAGACATGAAAGTGGAGGAATTGTCAACATGCTGGCAGCTAGGTGAACCTATCTCCAAGCACTGCAGCTAAATCCACTGATTATCTTTCCAGCGGGTCATGCAGCCTTACTTTGACACGGAATGACATCTGAAGTTTTGAATTTTGTGAACCGTAGAGACCATGCCCAAGCACGCCAGCTTCATCGTTCATCCCACGACATTGCACCTGTATGGAGCATCTACTCCTCATCCTCCTCGCCTTCATCATCATCCTTCTTCTCCGCTGCCTTGGCCTTCTTCCTCCTGACACGACCGGGGCGTCCACCACCGAACGGCGAGGTGAGCGCGAAGTCGATGTGCTTCTCGGAGTCGAGACGGACGACGAAAGAGGGGACGTTGACGATCTGCTTGCCGACACTGATATAATCCATTAGTACCCTATTGTGGGCCAGCCGCGTTCCGGGGAAAGCACTCACCGGATATGTCTCTGGCGGATGAGGACACGGGCGTGATGGATGCTCTTGGCTAGACCGAGCTTGTAGACGCAGGTCTGGAGACGGCGCTCCAAGAAATCCTCAATCTTCAGAGCCAGCACGTAATCGAGCTTCATGCGGGTCTCGTCGAGCACACCGACGCGGACGAGACGGCGAATGAGCGCATTGCCCTCGAAGAGACGCTTGGGGTCCTTCTCTTCGAGCGTGAGAAGTTGACTGCAAGACGATGTCCGTTAGCGATGGAAGCCCTCAGACTTGTGTTATCTACGACCGCGCAGCCTTGCCATACAGCTCGCAATTTGAAGACGGAGGGAAAGGGAACCGAGATAACATACCGGGCAGCACGACGGATCTTGGACAGCGTCAATTGCACGCGCCACACCTCGCGCTTGTTGCGGAGGCCATATTCGCCGACGAGCTTCAGCTCCGTGTCCCTGTCCAAACCATTAACTTACTGGCACCCCGACATGAGCAGCGGCAAGCGCGTGCTCAGTGGCCTGGGGATTGCACATACAGACGAGCAGACTCAAACGGGCGTCGAGGGACGTGGTAAGTCTTGGAGTACGACCGGGGAGCCATTTTCGCGGGTTGTCGATGTTCGAAGGTTCGAAGATGGAGGTGGAGTCGTGAAATGAAAAGGTCAGTGGGCTTGGCTCGCTTCTGGTGGGTGGTCCGTGCGATGCGCTAGGCCATATTTGGCAGCGCTCATTCAACTTGAACTCGATACTGTGAAATGGACTGGAGGCAGCTGAATTATAGAGCAAGGTTCACTATGAGGAAACTGACGGGGATACGAGAAGCTCACATAGCTTCCTCTCTACTTTATATTCGCAAAGACATGTCACCGGACACCCCTTAGACTAGACTCTATATGCTACGATAATGATATGCATACCAGCTCTGCAACACGACCCATTATACTAGAGTATGTAATAATGATCCTCAAGTCTACTCCATCACAGTCCAATGTTCAATAAATATCCTTAAGCCTGCCCCATTCTGCCTGGACATCCACAACACCATCGTCGCCAACTACCTTCCCGCGATCCCACTCCCTCCCCTCACCCTTCTTAGCCCACACGACGTCTTCCTCTGTCTTTTCCCCGCCGTTCTCCCATTTCTTGACCATCGCGTCCGTGAAACCAGCAGCACGAAGACGGTCTGCACCCTGCTGCTTCCACTTCTGCCGGTCCCTCATGGCCTCCAGCGCCTCGTCCCAATCACCCTCCACGTCGGAGTTGACCTGCACATCGGCAGTAGGGTCATAAGATGCAGAGAAGTGCTCGTCCATAGCCGAAGCAGCCCTGAAGGCGCCACGACCACGCAGTCGAACCTTCGGTGGTGGGGGTGGAGGAGCAGGTCCTACTATTGCCTCCAGGGGGTCGGAGGCTGATGCCACTGAAGGAGATTGGTGTTTTCTGGCTCGATGCTTGCTAGAGTGGGATTTCCGACCAGCATGCTTCGTATGAGGGCTTGCAGAGCGTGTCCGTTCGGAGGGAGTAGGACCTCGTGGCGTCTGACTGGATTTGTGTGATTTTGACCGAGTAGGGTTGTGGCGTCGTTCCGACTTCTTTGGTGACCTCGAACGAGAGGGAGATTGAGGAGAATAAGACCTTCGGTGCCTAAGGTCGCGACGAGAATCTTGCTCATTCCGGGCGCTTCTGTCCTCCGACTCGCTTCTGCTTCGGTGTCTTCGCCTTCGGTCCCGGCTCCGGTCGTGGCGGCGTGAGCGCTTTGAGGACTCTCCCATCTCTTCGTCCTCTTCGCTCGCGGGCGTGTCGCCCTTCTCCCTCTGCCTATCTCCACGCCGAGAGTTGGTGTTCCTCGTTTCCTCATCTTTTGAACTTGCATGCCGCCGGTATCGATCCTCGGACCTGTCTCTTCTGTCCCTAGGTCGACCGGACTCTTCAGATCGTCTCTCTCTGCGATGCTCCTTCTTGTCCTCGCCCTCATCGTCCCGCCTTCTCTTCGAAGGTCGCTGAGATTCCCTGTCGCCCCGGGCACCGCGCAGGTCGCTCACATACGGGGACAACCTCCCCTCCTTCTGGTGGCGCAACGCCTTTAGCCTATTCTTCGCATCTTCTGCTTCTTTCGCCAACAGTGCCGCATTGTGGCTATCCGTCTCACGTATAATGTTCCTTAGAAACCTGGTATTCGGCTTTGGTGCGCCCATCGTAGGTCTACTGCCCTGGTGTGTTAGTAAGACGTCGAGAAGGTCTAGGGAGACAGCACTCACCTCTTAGGCATGTAAGCTTCAAGCCCTACTAACTCGTATTTCTTTGCGCTGGCCGCCGCATCGCTCTTCAGCCGACCAACAACATACTCGTCGTCGAAACCCTCCGCCGGCATTGTAGTGAAGTAGGGTAGGGAGGCGGCGCGGCCACGCTTCCGTGGATCAGTGAATCGTAACCGACTGTAGTGACATTCGTCTTTCTGTCCTTCTTGCCAGTCTCCCTTGAACGTAAAGTGGCAATTTCTGATCACGTACCCGTAGATATTAGATGGTGCTAAGCAAGCGCACAAAAGCCTAGAGGGAGTGTGTTGCTAAAGTGAATCTAATTGTAGAATAAATTCACAGATTTGTGACTGCCACTTTTTGTTCCAGGGCGCCTGCACGAAAGAATACTGCCGGGCGGTGACGATAGGATCCAGCTGTCACCGTCCCTCGTAATCCATTCGTAAGTCAAGAATTTAAAAGCTGGCGTTTGGCTTGCAGTAGCGCGTAGCCGGCGTCGCCGCTTAGCAGGGCCCCCTACAAATCCGACCTGCCGACGTTGAATGTATAATTATGCACACTGCAAAACTATAAAACATTATTTATTTACTTTTTTAAGCTATTAAGCGGTGTGCAGAAAAGGAAGCCCTAGTCTCTCCTATTAATTTACGCCTATTCCGCCCTTAATTGCATTAAAATTGAGCTCTATATAATTTTTTAAAGTTCGGTAATATTTCAAGCACAGCTTTACGAGCAGCATTTGGTAATTTTGGTGTTAGACGCGAGGAACATACGCCATGGAGTAGCTGGCGTAAACCGCGCCGTTAGCAGCAAACTGCGGCGAGCCGCTAGAAATCCGCAGGGAACTATTTCCCTGACGTTGGTAAACGGTGACTATAGCCGCGCTCACTAAAGCAGCAAATAGGAAAATAGTAAAGGCTGTGCATTTATTAACAACGGCGTGTGTAACTACTAAGAATAGGTGCGCATTATTGGTTTCCTTCTAAAATGTGACGCAGTATTTGTAGCGAACATAGTGTATGCGGTTCGCAGGTTATTAAGTAAATGTGGCTAGCTAGGGGTATTCTCAGCCTTATTAATCGACTATCACTCTACAAAGCCACTCGCTGCGATTAAGGGAATTGGCTTCCACTTTTGGAGTTCCAGCCAGGCAGAAATTTTCCAACACTCTTCTGATAGATCTTGTAGTCCGAATACTTTTTGGCCGTTATTCTCTCTGTGAACCATGTGCTCGCCTGAAACAGCACGAGATACCCAATGGCCCCCACGAAAGTCCAGTTTGCGAAGACCTCTGTTTGGAAACAGCCCCACTGGTACAGGGCGACCCAAAAGGCCTGTTCGGCCGCGAAATTCGGGTGTCTTGAATATGCCCATAGCCCAGACGTCACGAATCCGCGATCCAGGGCTTCGCGAGTATAATTCGAAGCAGGTTTGGCGGTGTTTTGGTACTTTTTCTTGGCTTGTTGAAAGTTCCATTGCTGTTGATCGGCGAAAAACTCAACGAGAACTAGGAAGAACATGAGTCGGGAGAAGACGTTGTCGACAGTGCCCATTTCGCTGCCGATAACTCTGGATGTCAAGAGTATTATGTAAGTGGGCGTGGTTATAGCAAATAGCAGAAGCTGGTGGGTCTGTGAGTCAAGCGATGCGGACGGTAGACGGTAAATCGTACATTTTGGGCCAGGGAGATAAACAGAACGTTGAAGATGAACATCAACGTCGGTCCAAGAATCGGCTTTAGGACTTCCCATCTGTAATCCTCAGATCCTACTGAGTAGCCTCCCTTCCTCCAGTAATTGAACGTCAAACGTATCTAAGAGAAGCGTTCAGTAATGCTATTCTCATTCAAAAACGACAAGTGTGACATACGCTCCAGAGAGTGCTAATTGCCATTATATGATCTAGCTTTTCAGTGTGCAGCCCAGCCATGTGCGCCCAGAGAGTATAGTGTGCATTGTAGATTGCCGGGAGGAAGCTCCAGAGCCTGTCGACCTGGGAATAGTTGCGGTTGAACTCAGAGACGACAAGGACCAGAGGCGTCAAAAACAAGGCAAACGCAAGCGCCGTGATTGCAGGGTTCGTGGACACATAGAGCGCCCTCAGGGCATCGGCGTCGGCAATGTGTTGCCAGACAAGCTGGGGGAGCTGTCGTAGCTGCGGGAGGTAGGGGACAATGGAAAGGGAGAAGTCTGCACAGTCGGTGACGGTCTGCACGGCAGGCAGCGCCACGAGCGACGGTGGAACTATCATCGCTGGGGGCGAGTTGAAGAGGTTTGTGAAATTGGAGGTTAAGGACGTTGAAGTTGGGTCGTGATGAAGTCACCACCTGCAGGCGTGTTCGGCTCGTTCCGTGGCCGCTGTGCCTTTTTCGTCGCAGGGAATAAATCGCCCGGCCTTCGTGGACACGCCGTCGTCAAAACAACGCGCTCGACTTTTCGTCTTGACGCGACGTCACATGGGAGCCAGATCGACACCAGAGAAACCCTCCCCTAACGAAAGCGCCGTGGGCGCCATGGGGAAAATTTTGTGTGTTGCGGAGAAACCTTCAATTGCAAAGGCCGTAGCCAACCACCTCGCTCGCGCGCAAGCGGTAGGCCACCATCCCAGGCTGCGGACCGCTGAGGCTGACAGGTTTTCCAGCGGAACGTGAACGGTGTAACTTACGTGAAGAACTACGTTTTCGACTACAACTTCACGCGCTGGGGCGCAAGTAACGTCGTCTTCACGAGTGTTGTTGGACACATCAAACACCAGGAGTTTGCCCCAAGATATTCGTCATGGAACTCTTGCGATCCGCTAGACCTATTCGACGCTCCGATAATCAACTCCGTCGTTGAGGTCAGTGGGCCGGGCACGCCGATAATTCCCTACTAATCAACTTCAGGACAAAAAAGCCATCGCTAGGAACATTGAAGAGCAAGCTCGAGGCGCCCAAGCCCTTTTCATTTGGACCGACTGCGATCGCGAAGGCGAGCACATCGGGACCGAGATCCGGGACATAGCCCTGAGAGTGAATCCCAGACTAGACGTTAAGAGAGCACGATTCAGCAACATTGAGCGAGCGTTTGTAGCCCTTGGAATTGATCTTGATGTCGCGTACTAAAGGCACACAGTCATGTCATTAATGCGGCAACAAATCCAATATCGCTAGATGAAAAGCAAGCAAACGCCGTGGCGGCCCGCATAGAGTTGGACCTCCGCTTAGGGGCTGCGTTCACACGCCTGCAGACCTTGGCCCTCCAATCCTTGATCAGTCAAGAGAACAAAGTCATCAGCTACGGTTCTTGTCAATTTCCCACCTTAGGCTTCGTAGTCGAGCGGTACTTCCGAGTGAAGAATTTTGTCCCGGAAACCTTCTGGCTACTCAAGCTGATGCATGAGAAGGATGACATCAAGGTCAACTTTAATTGGAGGCGGGGGCATCTCTTCGATCGGATGGCTGTTACCATCATATTCGAAAGATGCCTCGCGGCGAAAATGGCAAGGGTGACGAGCATGCAGACGAAGCCGACATCGAAATGGAAGCCCTTGCCGTTGACGACTGTAGAGCTGCAAAAAATGGGCAGTAGATTTCTACGAATGGACAGCCAGCGGGTAATGAAGGTAGTCGCCCACTCGAAACCCCGATCTCACTCCTGCTTACACTGGTGAAGGTTGCAGAAGATTTGTACACGAAAGGATGGATAAGCTATCCTCGGACCGAAACAGACCAATTCGACAAGGGGATGGACTTGAGGAGTCTCGTCGAGAAACAGCAACAAGATGCAGACTGGGGCCCATTTGCTCGGAAGTATGTGCACTATACTAGCATGCAAGTCAGTGCTAACAGCCTAGTCTTATAAATAGCCAGTTCAGACAGCCCCGGAGCGGGAGACACAACGATCAAGCGCATCCACCGATCCACCCAGTCAACTTTGTCGTGAGGGATCAGCTCCAAAACGATGAAGAAAGACGAGTCTACGAATTTGTCGTTCGCCGATTCCTGGCCTGCTGTTCAGAAGATGCCTTAGGCGAGTCGACGAACATAGAGGTCGAATACGGCGGAGAAGCCTTCCGAGCCCATGGACTCATTGTCATCCAGCGCAACTACCTGGACGTGTACCCGTACGACAAATGGGAAAGCAGCCAGCAACTACCACGATTTGATGTTGGTGAAACATTTGTTCCGAAAGAGGTTCAGATGACGGATGGAAAGACCACAGCGCCAGGATACTTGACTGAACCAGAGCTGATCTCGCTCATGGATGCAAACGGTATTGGCACCGATGCCACAATGGCGGAGCACATTGCTAAGATCAAGGAGCGTGCCTACGTTATGACAAGACCAAAAGGCGGCGGTCGGGCTGGTGGCAATGGCGAAGTACGCTTGACTACGGGTTCACGAGGAGGTAGAAGCGGGACGGGTCGAGGACGAGTGGCGGGGGACAGTGGGAATGCAGCTCCTGCGGCTGGCAATAGCGGGATTCAAGAATTCATACCAACAACGCTTGGGGTGGCACTGATCGAGGGATACGACAACGTGGGCTTTGACACGAGTCTGAGCAAGCCGTTCCTGCGCAAGGAGGTAAATAGAGCTGCGCGATTTCTGTGGCGCAGAGGTGTGCTGACTGTCAGCAGATGGAACTGCAGATGCGAGCAATATGCGCAGGCACGGCGACTCGCAGCGATGTGGTGCATCAAAATTTGGAGCTGTACAGAGCGGTCTTCATGCGGACAGCGCAGCAGATGAACGTGCTCAAGACGGTGAGTGTGAATGAAGCACGGCTGGAGCGCCTGTTGACTGACACAACCAACCACTCAGGCCATCAGAAAGTACATACCACAGGCGAATGGCTGAGAAGCGCTGAGACGGCCATGAGCGGGCCTGGGGCCTTGCATGAAGCTGCGGGGAAGTCCTGCAGTCGCGCAACACGTGTTTTTGCGGGGTTTCGTTGCGATGCTTTTCCTTGCAAGGGCTCTGTCTTTGTCTGACGGCACACCAAAGATATCACGCGTGCCCCACTGTGCGGCCTGGGTCGACGGCGCAGCGCTGGCTGCGAGTCTCGGCTATCGTGATGGATTCCGGGTGTTTCTTGCTGCTCGCAAGCCGCGTGGAGGGCTGATAGGAGAGCCGTCGTCGCGGTGGCGGAACAGGCCGGAGCAGCAACAGGCAGAGACAGTAGAGCAGCTCGGGCGATAGGAGCAGTCTGCGTCGACCTGGGCGAACAGCTCGAATAATCGAGCGTACTGCGAGACCCATGGATACGAAGCTGACAGACGGGCCGACCTCGATGTGACGACGGTCGCCATCACCATGATGGAGGGAGTGGGACGTGTAGAATGCCGAAAGCAACCTTGGAACAACTGGTGGCGCCGGGTCAGCTGCGCCCCTTGGCCCCTTCTTTATCGGGCCCAGCTCGGGTGCGCCAATTAGCGCAGCCGTCGCGAGTACCAGCTGTCGAGCTCCTGTGACTGTCGACTGTCGACTGTCAACACAGCAACACCACCATTCACCATCCACGCTCTGCACCACGCATCGCATCCGATCCAACGCTCCATCGCACCGCCGCTCTGCCGCTCTGCCGCACCGCCAGTCGCCTGCTCGCCGCTCGCCCTCTGCTCCCGCGCCGTCGTCACGCCTCCGCCAACCCGGTCCATCACGGTTCCCGAGTTGCACCTCGTTCCGCCAGCTCCTTCACAGCAGCTTGCTTTCTGTGCCTCTACCTGTGTGTTTGCTCTCGCCTGCCTCTACGACAGCTATATTCCCGTCCAGTAAGTGTTCCGCCCCTACACGCCGTCTGCAGCGTTTGCGCGAGAGCCTTGACTCATCGGACCAGACCACCACGCCTCCCTTCGCCTTCCCCGTCGATATGGCCGCCCGCGCAGACAGACCCATCTCCAACATCGCCGTGGCCTTTGCCGGCCATACTGCCTCTGTGGATATCCCCAAGGCTCGCGATGGCGGGCTCCTCCACGCCCCCGACCTCTCCCAGCAGCACCCTACCATGCTCCTGACGCCCCCGAACTCTATATCTCCTACTTTGCCGCCGCACAAGGCTCTTTCGGAACATCCTCATGGCTCGACGCGCGCCCCTGCCAATCAGGCAGATTCCGACGTCGACCTCCTGGACGCCGTGGAACATGCCGCAGCGCAGGGCCACCCAACAGCGCTGTCCCGCGCTGCTCTCTCTGGCCTCGAAGCAGCAGGCGCCATAACGCCTGTGATGCTTGCGAGGCACCATCTTCCGGACATACTTCTAGCTCATGGACCCATGGCGATCCGCCATGTACTGAACCATTTAGCCCAGTCTGTTCCCGGGTTCTCCAGGATACCACCTGCGAAAGCTCGACGGCTCGTTGTTGGAGCTTTGGAGAGCCGTGGCGGCGGCGGCACCAAAGGAGAGGTTGAGTTCGAGAAGGTAGGATGGGGCCGATGGGATGCACGTCTCAAAGGACACCCTCCCCGAGAAGGCAGGACATCACAACAAGGCTCGGTCCCCATCGCCGCGCATAGCTTGGTGCGCACCGGAGTCTCTCCCCCAGCGAGTGTGCCCGAGTCGTACACTCTGTCTAGTGCAGGTGGCCTCCAAATACCACAAGGCCGCCGAAATACGCGCAACATCTACTCCGGCAGCTGGGCAGGAGAATCTGTGCTAAGCTCCCGCGATGAAGAGATGGAAGACATGAGTATGGCAGAGCACGAGGCAGACAAGATGTCTCTGGATGGATCTGACCATGACTCTGAATCCGAATCGTCTGAAATGGCGGAAGACATCCCAGGCCTGGAAGACGACCTGGATGATGTTACGGACCAAGAAGACTGGGCTGCCATTGGTCCTGATGCCCTCAGACAGGGCATCGACTGTTTCGGGCGTAGAGACGCCCCTCGCAGCGTCAGTGCTGTGGTACGCTCAGCGCCAACGCGCTTGAAGCACATAGGATCCACGTCTGGCTCGAAATCTGCGACCCAGCGCTCGAGGTTCTCTTCTTTGCAACTACAGAAACACCATCAGCATTCCCGCCCTGGGAGGCAAGCTACCCCAGATCTTAGATTTTCTTCTCTTTTATCGGGAACCCGTGTTGGCAAGGGGGTTTCTTCTGCTACAGTCCCATCGGACTCGTACGACCAAAACACTCAAGAAAGGGAGGCGATCGAGGCATTGCTTCGCATGGGCTCCATGTAACAACATCTCCCTCCGCTTCTTATGCGGATGGACGTCCGTTTTTGACTTCGTTCGCGAATCAAGTTTCCTGCTATGGACACTGAGCATCATTCATTCTTTATGCTGAGCTTTCCAGCTGGGTTGGAAAGGGTCGATTGGAAAAGGGATCCCAGCTACCGAACGTCAAGCGCTGACTTCGGGGCTTTCTCGACTGGTGGATTTTACCCCTCAATTCCACATTTTAGGGCCGTCTAGGCGGACATATTGCATTTTCCATTGCCCGTAATTGCCAGTGTCTCCCAGGCCTCATACACTGCATGCGCTGGGCACACTAGCTAGATAAACATCTATCCAGTATGAACCTCGAGACCACACAATCGGGTCTTAGGTGTCTCCTCACTTCATGTACTTACGTAGATAAACAACTTCTAAGATCTCAGCTCCACATGTTGAACTGGGATCGTAATGCTGCTCACAAAGCTTCCCCGGATACAAAGTACAATCTGCTAGTCGCATGCAATAGTATGATAACCATATCGCCCTAGGTTTAGAAGTGGTGTTCCGGCGACATGCTCGTATCAACGACTAACCATAGACGGCTCTTCCGCGTCTGCCCCACGAAATTTGCTCAAAAGATCCTAAACAGTCGTTGATCAGGCGTGAGGCCCGTAGTATCATTGGTGCCGATAGCCGGAGTATTGGTCACATTGCAAATCCCTTTGCGTTCCTACCGATAGCGTACCCAGGAAAATGAACTAAATAGAGGGCCAGATATACAATATCATGCGACTCCGCCCTTCCATCTCCACCTGTCATCTCTTCAACGAAACACCAACTTTGACAAACTTCAACCACAACCTGTTCAGATAATCTACTCCTCTCTCACCAACCCAACATCATCCATCATGCCAGGCTGCGGAACAGAGGGATGCACTTGTGCCGATTGCGGCTGTGCTGCTGGTGCCTGCTCTTGCGGGAAATAAATGGTAATAACCCGGTCGACTCTCTCTATTCTCTAAACTTACGATGGATATTAAGATCAAACCCACATCTGAAGACATTTAGGCCCATCCCATGATGGAAAGATAGTGTCGATACAAGGAGGGGCTACGGAAGGACACTCGCTTAGATGGAAAATGAAACTACCATTAGTCTATCGGGACTGCTTTGCCAGGGTCCTAGCTATCAAGCAATTATATAGTAACATTATCTATTATTTAATGCTATCTTAAAAGACGATGCTGAATCCACTATACCTTCTTATAAACGGGCCAGTAATAAGAGCGCTGGGCCAGGAATATAAATTAGATTTAAACGATAATACCGTTGCGGTTTAAAGTGGTATTAGCAACGGCGTCTATAATATAACTAGACTAAAGAAGATTTCTATTAGCTAGCTTATTAAGCTAAAACCGCCAGTATAGGTAGATATAACCTAAAAGTTATAGTAAGTAAATACTATAATATAAATTCTAAATATAGAACTATAGGTAACTATAGTAAAAGTCCTATATTATATTACTTAAAAAACTAGCTATTAAATAGAATAGAAAGGAATAGATATAATACCTTAATTTATAGAGCAGCTAATATATCTTCTTTTAAAATAAGGTTTAGTATAGTAGTATATATACTATTAAGCATTTTAAAAAATAGAAAATAAGAATAAAAATAAAAATATAGAAGCTATAAGCGATTTATATATAGAATAGTACTAAAGTAAAAAGTATATTATATAGCTATAATTTATAAATTATTAAAAAAGTATAAATATAAACTACTAAGGCAAAGCTTTATATAGAAAGCTAATAAAAGCTATAGTAGATAATAGCTTAGCTATTCTATAGAGTATATACTACCCTTTTTATATATTACTTTACTAGGTTTTTATAGGCTATATTAGCTAGAGAAGCTCTTTATATAAATACTTTCTCTAAAAGTTAATCTATTTAATATTACTAATATATAGTATAATAAGGGGAGGGATATTAGTACACCCTTTTTTTACTCCACGTATACCCTGTCGCTTTATTACCTTCTAATTAGCTAGAGCGACTAGGCCGACTCTTCGGAGCTTCCGCTCGTGCTACTTTTAGAAGTAAACAAGCGAGCGTAAGCAGTAATACAGGCCGTAATACAGGCGTAATACAGGCAACCTAGGCTTAATAGAACGAAGCCTCTATTATATAAAGGTATATAAAGCACGTGGTAAAATAGTAAAAGTTTAAATAGCTATTATATTACTAATTAGTATATAAACTAGTTAAGATTATTTAGTTTTACGGAGCAAGGCAGCGGTCTTAATATACCTTAGTTGTTTTTTATTAGAATATAGTCTTTATTATAATAAAGAGTTAACGTTTCTTTATTAAAATAAAGCCTTTTTATATATAAAGAGTTCTTTATTAGGATAAAAAGTTCTTTATTAGAATAAAGAATAATAAAAGGTTCTTTTTTAAAATAAAGAATAATAAAGGGTTTTTTATTAGAATAAAGGAATAAATAATCTATAAATAGATTTATATCTATATATATATATAAATAATAGAATAAAAAAATATATCGCTTATTCTTGTTCTAATATATTAGGCGATATTTTAATAGTTTCGGCATCCTCCTAAATATATAGGTACTGCGCGTATAGTTATATATAATACTATAAGTAATGCTATATATATACCGCGAGTAATATTATATATAATACTATATATTATTATTATTATTAGGTTCTATTAGGCCGATTTAGCTCCCGTTAGGGTTTATGCGGCAGTGCTATCTAGGTTTTATTTACAAGGGGAAACCGTTCGCTCTATAGCGGTCGGGTGAAAACCTTGTTTTCTACAGTGTATAACGCCTTGCGTTCCTTTTGTTTCTGCGCGGCTGTGGGGGACGCGTGGCAGCTCTGTGAGCATTGCCACGGAGTAAGCCATCTTTATGCATTCTCCAGGATCGATCCGGTGTCCGTAGGCCCTAGGTTCCAGGGTTGTACGGTGTCCAGATGGTTAGTAAGGTCCGGGGTCCGCGTTAGGGCGCGCGTGCCCTTACCGTACGCGCGTGCCCTTTTTTCTCAAAAGCCGAGGTATTGAATTGAAGGACAATAGGAAATTAGGGGGTTGCCCTGTTGCGGGCGTGTAATACTATATATATAGCTATATATACGGCGTCTTTTATATAACCTTATATATAAGCTTATATATAAGCTTACGTACGGCCTTATATATAGTATTATATGCGGAGAAATATAATATTCCTTTTTTATAATAAAGCTTAATAGGCTATTTATCTATCTATCTATCTATCTACTTTTATACTTTTATACTTTTCTACTTCTATTTATACTTCTATTTTCTAAATCTATATTTTTAAACTTATATTATACCCCTAAATACTCGCCATCGGAAACTTTATAGCGGAACCTATTGCAGTCACCACAGGAATACCGCAGGGCTCCTCCCTATTACTAATACTCTTCCTCTTCTTCGCCAGCACGCTCCTACTAATGCTACAGCGCGGCAATACAACGGCCTACGGGTTCGTCGACGACACAAACATCCTTACGTACAGCAAAAGCACAGAAGAGAACTGCAGGGCCATCGAACGGGCGCACGACCGGTGCATGGAGTGGGCAAGAAAGCATAGAGCAGTCTTTGCGCCAGATAAATACCACCTAATACACTTCACAAGAGCCCGCAAGTCTGTTAACGTAAAAGCTACAGTTAATATACAGGGCTTTACCGAAGGCCCTATAACAGACCTAAGAATACTAGGGGTCCAGGTGGATTCCAAACTTAAATAGGGCCCGCACATCAACACCACGAAGAACAAAGCCACGGCCCAGATGGGGGCCCTTACGAGGCTCACGGCGTCGACCTGGGGCGCAAGCTTCCGGAAGGCACGCACAATATACTCGGCGGTTAAAGGAACACCAAAATCGTGATTCGACCCGTATTGTCGTACGGGCGTTCCTTTCCGTCTCGTTCGAACCGCAAGGCCCGTACGAGAGTGAGAATCACGTTCATTACTGGTGCAGCGGCGTTGCGTCGTGGCTAGAGGTCGTCTTTGGAAACGTCGTCCTCAACGCCGCCAGAATGGCAGAGTTTTCACGGGTCTTGGCGGCTTGCCACTACTAAACTCGATACCCACAGACAACAGGAAGACAAACAGAGGGTTGTCGTCCATAACCATCCGACATCCTATTACCTAGGATACTAACCTAGGGCCACACCCAGTGCCTGCATCTGCTGGCAAAGCGATAGGTCTTTATTCTAATAGGATGATAGGACACCTCTGTACCGGCCACGTTGGAAGCCCTTGTGTCTGCAACCCGATAATACCGGAACCAGGAGGACCAGGGAAGTAAGAGCAAGGACAGTGGCGGTTTGGTTAGTGGACAACAAGGGGCAAT